AGTTCCTACTACTATATTTAAACAAAATTGACAAATAATATTAGTTTTTAGAAAATAGTAGTTAGATAGTTAAATGCATGTTGTCTAAATTCGCAACGTCTATAATGTCCAGTGTTTCAATTTCATCATTTTTATTTTTGAGTATTGATGAACAATTTAAAATATTAGTATAATCTCATGCAATTGCATTTCCAAATTCTGCCCCTTTACTGTCGGTGTGTACTAACAGTTTTTTGTATTCTTGTTCAAATTGTAGTGCAGTATGATTCTTACAATACCCACAACGTCGCCTAACTGCACTAAAAAATCCTTAAATAGTTTTGTGACAATTTATAGTTAAATATTTTTTTTTCTATCTTTAGAAAAACTGAAATCATTTTGAATAAAATCTTTTTTCAGAAAAATATACTGTATTTTTCGGACTATAAGACGTATCCCAAATTTAGAGACGATTTATTGAAAAATATATTTTGAGTCCATTTTTCTATGTAAAAAGATGCGTCTTGTAGTCTGTAAACTATGGAACTACTAAAATGTTAACTTGACCAAAGCCAAAACACAAATGCGCACACAAACCTTGTTTACTTAGAAGAGAATTATTCATTTATTAGGGTTCGGTAAATATGGATAAACATTAATCAGGTAAATTTATTTTCAAAGGAACCATAAAAAGATTGGCCTGTTCGGAAATACTCGGTGATCGTCGGCCGGACGGTCCGATCTGAGCGCGTTCCGTTCTGGACTGAGTGAAAACGTAAACAAAACACATCGAACGCTGGCTTCAACTCTTGGTGTTTATATGTGCTTCTAGTTATACAATTTCTTTGGATGCGACCAACTTCGCCTCTCAACAATCTATGAACGATTCAATTTGTGCATTACCCCTACGCTTGTTTATTCCCCACTTAACGACACCGAATATACACACACAAAATTAAAGTTACCAATCGGTATAGACTTAGGTTAGGATTAATTAATTGTCGTACCTGACGTCATCATTGAAAGTATGCAACCAATATCACAGTATGTAAGATGATTGAAGAGGTATTAATTTTCTTTGGAGTATTAGTAGTATTGTTTAGGTAAATATGAAATTATTAGTGTTTGGTGAGACTGTTATTGTTAGTGTGTAATATCAATAGAATTAAATGGGAGTATAGGAACGTCTCGATTAATAGTGAGCATGCGTATTAGGTTGTATCCTGAAAATTGCCCCTTAAGGGCAATAAGGCTGTTATTATTTTGTAAAGCACTGGCGATTTACGTCGTAGTAGATGGTATCGTCAATATTGAAACTTCGGTCACGACCAAAATACCAACGTTTTGTATACTAATCTCTACATTAATTATATCGGAAGTGTTGACCGAAGGTATTATCGCGGGGGCATAAACGGATGATAAACTAATCTGTTTACTTTATATTGTACCGACGCAAGGGTTGCGCTGTAGAGTTGAACATCGGAAGGGGGAGTAGGAAAATGGCGGAATAAGTGCCTGCCAAGTGGAGATCTCGCGATTACGCATTCAATGGTCTTCCCCCCTCGGTAACGGTAAAGACCCCTTTTTCTGATTCCAAGTGCCAAAAGAAAATTTAGATAAACAGTAACGGTTTTTGGAGGAAGGTACATCGGACGAGATACGTCAAACTTATATTTATCTTTCGACCGTGTCGGTATATATGTAGTGCGGCGAACGGGGTCTTTGAGCACTGCATAGATTGGAAATGTCCCGTTCGTGACCGCGGTACATAATGAGAAAGCGACGTAGGTTTGACACCTGCGGCCAGATCAATTTCGATACAGATGCACTGCAGGTTCGCTTGATAAATGTCCTCCTCTTTGGCGCGTTCCAGTCCTTCATTGTTCGTTTAGAAGCCTTCACGTTATCTTGCGATTATCAACAAAATACCATTTCATTAATCAAATTATCGACCGTCCCGTTCCGCTCAGCGACGCCGAGCCGCGTACGAATCCTATATTAATATAACAACCCCTTACGGAATGCGCTACAACTCCCCTTAATTTACTATACAGTGCGCCAACCGTCAGCCGACCAAACCATAAACAAACCTCATCAACCGTTCCCGTTGATTCAACGCGCAACGGACTTGTTCTGGCGGGACGTTCCGCCCAATATTGAAATACGCCATTTTCTACTTAATATTGCAAGCACAAACGACACCCTAGAAAGTTTCACGCAATAATTCACGTCACTTTTACGTCTTGAATCGACTTTAACTCATCAATAGTAAAAACAATAAGAAAAGTTAATTAAATCTTTTATTGATGTGGATATTTTGAGAAGAAAAGGGTGTTAAAAATTAAAGAAGAAGTGGACGGGAATAGTATTGGCTCTATATCGGACGGGAAGAGGTGTGAAATATAGCAATAAGTTGGGCGGAAGTTCGTGTGCGAAGTTGAAATCAATTTGGAGCTATATTTTGGAGGCACTCGGAGAAAACAAAGCAGGGTTCGTTCGTCCTCGTCATCTCCCCGTTGTATTTCGGGCGAGAAGTTAAAAATGAATAACAGAGTCAAAGATTAATGGTTTACGTGCACCGTGAATTTACATGCAGGGCAGGAAGTAAATTAAATATAAACCCCCACCAGCGTAGTCACGAGATCATGCTCAAATCGCCAGAATATAGAATGTTTGTTTTCCGTGGAAGAAATACAAATTGCCCCTTTTTACTAGGGTGCAAGAGGTGGTCGAACTGAAGCATCAATCAGCGAGCCGGCGGGAGCACTAAAAACTCTTGAGCGTATTCAAACGTTTCCGTTATATATTGGATTAAAACGTCGAGTTGAAAAATTGGTGCCGGTCCTAGTTTATAGACGATTTCCTTAAGGAAGTGGACAACCAAACATGGAATGGGACGGTTCCTTACCCACACAAACACATGGACAATTTGAACTACCGCAGTTCCACGCAAAGCAAATTAGATAATATAAACTGTGACGCTTCCAAGTTTCCGCTGCAGCAACAACTATGTATAATCCCGCGCTTCGTAACATGTTCGAGCCGGTTGCATTTATAAACAACGCCCCGCTATTCGGACAAGTTTAGAATTGATTTTTTACCCCATTTGCCTGTCCCCTCCATTAAATATATTGCACCCAATAAACAACCGTCTTAATCAATTGATATTGTTAACGCTCCGGTTCGAAAACAAACCGTTTTTTTTTATAACCGGCGTAATTTAATTATAAAATTGCAATTTAAATATGCACCCGAAAGCACGTGCCTCGCTTTAACGCGCACTCGCTGAATACCAAATGTATATTGATAAATTAATATTTTAATGCTTATCCGGGATTTTTCTCGTCATTGTTAAAGTTAAGTTAAGCCAAATTTATCCATTACCGCAATATATCATGCGAAGAAGTCGTTAGTGATACGGTAACGAACCGATAGAGTTACTTATTCGAAAAAAAAAAAAATCACAACTCTATTATGTTACACGGATGATTTTAGATAAAACTTTTACGGTATATAAACCCGTTAAAATGTATTTTTGTTGTTTTTTTTTGCAAAAAAAAATTCAGTTTTAATAAAATCCCGGTCTTATTTTATTCGGATTTAAATAAATACCGGATATTTTGTAGCTTTTGATTAAAAATTTACAGAACCGTGACGGCGCCGCAGAAAAAAATACAGCACCGCGAAATCTCATTAAAATAAACTCAAAAAAAAAGTAGTTTTTAGCTAGGAAATTAGGAAGGATTCATAGGAGTTTAAATTGTTGGTCTGCTCCCATGGGCGAGCACCATAAATTTTATTTACATCCATAACCGGGAAAACTGCGCGTAGTTTTTACCGAGGATAAATTGCCCTATAAACCCTAAATTTAAATTGTTTAAAATACCTTTTTTCTCCACGTCCGTATATGTTTGCGCGTGCGTCAGCGCAAACGCAACGTGAATGTATGAGCACAATTATTTTATAGTTCAACAAACAAGCAAACACCACAATTCTTCCACAAACATCTTATATTAATCACTTTTATGTATAAAACTTGCCGACAATGCAAATACGCATGCGTTAACGCAAGCGTAAAATCATTTAAACCTTGACAAGACACCATTAAACCGTTACGATGTTATTACTCTGACGTCGGTGTAAATATGCATTGTGCGGGAATATTAGGTTGTAAATTAGCTCGCAAGTTCTTTGCCCAGCTGCACAGAGTATTTCTAAGTTAAATTAGTGCGCTGTCTCTATTTTGACGAACGAAAGGAACGTCAGTGCTGTATATATATGCATGGAAATTAGGTGTTTAGACACGTTGTTTGCAGTAAGTCCGCGTAGTGCCCTCTCCCCCGCGTCACGAACTAACGTTAACCTGCACTGTAAATATTCATGAAGAATAAACTACACACGGAGATACACACGGCACTTTTTTCAAACTAATAAAAATTCATCCGCCCCTTCTACACCGATTTATTTCTTTTTTGGTACACACAAATTTTAAATTAATTAATTTATCGTATAAATTAACCCGAGAAAAGATTCGATTTTATTAAAACTCTATCCTAATTGTGTGCCCCAAAGAAAACAATATTATATTTGTTGTTCTTGGTGTAATTTAACACAAACAGAGGGAAGCCCGAGGGGGCGTCCGCCGCAACGAGATTGGTTTTAGAAATCGCATTTCTGACTCTGTCTTCAGTCCGTATTTCTTTAAAATCCCGGCGGATAGGAACGAAACCCGCGTGTTCAATCACCGTAATTTACCTCTTAAAAATATTACACATTTATGAACCCAACTCGAAATAAAGTTAACTTTCAAACTCTTGATGTGGTCCGCAACGATCAACGAGAATCCATCAAAACGTCGATCGGTTGGTTTGCGCTTTAAAAAAGTTTTGAAAAACTTTTACCGCAAGAACGAGACACCTGTTAATCCAACGAAATGAAAGCCCAGTTCTAATTTATGTTATATACGGGCCTTCTGTGAAGGACCCTCAATGGGCACACACGTTTTCAACACTATCACGTACCTTGGCTGATGATGGTTGCTATATAGATGATACCGATGGTACAGTAGCGGTTTTGCCGCGCGTTTTGCCTTTTCAGGGCCATGAGATCAACCACGATTGAACACTTAGTCTTTGGACACGTGCACCCAGTTAAACGGCGAGTTAGGCAAATTTCCGCATTGCAAAAGATCGAGCGCGTCGTGCGTCTACGAGCGCCCGGAAGTCTGCTGCTATCCGCACCAAACAACAGTCGGGCTGAAACTGTCCGAATCTACTTCAGCGCTCGCTGACGCGCCTGAAAACTGCGCTGGCAACCGACCCACTCTTCGGCACTGCACACCACATGTCCTAAACATCAACCATTAAGTTTAGGTCTCCGCGAATCATTGATCCCTACCTATTCGCCACCGACGACGACTCTTTACTCCTTTACTCCACTATACTTCATCAAAACGATTTTGTTTCCACTTACTTATTTACAACTTACACTTCATCTATTTTTAACTCATTCATAAACATACCCAATTAACTATCTTTACGTTCAATCATTACTTATTACAAATATTACATACTCACTATTAATATATTAAGACCATAATCATGTAATAATTTCTCGTGCTTGTATGTCTTGATTGATCATTTTAGAATGCGTAGATTATTATCATAAGTATTAAATTTTGATATAGTACATTATATAGTAAATACTATATAATATTGGACCAATACATACAGTGTCTTAATTAATTATCGTACCTCATCATTGCAAATATGCAACCAACATCACAGTACAATACGCATCATACGCAAATCGCGTATTACAATACCAGTATTGTGATATTGGTTGCATACTTGTAATGATGACGTCGGGTACGATGTGAGTTCCTACTTATCTTTCAATCAGTTATTTTTGCTGTTATCTGCGATGGGTTGAGTTAGATTTATTTCTAAGTTGTTTATTTTTTGTGCTTAAATGAATAGATAAGAGATAGAGTAAGATGCTAACTTGAAGGGTAATTCGCTTTGAGAATAAATTAATTAAAAAAAATATATTTTGTTGCATTTTATTATGTTGCTTACAAAACAGTCCGTAACATTGTATCGGTGTGAAAGCATAGCCCGTAACAACCCCCTTTTCGTATACCGATAGTAATAACGAGTCGACGCTAACTCTTTGGCTAACTCCTGTAGCTCTTTCCGGTATAGCAGTTTTCTTATTTTATTATCTTTTTTAAATCCCGCTCGACTTGTAATTGAATCCACCGCCCTCTGAAGCGTAATTAAGTTATCCACTCCGGCTAACAAAGCTATATACTTTTAGAAACGCGGATAAAATTGAATTTGACAATTTTTCTTTGAAGTCGCACTTTGCGTCGATGCTATTTGAATGTGCGCTGCAGATAATGGTTATATGTAAGAAGTTACCGGCGAGTACGGACTTATTCGCGCCTTCGGCGGCCTCGCAAATCGCCGCTTCGAACTTATTGATTTGATAAACCTTATCAATCTCGGCACTTCCGGCAATACGGACTGTTTCAAATTTGTTCAACTTCCTTACGTCTTCCGCAAACCCGACGGGAAGCTAATTACGTTCTCGGCAGCTTTTAACCCTTACTTTGTTATTGTAATCGGACTTTTAGAATAATACCTCCTTGTTAATAACTAAATTATTCAATTTTTATGCAGAATCATTACTTCCTATTGGCAGTAATTTGGTAATTAATATACCGTGACCAAGTTATTTTACGTTCAAGTTGTTGACTCAGCAATATGGATTAAAGAAAAATTTTTATTTTATTGAATCTGAAAAGTTTTACCCTACTAATGACATTTCGTAATTGGTTGGGGTTTTCAGTGAAAATGAAGGCCCGTTAAGGTAAAAGTAAGTGTTGGCAAAAAAGTTATACATCATTGGGTTAATTACGGTCCATTGAATAGGTCTAAGAAGTGGTGGCAATCCGACGTCAGCTGGTGGGGGCGGAGTTCGAAGTCCGGCGATTATTCAGCCCTCGAAATTTGTTGCTTTCCTCAAGTATCAAGCGGCAACCGCAAGTTAATCATACAGCTTCAGATTAATACCTATCCTCCCGGCTTAATTACGCGTATGTTGACAAATTGCGTAAACAATCTAAACCCTGCTGGTCCAACGTAGCAAGACGCTTTATCAGCTGTTTTAAATATGATCTATTTCCGTAGACTGTAAACCGGTTATCTGCTGCGCTGTAAACTTTACGCAGTAAAAGTTACGTGTATATCGGTGTCGCGGAGACCGAAATCTCGTTTTATTAACCCGCAACGGTCGTTTTGCCGCAAATTTCTACGCTACTTTAATACTAAAACGCATTTTAAGCAGCAACTCCACATCGCTTAATGCTTTCTTTATTAACCATCAAATATCATCATATAAAACCAACTTACTCTTCGATGTCGTTTTAATAAAAATACCATGAATGCCAGACAAAAAAATCTTCGTACTACTACAATTGAGAGTTTAGATTTGATAGAATTGTACAATTCAAGACTGTTGCTTAGAGTAAAATAGAAAAAAGAATCTTGGGTCCGTTTGTAGGCTATAAAAGTTTTCATTTGCGAGGAGATGAAACCCACGTAGTTAGGATGTGTGGCACCCATCGAGACCCTTGACCATTGCGGCAAGATGTGACGGCGTAAAAAGTGAGAAACGTGACAAAGAAAAATATGTTAATAAGTGGAGGCCGAAACGCACAATGAAAATAACGCCAACGAACGCCCGGGAAACGAACTTCGAACTAGGATTCTTAGATTATGCATACGCCCGCTGCATAAGGCATGCCTTTGCCCCGAGACAGCAATTCACATATACTGCTCGGCTCCATCAAACATTCATCCGGGTCACAGCGTACTCGGTCCATCCATCTTACGTTTTGTCGCTGCTCAGACATCATCTTAACCTTCGTTCGTCCCCGCATCCAGCGAAACCATCCGAAAGTTATGTATTTTACATATTTTCCCCTTACATAGTCCCGAATGAACTACCCCCAGACCAAACATCGTTAAATCTCACCAATCCCATTTTAACTACTTTACGTACGCTCGTATTCCTCGCCGCCTTTCACACTTTCTACACCGTTCTCGTTTCCTCAACGCGGTACCTCTCATTGACGTCTCAGATACTCAGAGGTTCATATTTGATTACCTCGCGTGGATATTGCTAGTCCCAACAGGATTAAAAGAAAACAGCGACTTCAAGGGTCTCCTGTAACAAAGTGCATAGCTCGGTCGACCTCATATCCAATATTTATCTTCTCGGTGACATTTTTATGGGGCGAACTTGTGCAATAGGTGGAAGAAACATGGAAGACTTATTTTAAATTCTCAACGTACCCCAAACATTCAACATACTTTTACACTTATTCAACTATCATCTATACTAAAATACCATTGTTTCAATTTTATTAAATAAAAATTCATAACATTTATTTTCACTTGTATATTTAAATGAGGATGATTATCTAGTCCCATCGATAACAAAAACAAGTCGCCCAGCATTGTTACACCACATCTCCATGATTTTAATCAGCACTCGCGTCCTCCATCCCATTTAAGCTTGGGGGCGTCTAGTTTAAATCAAAATTTAATCAAAATCCCACCATCGTTATTTTCTATTAGGCTTAACTAATTAGTTGTTGTAATCGTTCTAGCAAAATCTTTTCTAATACACAGTGGTAGGACACTATTTGAAAAATATAGCTTATTGCTTGCAGAAGGCTAGATACTGCTAATAGAAGAGTAAATAAACGAGATACTGCCAATAAAAGATTAGATACTGCTTATAAAATAACTGCTAACAAATTGAAGATTACCATCGTGGATTTAGAGAGAATCGTTGAAGATAATTCAAATATTCACTATTAGGCAGATAATGGAGAAATGCTGTTGAACATCCAACTGCAGCAACCAATTTCTCCAAATATCAAAATGACTGAAAATTGATCTCCATAAAATTGAATTCTGCGGTATGTTCGTGAATCAATCTAATTCTTCAATAATCGACGTCCAATTTGGTTTTCTATCGAGCTCTCAGATCAGTAAATCTTAAAATATTAACAATTGGACCGCGTTATACAGAGTGTCCCGTTAAGCGGACGGAGCGGCTGTATCTCTAGAACGGTAAGGCCAAAAGGTTTGGGAAAAAAATCCTTATGAGCAAAGTGACCAAGAGAAATAGCTGGAAATTATTTTGAAGTTCGTAATTCGACCGCTAGGGGGCGTAACTACCATTGAGAAACATAAAGTTGCCGCTATCTCAGAAACTTAGACGATGAGCTATAACTTTGACAACATCATTTAATAGCTTGGATAATACCGCATCGCTTTTGTTTTGCGATATTTCTCATATCTGTCATAATAAGGGAGGGGGAGGCCAATGCGTTTTCATATGTTTACATTTTAATATCTCCTAGACCATTCAACCGATTTGAATGTTTTCGGTGTTGTTTGAAAGAGCATTTTATGCTCTTTTTAAAGATATTTTCAGTAAGACCGTCTGCTTTAAAACAAATGAGCTAGAGGACGTTATCTGCAGCGATTACATATTTTTGTGATTTTTGAAGAAAAGTTAAATGGAACGATACTATTTACTTCACAGACCCTTAGTCACCTTAAAATTTGCTAAATTTTAGTGAAAACCGCATCTCGATATCGCCACCCGTTCTCGAGTTATAGAAGAAAATGTTAAAAACTCGAGTGCCATCAATCGGATCCAGTTACCTCATCGAGAAAAACAAATCACATAACCATGGTAACTGTAAACATGTCATTTACTAACGCAGAAGCGTATGATAGAGCGTATGATGATTTATTTTCAATGTTTCGAATACGATGCAACTGCATGGCAAAAATGTGCAATGCAATTACGACAAAGAAAGACATTTTTCTCTAGAAGTGTTTTTAAGATTGACTTAGCGATTACGGAAAACTGGCAACGTGTAGCCCATTCAGACATCTCTATGAATTCGTAAATCACATTGGTGCGCAATGTGATCCCACATAATCTGGGAACTCCGAAAACAATTGTCCACAAGAGTTCTCAAGAGAATAATATCTCCACCACGTTGTTTTACATCAGGCCTTAACAGATACCGATTATGATAACAGACTGAACTATTACCATTGACTTTTAAATATGATTTGGGCAAATCCAAACCTTTTATCACAAATGCTATGGATGCATGAAGCATCTGTCCACAAGCTGATGTAAACTTGCATAATATGCATTCTTGGTTCGAGCAAAACCCACATTGCTTTCACCCCTTTATCTATTGGGTAGACTAAACGACCTGACTTTTCAAGAAAAACCAATAACCAGGGAAAATATGACAAAACACTAAATACCAGTAAAAACGTGTCCAGGGACGAGACTTAGCAGCGCTTTTTTTTCGTCGAAACTAGATTAAATAAATGCATCGAGGTTTATGGAAGGCATTTCGCACATTAGTGAGTTATTTTTGCCAAAAATTTAAGTTATTCTAAGTGTTTTGGTTTATTTTGTTTTATTATCATTGTTGATGTTTCATTGATCCGTTGGCTTTTCAACACGCCTCAAAAGTAGTTTTGAAGCAGTTCTAAGCTTGGATAAAGTGTGAAGGAAGGTTCTAGATAATAAAATTTTTGTTCTCTCTTATTTGTTTCCTAAGGTAACTTGATCCGATTAAGATATACGAATTTTTAACATTTTCTTTTATAATTCGAGAATGGATGGAGATATCGAGATGCGGTTTTCACTAATATTTAGCAAATTTTATGGTGATTAACGGTCTGTGAAGTAAATAGTACCGTTCCATTTAACTTTTTTTCAAAAATCACAAAAATATGTAACCGCTGCAGATAACGCCCTCTAGCTTATTTGTTTTAAACCAAGCGGTCTTACTGAAAATATCTTTTAAAAGAGCATGAAATGCTCTTTCAAACAAGACCAAAAATATTCAAATCGGTTGAATGGTCCAGGAGATATTAAAATGTAAACATTTGAAAACGCATTGGCCTCCCCCTCCCTTATTATGACAGATATGAAAAATATTGCAAAACAAAAGCGATGCGGTATTATCCAAGCTACTAAATGATGTTGTCAAAGTTATAGCTCATCGTCTAACTTTCTGAGATAGCGGGAATTTTATGTTTCTCTATGGCAGTTACGCCCCCTAGCGGTCGAATTACGAACTTCAAAATAATTTCCAGCTATTTCTCTTGCCCACTTTGCTTATAAAGATTTTTTTCCCAAACCTCTAGGCCTTACCGTTGTTGAGATACAGCCGCTCCGTACGCTTAACGGGACACCCTGTACATCACTTGACTAAGCGACATTTTATCGTTTTTAGAGATTTTCATGGTGTCTGGTAGGTAAAAGTGTAACTTATCTTAGATACACCAAGAAATTCTACAATAAAAAAAATTGATGTTACTACAAAATTAAAAGTTTATGTCTTTTATTTTGTATAGAATTTAAGTCTAACTAGTTTCGGCCATTGGCCATCTTCAGATTGAAGAAAAAAACTTTCAGTTGTCAATGTCAACTTTAATTTTATTATAATATTCGTAATCTTCATAAAATAACCTTTAAAGTGAGTCCAAACTTGACGCATTTATCTCATAAAACCAAAAAACGAACTTTCAACTTTTAATTTTGACATATTTGTCAAGTTCATTAAAAAACCTTTAAAGTGAGTTCACTTATCTCAAAGAACAAAAAAGTTAGACTAAAAAAACATTAAACCCGAAGTTAACAACAATGAAGATAGCAATTTAATTTTTAAATAGTAATACCAACCTTAATTTTTTATTTTTTTTATTATGTCTGTTTTTGTGACAAATATTAAGACGTAATAATTAAACGTATCATGTTTGGACTCATTTTAAAAGATTTTTCACGGCGATTACAAATATGTCAAAATTGACGTTGACATTCTTAACCGGAAGTTGACCATAACTTCATTAATATTGTAAATTTGTAACTAATAATCTGATTTCGACTTTGATATGTGATCTTTTTTAACAAAAGGAAAAGAAACATTAAAAATCTCGTTTTGTCATTGTTCATTTGCCGCTTAGTCAAGTGATGCATAACGCGGTCCAATTAATCTTGTATAAAATACTTTGAAAATACGCATGGATACAGTTTCAAATTTAGTGTAGTAAAATATTTTGTCTATTAAATATCCGATATATACAAATGTAATGAAACGTTGTAATGTTTTTCCTGGTCCCTCTACATCCCAAAATTGATAGAACGTGATTTTGTATAAGCAAACTAATTATGCCACCGACCGAAAGTGCAGACGTGGCTACTCCGAAAATTGTAATTTTATTGCCTATTTTTAACAATGTTGAATATAGCGTTTATTTAACACGTCATATAAATTCATCGTTGGCTCATTTTGTTTATTTTTTCCCGTAAACAAGTCCGATGTAGCGACATCTTCACATAAAGAGCGAATCCGAAAACGCTTGCTTAGTAGAGAGCTTTGATTTTGGATTGGAACAATTGAAATTGAACACGTAAAGATCATAAACACCGTTGTTGTATTGAATGCATGTGTTGTGATCGTCAAAACAATAAAATCAAGCATTTACATACAAATGAAAAATTGTAAAAGAGGTATTTTGCGTGCTCTTCGCATTAACGAGGAAATATAAAAATTTCGAAATATATATATGTTTATCGATTATCCCAAAAACGCGTTTTATAATAAAATATATTTTTATTGCTCCGGTGGCTAAATTTATGTTCGTTTTTATTTATTCCTGACCCTTTTATCAAAAACAACTGTATGGTCGTTATTGGATATTTCAACAAACAAAAATTTTAAACTACAAAACCATTCAAGTTTTAACCAAAAAAAGCCACAACAATTACAAGCCACCCTTGAAATAAGGGTTGTAAAGGGACGAAAACGGTCGACTATCTTTCGGCGTCCGAATTAGTTTTCCCTTCTCTCCACACTTACCGCTAATTTAATAACGGAAATGCGAACAGACTGTCGCTCTCTCTGACGTTCTGTCAACGTCAAAGTCAATGAGACCAACTCATCAACGTCCCAAAAGAAAATGGACTACCTAAATAAAAACTTATACTCGACTATAATCAATTTTAAAACCAATTACTTATTTAATATGTAATTAAAAAAAAAATATGCCAAAAATAAAAATGATTTAAATTTAAATTTTAAAGAAATCTGCTTTATTAAGCGCCATCTATTAACAAAATGCTGGAGTTTAACACAAATTTGTTAAACGTAACCTATTTACCTTAAATTTACGAAATGAGTTGATATATATTTATGTATTATTCCGTGTGTAACCTCAACTTGTCAAATAATTTCGAAAAAGACATTAATTACATTCCTTAATTACTTACATTATTACATTAACATTCCAATATCTCGTAAATGATTCATAAAGTAACACCTTTCAATGTTTTTATCATAACCTAATTAAAAAAAGAGCAAAAAAATCCAGCGGAAACACTCGGAATGATTAGCTGGAATGCAAGATAAGATCGCTACCAACAAGTTATCAACGGCATGTTTTCTAGTTTGTAAGGTAATACTTTTTTTAAACGAATGCCGCGTATCGATATCGTGGAGAAAGTAAAAGTGTGCTAACGTGGAATGGGTAAAGCGAGGCCAATCGTTTTTAACTCTCCCAAGTGGCACACTTCTTATCTCGCTGCGACCACCAACACCTAAATTATTAATTATATTTATGAAAGTTATGGATGAACTAAAGAAATCCCTTGAAAGTGCAGGTCAAGAACACCTTTTAAAGTTTTATCATGAACTGGATGAGTCTCTTCGTGACATCTTCATGAGCCAGCTGGAACAAATCGATTTCAGCGAGGTAACAGAACTTTTTAAACGAGCCATAGCAACAGCCGAAGATGATGTCCAAAAGTTAGATGCAAGAATGAAACCTATTCCTGATGCTAGTTATGGATCAGAAATTAAATCAACACAAGAGGAATTAGATAAGTATAATGGTATTGGGTTGGAGGCGGTTTCGAAGGGCGAGGTAGGTGTTTTACTTATGGCTGGGGGACAAGGAACTCGCCTTGGGGTTTCGTATCCAAAAGGAATGTATTCAGTTGGATTACTTTCTAATAAAACTTTATTTCAAATTCAAGCGGAACGTATTCGCCGAGTTGAGATATTAGCCGAAAGACAAACCGGTAAAAAAGGTGTGATCACTTGGTACATAATGACGAGTAAATCAACAAAAGAACCAACCGTTAAGTTTTTAATCGATAATAATTACTTTGGGTTAAACCCCGATAACGTTGTGATATTCGAACAAGGTGTTATACCATGTTTTGATTTTAACGGTCGAATTTTCTTAGAAAATCGCCACAACATCGCCTTAGCTCCAGATGGTAATGGAGGGATTTACAAAGCTTTAGCCAAAAGTGGAGCTTTATCTGACATGGAAAAACGTGGAGTTCGTTACGTTCACGCACACAGTGTTGACAATATTTTAACAAAAGTAGCAGATCCAATCTTCATGGGTTACTGCATCTCTAAAAATGCCGATTGCGGAGCTAAAGTTGTTTGCAAAAGTACTCCAACGGAAGCTGTAGGTGTTGTTTGTCTTGTAGACGAAAAATTCCAAGTCGTCGAATACAGCGAAATCACCGAAAAGACAGCCCATCTTACCGACGACAAAGGTGATTTATTATTCAACGCAGGAAACATTTGCAACCATTTCTTCTCAACGAAATTCTTAAGAACGGTCGTCAACGAATTCGAATCACAATTAAAACTTCACGTTGCCAAGAAAAAAATCCCTCACATCAACAACAACGGCGAAATTGTAAAACCAACATCACCCAACGGTATTAAAATTGAAAAATTTGTTTTTGACATTTTCCAATTTACCGATAACTTCGTCACTTGGGAAGTACCACGTCACAAAGAATTTAGTGCTTTGAAAAATGCCGATGACGCCGGGGTTGATTGTCCATCAACAGCCCGTAAACATTTATTCAATTTGCATAAAACGTATTTACAAAACGCAGGAGCCATCGTTGAAATTGACGAAATCGAAATTTCACCTCTTCTTTCTTACGGCGGCGAAGATTTAAACCACTTCAATGGACAAACAATCAATACTCCTTTATATTTAAAATCGAAACAAGAAGAAAACTAAAAAATTCATTTTTTTACATTTTTTTTTATCTTTTAAAACATGTCTATTATATTATAAATTTATATCAAATTGTGTATTGTAAGTTATTTTAAAAATTTATTGATTCCATTAAAAACGTTATATTATTACAACTGTTTTTTTTTTATTTTTATGATTATTGATAACGTTATCAATTGATAATGATAATGCATTGATGTCAAAATCGATAAATCAAAGTCTAAATAGATTTATTTATTGTTTCAAAACTATTTTTAAAGTAACCAATTAGGATTACATCAAAAAGTGCTGTTTCATTACATGAATAAATTAATAAATAAATAAATTCTTCCTTGTATAAGATACTTTGATACAACAAACAACAGTCTATTTGACAGCATCTGAAAAGAGCAATTAAGAACGTTGGGATTTTAAAGAGCATAGTGAAATCTTCAAGAAAAAACTTAAAATCAAAATAACTCGAAAACGAAAAACGCTAATATCTTTTATGAAAGTCAACATATTTTTTTACGTACAATTAAAAGGTGTAATAAAAACTATAGCATTCCATTTAAAATAACGAAATTACCGGAAGAGACGACCATTTTGAAAATATTTTAGATCGAAAGTTCCGAATGAATAACCCAAAATTTCAAAACTGCACGAATTGTGGAACCTAAAAAGTTCTTGAGTTAGAAAAAAATAGGATTTGAAGTCAATATATTTTAGTTAATTAATAACCTTATTTTGTAATTACTTGCAGAAGACCACTTACTATTAGCAGAAAACTAGATATTGCTAGCAGGAGACAGTCTAAATATTGGTAAATACTGCTTTCATAAGACTAAATAGTAGATTTTTGATTAAAATAGTGCTTGCAGAAGACCACTCGCTGTTAGCAAAAAAGTAGATATTGCTGGCAGAACTCTAAATATTGATGGCAGAAGACTAGATACTAATTAAAAGGCTTATCTTATTACAAACCTCGATCTTGTTAATTGTATATACCAACCCAACCCCTGCTTTAATTTCCATCTAACACTCTCAGAAAATTTTAAAACTCCTCCTCCACTCCATCTCATCCTCCAAAATCACTCCTGGATATCTTCCACCATCTTATGTTCGCACCAACCCCATGTTTCTGAAAGATATTAATGATGATTCCACAATTTTGCAAAATCAAGACTCTCGCTAACGAATAAAAGTATTCTAAAGTTTATTTTTTATCAATATCATTGATAAAAGACTTCCTGTTTATGTAATAAATTGTTACATAATTATAAGTTATAAAATATATAACAATTAGTACAAATTGTAATTAGTTAATAATTCGCACTTACACATATATTTTGAATTTATTTCATAACAAGATTGCGTCACAATCTTGTTATAAATTACTTGATAGGATAAATAAAGTTTTGAAAATTCAATTTGATAAAACAATAATTTATTTTATTATTATTTATATAGTAACAAGGTCACACCCTCATAAAGCCCCGTTAACTCGCGTTGTCGATTAAAAAAGGGGGCAAGAACCAATTCAAAGAAGCTTCTTTAATTAATATTGACGTATTTTTGAGAAAATTACGCTAAACCTAAACGTCGCATTTCTTTTAACAGTTCGTTACCCATCGCGGCTGGGGACTTCGTTACAATAACACCAGCCTAAAAAGAAAAATGTTAATATTTGGTATAAAAATGTGTTTTTTTACCTTTTCTAAAGCGTTAATTTTATCTTGGGCTCCACCTTTACCACCAGAAATAATAGCACCGGCGTGTCCCATTCTTCTACCGGGCGGGGCAGATAATCCAGCGATAAATGAAACAACTGGTTTTGCGTTGGGACCCTAAATTCAAATTCAAAATTTTAATTAAAAAATAATGAAATTGTTATATATTTATTACCGTATTATTTTTCATGAGATATTCAGCGGCGTTTTCTTCAGCAACGCCACCAATTTCTCCAATGAGGATGATGCCTTTTGTTTCTGGGTCATTAATGAAGACTTCCAAGCAGTCGATGAAGTCGGTTCCATTGAATGGATCGCCACCGATACCAACACAAAGAGTTTGGCCAAGTCCTACTTGGGTGGTTTGATGAACGGCTTCGTAGGTTAAAGTTCCAGAACGGGAAACAACACCCACACGGCCTTTTTGATGGATATGGCCCGGCATTATACCAATTTTACACTGAAATAAAAAAATAATGCTTACATAATCACTAAAATAATTTGTAATGTACATACTTGTTCTGGTGCAATAATTCCAGGACAATTAGGTCCAACAAGACGACTTTTGTTTTGTCTCAACAACTTATGTTTAACTTTGACCATATCATGCTGTGGAATGCCCTCAGTAATACAAACAATAAGGGGAATTTCTGCATCAATAGCTTCTAAAATAGCTTTAGCAGCACCTGGTGGTGGTACATAAATTACAGTTGCATCACAACCAGTAGCATCTCTAGCTTCTTTTACACTATTAAAGACGGGAAGATCGAGATGTTTCTTTCCACCTTTTCCAGGGGAAACGCCTCCAACCATATTCGTTCCATACTCAATGGCTTGTTTGCTATGGAAAGTGCCTTGTTTTCCAGTAAACCCTTGGCAAATGACTTTGGTGTTACCAGTTAACCGAAGATTGTTTCTAGTTGCATTGTAGCTATTATAACGAACTGGTTGGACATTTTTGAGAGCGCCTATAAAATTTTTGAAAGAAAATAATAGATTTAATACTAAGTTGTTAAAATTGCACTTTGTACCCTTATAAAAAAAGTACGCGTGGTAAATAATAATTTTAAGACAAGTTTTTTAATTAAACTCCTTATAAATAAATTAAGCGCATTATGTAAGTTTTTTATTTTACGATGTGGAATTTTTCATTTTGACTTACCGAATGCTCTGCTGAGTATCTTCGACGATGATGCCATTATAGGACTATCGGTGAACGTGAAGGTTGCGTTCGGTTCGTATCAGTTTTAGTCGTCGACCCGAAGTACAAATATTTTTTCCTCTTTATCTCTACTCCACGGCGGGGAGTATGTACTATTACTCGTACCACACCGTACAATCGATAGTGTCCAGGTCAGGTGGTTAGAAAACCAGCCATACCAGCTCGCACAGCGCGACAACAGCTGGTCAAAATTAATTCTTAAAGGTTGATTCACATTGTACACCCTTTTCCGGATGCACTTTATAAATAACTATATTTGACCTTCATGTTACTTAAGCGACATCCACAAAAAATATCTATTTTTAAATTTCAATTTAAAAAAATTATAATTTGATTCAACTCATTTTGAGTCATTTTAAAGTTTTTTATCATAAATATTAATTTATTTATTTTAAATATTAATAAGGATTAATAGCATTACTATAACCGCTGTTTTTGAAAGATCTACATCATTTTTAATTGCCAACGACGAAATGCTTTTGTGGTTGTCTATTTGAAAAATTTAAAAAGAAAAATTTAGAAAGTATTACATTACATTACATTACATTACATTACATAGAATACCCAACAATACTAAACCCAACAAGTTGAGGTGTGCTTTTAATCGGCAGTGCCCAGTAAAAACACCCATTAGAACTTTTATGCTACTACGGGCAAGTCCTAAAATATTCCCGGGTTTGACAGTGGCGATGTTAATAAACACCTTAGCATGTCTCATTCCAGGAGAACTGGTCCACAGTAGGCGAAGTCTCTCTTCAGCCCACAGTCCAATCCTATATTTGGCCATCGCAAATGATACACCAACTGCTGGTTCCGGCCCCACAAACGCTTCAGCGCTGCCATCTCGTGCTAGCTTATCTGCCGCTTCATTGCCAGCAACACCAGAGTGACCCGGGACCCAGATCAAAGAGACTCTGTTATCACAACTCAGTGTGTTTAATGTTCTCTTACAATCATTAACCAGAGCCGACACCGTTTTCACGGCTTGCAGCGCCTGGAGAGCGGCTTGACTGTCTGAGAAAATTCGTACTGTCATGTTCTTCACCCCTCTTTCAAGAAGGATTTTAGCACCCATGTCAATAGCAAATACTTCCGCCTGGAATACAGTACAGTACGTACCCAGGCTGTAGGCTTGCTTAATTCGAGGTGTCTGGCAGTATACTCCTGCTCCTACCCCTTCAGGCGTTTTTGATCCATCTGTGTACAAGCAAATGTCTGCCCGAACCAGAGAATTTTCATTTTCGATCCAGGACTGCCGCTCAGGCAGTACAATCTGGTATCGAGCATTAATCACTGATAGTGATACCGCCAAATCTGACGGCATTGATACCACAGTATCAGTGCTTATAATGTCTTCCGCAGCCCACTGGTAGGACATGTCGGAACAGTTTTGAGCATATTGCTTAAATCTGTAAATGGTTGTTCTAGCCACTTTCTCTATATGCAAATGCAGAGGAGATAGGCCAAGCAGAACCTCCATTGCTAGAGTTGGCGTTGTGCCTATCGCACAAGAGATTGCCAATCCAGCTACTCGTTGAATTCGTGAAAGTTTACTGATAACTGAAGTCTGTCGGACTTTCCTCCGTATGTGATCATAGGTCTAACCACAGTCGCATAGAGCCAGTACAGTCTTTCAGGGGTAAGACCCCAATTTTTTCCACAAAGACTGCGACAAGTCCACAAGGATAGTCTAGCTTTGTGCAAAACTCCCTGCAAATGTCCATTCCATGACAGGGTTTTGTCTAGGATTACTCCTAGATATTTGACTTCCTTTGAGAAAGGAATTTCTTCACCTTGGATAGTTGGGCGGATTAGTCCATCCAACTTTCGCTTCCTGGTGAAAATTTAGAAAGTATAGTTTTTAACAAAATCTGAATCTTCCTTTAATAACGAACGTTGGAAAACGCCCAATTCTATCATACCTGATACTATTGTCATTATTAAAGCTTATACTATTCATCTATACCATTTTGCATCTCTTTTTTAAAGTATCAAGTATCGGAATTTCTCTATGTAGAAAATGTTTTCTCTCGCATTATACATTTTTAGACTGTGATGCTGCAATTAATTCCATTTCGACCTAAAACTAAACTTAAAACAAAATAAGATTTTGCAAAGGAAATATAAAAAAATTTTTTTCTTTAATGAATAATTTATTTAAATAAATCTCGAATAAAAATAAAAAATATTGGTTTACATTAAATGTAGTACACGCGCATCTTATAAGTTTTTGGTGTTCTTAAAACTCCTAAAAGGAACATAAGTCACATATTTTATTCCAAAATTTACAGTAAAGATGTACAAAAAAAAGTTTCGTTTTTTATACCATATGTATTGCACAATTTTCTGATCAAAAAATTTATGGATAAAATAGACGAAGTTTTCATACAATTTATGATTTGTCGATAAAATGTAATGTAATTTGTTTGTAATGCGTCATTTAGTTCATTTACGAAATAGACGAGTCTTAAAATATCACAATGATCACGATTTCCTAATTTCGCCTAGTAAAGTTTTGTTTTTTTAAATGTTTTAAGGCGCATTTAGCTGCCGTACACTTGGCGATACGATAATTTCTGCCGATTCCTTTGAAAATACCTTTTCCAAAGACTTCAACCGTCACGCGCACTCTTCTTCCATCGACTAATTTTTCTGGAGTTCCGAATTTCGCTGTTTCGGGCTCCAACTCCAGTAATTCCCTAATAGGCGACTTTGGAACTTTATCGCTAAACTGTTCGATTTCATTTTTCATCATTTGATAGTAAACTTGCCAAACAGCGTCGAGTGATCTACCGGAATCTAAATAAATCGCGCCAGCAATCGATTCAAAAACGTCGCCTAAAGCTTTAGGTACTTCAACATCTTCGACTTCTTCGCATTCATGTTCGGCTAATAAATATAATTCTTCGGCTAACGCGTGCCCACTTTCTTCTTGTAATCGAACGAATCTTTCAACTACTTGGTGTAAACCAGGCGATAAATGTCGAAAGTATTTATGAAATCCATGTCGCACCGCTAAAGACGCAAATATAGTATTATTGACTAAAGCTGAACGTAAATCTGTTAACGCTCCGGGGGAATGCATTCTGCTGTCTTCATACAAATGTCTAGTGATTAAATAATCTAAAACGGCGTCTCCCAAAAACTCCAATCTTTGATAACAGTCGGTCAATGTATTGCTGGAGTACGAAGCGTGTGTTAACGCTTGTAATAAATAAGCCCTATCTCGAAACTGATAACCAATATTCTCTTCAAATTTAGCATAACCATCCAAAAGAATATCCAATTCCCCTTCCGGATCCGGAACATGCCGTAACAAGGGTGATTTAGGATTTTCTAATTTTCCATAGCTGCCATCTTGCAAACGAGGTAAAACTCTTATCCCTAACCACGCCATAAATAAAAGTGCTCCATGTGGACCACATTCAATTAAATAGGCTCCAATTAACGCTTCAACACAATCTGCAATACTTTTATCGGGAATGCTATGTTGTGTTACTAAATTATATGGAATAGTCCCTGGCAAATCGATAAGTTCGCCTAATTTTTGTATTTGAAATGTGGTATCAATAATTTCTTGTGGCCTATTCGAATGTATCACTCCTGAATTTAATAAAGCTTCTTCTAATTCTCTAGGTACGTAAAAACACGGTGGCAACCAATTGTCATGAGGATCAAATTTCGTCGCTATCATACACTCACCAAGATTTTTTCTTTTCCCCAATCGATACAAATTTAAATTACTAACTTGTTTCGATCGTAAATGACTTAATTTACCTTCATGTACGTTCTCGTATTTTGAATATAAATAATCAGTGATTGCGTATTTTAAAAATGAATCTCCAATCGTTTCTAAGCGTTCCAAATTGATTCCGTCGTTTGCGTTCGACATCGTTAAAGCTTGTAAAATAACACTCGGACTTGGACCTGGATGATCCTCTAGCGACGGTTGAAGATCAAAACTAAACGGTAATTTCATATTTAAACACTGTATTTTATCGTTGAATATTTTATCCCCAGTTCCTGAATTATACTCCGGGCAAAGATCTTTTATAAGAACGTTATTATCTAAGGCAATTTGACTTTTTTCAGAATTTGCAATGTTGGCCTTCTTGAAATTTGATTCTTTTCGTATATAAATTCCGGAATTAAAAATGGTTTCAACGTTTCGATTGCAAGCTTCTAAAAATTCTTCTTTTAGTACGGTCATACTGTCATCTGTAACCATATTGTAATTTTCCCAAGAATCGGTTACTCGTAACAAATGGCTGTCATCGTCGTGCTGGACGCCAGTATCAACAGCTTCAGCTATATTATCACCCATAAATTCAATGTGTAACCCTCCAAATTCTGAGCTAGATTCGTCCTCGGAATAACATTCATCTGAATCAGAAAAATCGTCATACGTTTCCGGTAGCCAACTTGTTGGTGATGCATATCTAACCATCGCGTCATTTGCAATTTGAATATCAATCATATCATTTGACCAAGTACCAATTTCCAAATTCCAATCTTTTTCATCTTCCTCTTCTTCGCCATTTTGGATTTCTTCGATAATTTCGACGGATTCATCTTCGACGATTTCCGTGATTTTTTCTCGAGTGGCTGATGAATGTCGTGAATGCTTTTCTTGGAGTGCGTTATCTTGAGGTTTCTTTTTTAGTACTTCTAAAAGACTCCATCCAAAATTTAGCGTTGGCCATTTGAAGTCTTGCGGCAAATTTTTTTCGCCTAAATTCATTTCGTGGGCGACGGTCAATCGGATTTGATCTGCTAACAACAACGCGTTTATTCGATACAAAATACAAGGTAAACAAACTGCTTTTCTCCATAACGAAGCGGGAAATGGATGAACCGCACATAATTCAGGTACTAAAATTTGTTTTTGTTCCAAATTTTCGCGCTTTGCTCGTTTAGTTTCTTCACTACTGGTTGGTAACGCAACGCCTTTTCTATTCACGTATCTTGGGGTTAAAAAATTTAATCGTGCTGAGGTGTGATCGACGTCGAGTAAGTGTTGTTGAAGATTTTGTATTTTAATGTTATATTTTCGATTGTAATATTCGTCGAATGTTGCGTACTCCGAGCCGGGAAACGCCGATTTTGGATTCAAATTTGTACAAATTTCCGCTACATAAAAATATTGGGGTTGATCGCGATTTCTGTACCAAGGCATCACGACAGCATCCTTGTATTTACATGGTTCAAACTTGTAGTTGACGCGTTCTTCATCCGATATTGATTGTGGTAATATGTTACGATTATCATATATTAAGTCGATGAAATCCCAATCGATTTTTGTTGTATTATTAACTAAAAAAGTTAAAAAATTAAATTAAATTATACCTATTAAGTTAAATACCTGTAATCGTAGGGGCGATTAAATAGGAACTGTCGGCTTTTTCCGGTTCGAATAACATTAGGTATCGTTGAAGTCGTAAAACGCTAGTGAAAGTATAATTTAAAAATTCCCTTATCTTATGGATTTTGTCGTCGTCAAGCGATTCGTTTGATGTGCACAATTCTAAACTAATACTAACTTCCCCAGATCGCGTGAAAATTGGAAAAGGACAAATCTGTTTAAAAAAGTCGGTTATTATTGCAAAAATTGTTTAGAATAAAGTGATATTTACCTGAGGAATAGGTTTGCAAGTTAAAATACCAAAACCTTGCGGTGATTCTTCAGGTGGATAAATTTTGCGTCCTCTGGTATTTTGTTCTTCAGGTAAAGGACATGTTAACGTCATAATTATTCTATAAAAGTAAACTGGTTGATTTGGAATGGGATGACATGCTAATAAAGCGTTTGAGACACGTTTGTAATAGTATTGCCTCCGTTTAGTGGTTCCAGGTCGTTGTTCAACGTTTTCATTAACTAACTCTTCGTCGGAAGGTTCTAAAGGAAAATGATTCCAATCGTCTTCGCTGGCTTTAAAATTTTCTTTTCCTACCGGTTGCAACATGTCGTCTAATTCTCCCGCTTGATGAAGTAATTTGCAGGTATATAAAGCGGCTATTCGTTTGGCTAAAAGGCAATTGACGACTGGTGGGGAAGAAACCGTTTGTTTCACGGGAGAATTAATCGGAAGTCGTAAGGTACAAACGTAAAGATTTCCTTCTTTCTTAATATTCCAAAGTGGTGTTAACCGTGTAAATGTATCGCTTGGTAATTTGGCACAATATTTATTAACTAATTGAATGGCAGTAGCTAAGGTAACATTAGGCGATCCAACTTGAGGTAACGGCTGATATGGTAAAATAGCCCCGTTATAACGATTAGCTTCAGCCTTCTCTTTCGCATCCGGTTCCAAACTATACGCCCTCCTCAACAGCGTTTTTTCCACCTCCATGTATTCGCCCAATTTCTCCACAAACTCCTCCGAATCATTCTCGTTTACCACCAATAAATAATAAGCATCCGGCAATCTCGCCCTAGCTTTACTTTGAAGGTAACTGTGAAATGTATTCGGCAAATCGAAACGAACCACCAAGTTACATTTCGGTAAATCACAGCCTTGTTCCAACACGGAAGTCGCTATCATTATGTTACACTCGTGTGCTCGATATTTTTTTAACACTTCTTCTTGTCTTCGATGTTCTAATTCAGCCTCACGTGGTTCTCTACTTGGATCCGTTATTTTATCTACCGAGTATAATGTTGATACCCAATAATAATCTGGGTGTTGTTGACTCATCGTCTTAAATTAAAAAGAATTTATATAATTATAATTTATTTAGTACGTCAAAATTATTTTAATTTATTATTATTAATTTAATAGATATTCCGTGATTGCTTGGGACTCAATTCATGTAGGATGCATTGAGGTTATCAAGGATTTCTGGACTACTTCCAAGAATGTTTAAAAGATTATGAAACTTAGTTCTTGGGGGTTTCAAGAATTATGTAGTGTCTTAGGGTGTGTCCAAACATAGAGCGCGGCGTGTTTCACATATGCTGCGCAAATATTCTTTGGTATGTCCAAACTGGTGAGCGATAGATACCTTTACAGGATTCTGAAAGCACATTGTCCTGCGGCAGAATTGTGTCCTGCGAACGCAGCGTAAGAAAGAAGATTCTGAAGGTTACCAAAGACTGCCTAAAAGTTTAATTATTATGCGGAGATCCATTTGATTGAAATTTATGGAAGAAATAATCTCGGCCGACTTCGAAGACGTCGGCCGCCCCGAGTATCATGAACAATATTTAGGAATCGGAGCATGTTACAAAAAAACTTTTTAAGCAAAAGTTGTAGATAATTTTATTCTTAACAATATTGCTCTCTTGCACTTTTGCTCTCAGATGCACCAATATCGAGAAAAATACGAAAATATGAAAATTTGGTGAATTTATTGCTTTTTTTAAGCTGTTATGGTAACACTATGGAAACGGAGCATACTACTAGAAAACTTTTTGAGCAAAAGTTGTAGATAATTTTATTCTTAACAATATTGCTCTCTTTCACTTTTGCTCTCAGATGCGTCAATATCGAGAAAAATATGAAAATTTGGTGAATTTATTGCTTTTTTAAGCTGTTATGCTAACACTATGGAAACGGAACATACTACTAGAAAACTTTTTGAGCAAAAGTTGTAGATAATTTTATTCTTAACAATATTACTCTCTTGCACTTTTGCTCTCAGATGCACCAATATCGAGAAAACTACGAAAATATGAAAATTTGGTGAATTTATTACTTTTTATAAGCTGTTATGGTAACACTATGGAAACGGAGCATACTACTAGAAAACTTTTTGAGCAAAAGTTGTAGATAATTTTATTCTTAACAATATTGCTCTCTTGCACTTTTGCTCTCAGATGCACCAATATCGAGAAAAATACGAAAATATGAAAATTTTGTGAATTTATTACTTTTTTAAGCTGTTATGGTAACACTATGGAAACGGAGCATGCTACTAGAAAACTTTTTGAGCAAAAGTTGTAGATAATTTTGTTCTTAATAATATTGCTCTCTTTCACTTTTGCTCTCAGATGTGTCAATATCGAGAAAAATACGAAAATTAGAATGCGTAGTTTTCTATGTTGTTAATAGCAACTCCCGGGATTCTGAGTATATTAGATTTTTTTTTATAGTTTTATAATCCACCAATATCTAGATCTAGTAGTCGCAGTATCTAGTTTTCCACAATCTCTCAACAGATTTTTCACTCCATCATCTTATATTAGATGTAGAGACTCTAATACTTCTTTCAGAAAAGGATGGTTAATGGATAACAAAAAAATCAATTCAGGTTCCTTATATTTGTTGATGAATGAGCTATAAAGTTAGTGAGGGAAAAAATTAAAACACCATGATTGCCAATTTGTTAGTAATAAAATCACAACTAATAAAATTTACTTTATTAAGTTTATTCCATTGTTCTAGAATGGTTCAAAAAAACAGAATTACGACTGTTAGAAGTCGTAAAATTGTTATTAAATTATTAACAAATTAAAATTTGAGATTCCTAAAAGATAATTTTTTACTTACCGAAAGTAACATGAATAAAACTTTAGCAGTCATGCGGTTGTGTACAAAAACTAAAGCGCATAAATTATCGTCACTTTGTTGGCGATGCATCATTAATCGTTTAGGTCCTCTATGATTTTTTCTTCCCGTTCCTTTGCCCAATTGTGGAACATCTGTAGGGGTTGTATCGCTAAGAGTAGGAGGTTCAGGTGGTTTTTCGTAATTAGCGGGTTTAAATTCTTTAATAACTTCTAAGAAACGTAAAACTTTCGGACTGGAATGTTTTGCGATTTTTTCCTTTTCCTCAAGATCGCCAAATTCCGAGTCGCAGTAAGCCCTAATTTCTAGCATAACAGTAAATATCATACACAAAAGGAGATAGTGTCTCTCGTAAGGAACTTTAACCTTCAATTTTTCTATTAAAGATATAGTGTTTAAAGCAGCTTGATCGACGGCCCATGGTCCAAGATCTTCGAGTATTTTTAAAGTATCGTTTAAAAATTCAAGCGGTTGTAGCTTTGGGTCGGGAACTTTTAAGAATTCTTCTAAAAGTTCGTCTGAATAAATTTCACTTGGATCGTAACGGTGTTCGGCAAGAAATTCTTTAGCGTTTAATATGATATGTCGAAGTTTGTCGCATAACGGGGTAGGAAGCATTAAGGCGCATTCAACAACGTGCTCTTTTGGCCTACAGCAAAGTCGCAACAACGTAACAACCTCGCTTGATGTGTCAACAGACGAACGAAGAAGTTTTTCGAGTCGTTGCATCTCAGCTTCTAACAATACTGGACGTAATTCGGTACTGAGTAAACCCGCTACTAAACCTAATACGCGCGGACGATCATCAATATCCAATTCATCATATTTAATCATCAATTTTTCTACTAATTGTTGCCTAGAACCGTGTAGGCAATCATCTATGACTAGCAAAACTAAATTTGACAAACTCAAACTTCCGTTTAATATCAGTTCAATGCAGATATCTGCTGTTAATACTATAACAGAATACTTAGATAATAAATCATCCCATTCTAAGTTATCTATTGAGAGTACACTAGTAACAGTAAGGTCAGTAAGTAATCTAACTTGTGTGGTCATGATTGAAATATTCTCTGAATCTAATATAAAAAGAGCTCGTTTACCACGATGCGAACGCATACACCACGAATATTCTTGTACTAATTTAACAGCAATAAACGTTTTCGCTTCTCCAGTACTAGAACATACGATGGTGTTATTTCTTTTAATCGAATCAAGCAACTCCACTTGATATTCTCGCGGAGTAAAAGTGTGAGTATACACATTATCCAATATGTGATACGCCATTCTTTTTAATCTTTACTATATATTATTTTACATATCACAAAAGTATTTCGTTAAATAGTCTAATAGATGATTCTTAATTCTTAATCGAATTTAAACTTTCTTTGTAGAGGTTATGTTTCGTATGTACTTTGTTGTGCATTTCGGCGAAGATTTTTTTAATAACACTATACTTAACTAAACAGTTTACGATAACTCCTTTTTAACTAATATAGTTAACTAATAAGTAATATAGTAAACTCTTTGAATTCACTAAAAGTAGTCGTAACTCGACGTTTTTATATACAGTACAACCATAGAATATCTAGACATGACACTGATGTCAATTCCCGCGAGCCACATTTTTGACCTTGATTTAAATTCCGCCATCTTTAAGAAAGAACCCCAAATCTAACTCCGCTTCTAAAACATGGCGTTGTCGCAAAATCGGAGTTTTGGCGGGAACCCCTCAGTGTCCTTTCTTTCTATTCTGTGGTAATGACCTACCTGTCATTTTAAAAATGTAGATGGCGCTGCGTATCAAAACAAATCTTTCAAAAAAAAATTGAATTCAATTAACTTTTTAATAATCAAATAATGATGAGTAATAATAATTAAAATTGATTAGATTTGCTTAAATCTGTTTATTGTAATATAATAATTGTAAATTAAAATCGTAATTTGTTGAAATGTAGATGGCGGAACGTGTCACAACATAGATAGTCCCCCATAATTGTGGTAGGGGGTTAGGTGCTCCACAAATTTTTAATAAATTTGGTGTGAAACTAAAAAGTAATAATTCTAACGCACAAAATAATATTCAAATGCCAGCAATAATAACGATAGTGAGTCAAAAACGTAGCCACACCGAAGGACAACCGACGACTGTAGTAGGTGTTCTTCTGTTATGAACGTAAATTTTAGGTTAGCTGTCAAAAAAATATATCAAAGTGTACAACGTTAACAAAATCAAGTATGTGATAAACTTTACTCATATTGTGTATTTTTAGGTGTAGAAATGGCCGTGCCAGGTAACAATCAAAGGGAAAGCTGTTGTGTTAGAGTTTTCAAATGGATCCCAGTCTTATTTATACTATCCATAGTCTTCTGGTCTTATTATGCCTATATTATCCAACTATGTATACGTAAGATTTAAATTTATACACTATCTCCTAAGCTTTTTTAAAACATTTTTTATTTAGTTACTATTGAGGATGTCCCTAAACAAATTATATACATATTTGTTTATCATTGCATCTATGCTATGTTTTTATGGGCATATTGGCAGACTGTTTTAACTCCAAGCGGACGAGTACCCGATAAAGTATGTAAAAGTCTTGTTTTATTAGAGATGTAACAGACAATGATAATCACTTTAGCTTAATTAATTAAATTTTAATGAATGTGGCCAAGATTTCAGAGTAATTTTAGAAATGGGCATATCTGTGAATAGGATATTGGAAAATCCTATAAGGAATTATATTGGTGCCAGACCCTATTAAAACCCTAATACAGTGATTTCAACTTATAATGAACCCTCAGACCATGCTATTATAACCAATGTACAGGGTGGGCAAATTTGGATGTTATTATAGGCTATCTCAGAAACTATAAGAGATACAAAAAAAGTAGGTGCCATGTCCCGGTCTCTTTTTCCGAGACTAATCCAATCCCGTAAACACCAAATCTCTATCTTCTTTTGTTTTTAAGTTATAGCCAAAAAGTCAAATTTTAGTGATTTCAAAAAATGCTCATATTTCGTTTATTTTTGAAATTAGAGAAATGGGGTTAATGCATTCTTAAGACACTTTTTTGAGTAGAATATACTGTCGTTGAAAAATTTTTAACATAGCTGATAATTTTTGAGATATAACATAAAGTTGTATTTTTTTAAATACAAACTATACTTTATTATGATATTACTGAAAAGAGCATATTTTTAGCTTTCCAATGATGTATCGCACGCATGATGTTTCTGCGGAAAATAAGCGTTATTTTTCAATTTTTAAAATATTAAAGATTAAAATTCAAATTTTTAATTATAGTAGGCGAGGAAAACGCTAAATACTACTTAGTTACTATAGCAACGTGAGTTTACTTGTCATTTCATTCATGAATTTTGCGAAACGAGTTTCCCGTTTAAGAAGTTCCGCATTATCTTTAAATAAAACGATAAAATTAAATATAGAATATATTGGAGTCCGCTTTGAAGATGATACATAAGTCTTCATATCCCCATTCAAACGGTGTTTCAATGGAAAGTCCGCTCCCAGTTTATGATTCCTAATTTTCCTCTATCTCACCCAATTTCAAAAGAAAAGATTGCTGATATCAAAAAACTTCTACATCTTATGTTTGGGGAAAACTGGGAAAATACTACCGAAGATTTCATTCATTGATACCGAACTGTTCTAATCTTACAACCAGTAAGTTGAGTAGAAGAAGATGACAGTTTATGACTGTTTAGTTCCTGAAGTTGTCCATATTTAATTATTCATTAATTAATACATTTCTTGTATTTTTAATAAACAAACTTTAAATGCTAATCATTTTTTATTGGTAAACAAAGTCAGGGATAAGATGCTGAGAAATTTAAATTAACTATTCAAAGTTTTTATTCGTTGGTACAAAACCAACTTATCCTGAATAATGGTACAAAACCAACTTTATTCTGTCATATTCGTGCAAAACCATATATTATAGCCACTAGGTAGTATTTACTGTCCGGACACGCCTACTATAATCAAAATTTTGAACATTAGCGCTTACTATTTTCGAATTGAAAATTAACGCTTATTTTCTGCAAATACACCATACATGCGATACATCATTGGAAAGCTAAAAATATGCTCTTTTCTTTAACATCATAATCAAGTATAGTTTGTATTTAAAAAAACACAACTTTGTGTTATATCTCAAAAATCATCAAGTATATTTAAAACTTTTCAACGGCAGTATATTCTACTTAAAAAAGTGTCTTAAGAACGTATCAACCCCATTTCTCTAATTTCAAAAATAAACGAAATATGAGCATTTTTTAAAATCACGAAAATTTGACTTTTTGGCTATAACTTAAAAACAAAAGAAGATAGAGGTTTGGTGTTTGCGGGATTGGCTTAGTCTCGAAAAAAGAGACCGGGACATGGCACCTACTTTTTTCGTATCTCTTATAGTTTCTGAGATAGCCTATAATAACACCCAAATTTGCCCACCCTGTACACTAAAACTGGAGATACAGTACCACTCAAAATTATATGATAATTTGGTTTTTCCTACATAACTTTTTTGAAACTTTATGAAATCAGACCATAGCTTTTCTAATGTATTTCACATGACTTGTGTAGAAGAATCCGTTTCAACTTTGAGTTCGATGTCAACAAAAATAAATCATAACTAAAGAAATATCAACATAACAATCGCGTACAGCAATCAGCCATGTAAAGCAACTTAGTACTTGGTTGGGTTTCAGCATCTAATGCTATAATGAGAGTTTAGTAACATTTTATGGTAACATTATATTTACACATATTTACACATTTATATTTAGTAACATTAATTGGTAACATTGGGTCATTAATTTTTTTGTGTTTTGACAATTTTTAATTGTCAATTCAAATTTCATACATACACTCGTGATCTTTTTAAATGAAAAGTAAAGAAGGATGGCTAGCTCGGAGTCGGGGACGCTCGGGTTGGTTTATTTTGAGACCCGGGGCGAGACTAACGGTCGGAGCGACAGAAACGGGTAAAGCAAGTAGAAAATGAGTAATTTAAAATTGTCACTACGGGATTTTTAAATAGGTTTATTGTAAATGCAACCAGTTAAATATTGGATTAAATGAATACATTATTTAATGTATTATGTTTTGTTAAAAAATGAATTTTGGAAAACAAATAAAATTATTCCTAATTTAAATCAATTTCATGATGAAAACATATTAAAATATAAATACTGAAAAAATATTAATATTATTACAGTAAAACTTAATTTAGATCATTTTCGAACAATTGATTCGATTGCATTGATTGTGCGCAGTTAATTGTTTCTATTAATGGTAAACCTCCTTGTCAATACAAGAATTCATTAATTTCATAAATAAGTTTTATGATGATAATAGAGGACCATTCACCAGTAAACGGTGAATCTGAAACCATAAAATCCAATTTGAAGTCGAAAAGAAGCACTTTCTTCCCCTTTTGCTTTTGAGAATAATTTACCTTATATAGCCCAAATTAGACCAACTCAAAAAAATGCTATTTAAATGAATCGTTAACAATTAAAACGTTGTATCGTTTAAAATCTTGTAAATCAGTTTACAGCGGCTCAAAATCAATTAAAATATAGTAAAATCATTTAGAAACTATCTAAAATGGTTGAAGATCAATCTTCTATACTCACGTAAAATCATCTGCAGAAGCTTAATATTTAGTAAAATCATTTAAGATCAGTTAAAATCATCCAAAACCGACTTAAAATCACACAAAAATTTTCAAAAAACAGTTTAAAACGGTATAATGCCATCTGGAATTTAAAATGACTTAAAACTGTTGAAATTGAGTTTAAAATTGGTATACATTATTTAATCAGTTTAAAATGGTTGAGAATCATTTGAAATCGTTTAAAATCAACTTGAACCATTCAAAATTCTCTAAAATCTTGTAGGACCACTGCAGCCACTCAGACCAGTCAAAATCATCTAAAACAATCTTAGAATCATCCAAAAATGTTCAAAAAATAGTTCAAAACGTTATAACATCATCTGGAATCATCTAAACTCACCTAAGATTGTTGAAAATCAATCTAAAATGGCGTGAAATTGCTGAATCGATTTAAACTGGTTGAAAATTATCTGAAATGTTTTAAAACCTTGCAAAATCTTCTAGGAACACATAAAATTAGCTGCAACCGCTTAAAATCTAGTAAACTCATTTAAAATTAGTTAAGATAATCCAAAATTGTCTTCAAGTCATCTAAAAATGTTCAAAATAAGGATTAAATGATTAAAATAGTGCTGCTGTTAAACCAACTAAATGATGAAAAATTTAGAATCAAATGAATGTTACTTTAAAGTTATACGTAGGGCTATAAAGGGTTAAAGATTTATATTCCCAAAATGATTTCAGTTTTGCCATCTACTTTTGAATCGTCCAGATAATAAAACACAAGGATTTAGTAAATAGTTAACTGGTTTGTATAAATACTGACATTTATTATTAAACAAATCTTAATACTTTATTATGTTCAGGTGGTGTGTTTTGAAGCCGTATGTTTTCATTCAGATTTGGTAGGGATACGATAATTTAATTGGTTGAAATATAGAAAAAATTAAAACGGAGCAAAAAAACAAAAAACTTTTAGTGACAAAACGTTCTACGTTTTTTAACTTTTGATAAAAGAAGTTTTGAATCACACTGTAATAATATTAATAATTAATCAGTATTAATATCTTAATATATTATCATCATGAAATTGATTTAAATTAGAAACAATAATTGAAACACATTAAATAATTGAAACTGCACAATCAATACAATCGAATCAATTGTTCGAAAATCATCTAAATTAAGTTTTACTGTAATAATATTATCATTTAATATTTTTTCTGTATTTATATTTTAATAGTTATCATCATAAAATTGATTTAAATTAGGAACAATTTTTATTTGTTTTCCAAAAATCATTTTTTAATAAAACATAATACATTAAATAATTTATTATGCTATTTTCGATAATTTAATCGAATATTTTGCTGGTTTCTATTACAATAAACCTATTTAAAAATCACGTAGTGACAAATTCTAAATTACTCCTTCTCTACCTGCTTTGGCCGTCGTGATTACTCCGGCCCCTTAGCCTTGCGCCGGGTTTCAAAGTAAACCATCCCTACCGTCCCCGACTCCGAGCTAGCCATCCTTCTTTAATTTTCATTTAAAAAGATCACGAGTGTACCTATTTCTCTACATTGTCAAAATTTATCAAAATCAACAAAATCAGTTTTCTTATTAGAGTATTGTGTCATTCAAGCTTGTGTGTTTTTCTTATGTTTTGGAATCTAGAGTTTTATTTTTAGTCCAATACATTCATTTTTGGCTACTTGTGGAATATTTTATTATTTATTTATATTATATATTTTTTTAAAGAATTGGGGAAGAATACGCTTCAAAGAAAGCAGCTATTACTCCGGAACTACTACGAATTTCGCATTAATATTTTAGTATCGCATTCTTAAGACGTTTAAGAACAATTTTGTGAGAAAAAAATTGTTGAGTTTTTTCGAAGGTTCTAAATATATTTTTTGTTTAGCTAATATTAGCGAATTTTTGTATCCCTGCGATATTGATTTTCATCTGTTCAGTGAGTAACCTCCCAGACCTCTTTGATGTTGTCCATTGTTAGGTTGCATTAAAAGCAAATCCTGCTTTTATAAACTTCAATGAATATCGTTCCCCACCTTCATAAATTTAGAAAGTATCCATGTTGCATTTCAACAGCAACCTAACTAATTCTTTGTTTTTCCTTGCCTCACTTAAATATTGTCTGTGATATCTCTCAACATCGCCCTTTCATCTTCTAACATTGTCTTTGAAATCTTTCAATATTGTTCTCTACGAAACTCTCATGGTTATACTTAACCAGTAAATATCCCTCAGTAAGGATCAAATCTCTCTTTGAAAGCATGGATTTTAAATTACGAGTATTAAGAATAATTTTTTTATCTGTTACATCTCTAATTATGTTTTTTTATATAATACAATATGATTGAAATTATTTTTATGTACTATTTTTTTAATATGTAGTTTAGATTATCTGAAGTTGAGTATGACAGAATTCTACAAGCGGAAAATGAAGAGACACAAAGATTAATGTTAGAAGATTTCTCTCGCAATTTGCCGAATTTGAATCGTACCGTTAGTGGTTCTGTGCGTTATTGCGAAAAATGTCGCCTTGTAAAGCCCGACAGGACGCATCATTGCTCCGTTTGCGGTCGGTGCATATTGAAAATGGACCATCACTGCCCTTGGGTTAACAATTGTATTGGTTTCACTAACTATAAATTTTTCGTACTGTTTTTGGGATATGCTCTCATTTATTGCATATACGTCGCTCTTACTTCTGTACAATATTTCATTAAATTTTGGCATGTAAGTTAATCAATAATTTTTGTTTTAATAATTTTTTATGTATAACTTGTTTTATAGGGTACATTAGAAGGTACGGGAAGATTTCATATTCTTTTCCTGTTTTTTGTCGCATTAATGTTTGCGATAAGTTTAGTATCGTTATTTTGTTATCATTGTTATTTGGTTCTTCAAAATCGGACAACGTTAGGTAAATTAAGTTATTTTAGTTAGTTTTTTTATTAATGTTAATGTTTATTTTCAGAGGCTTTTAGAGCGCCGATTTTTCAAACAGGTCCTGATAAGCAAGGTTTCGATTTAGGGAAATATAATAATTTCCGTGAAATTTTTGGGGTGAAACCAAAGTTATGGATATTACCTATTCCAACAAGGTGAGTTAAAATAAATGTTTTTTTACACTAAAAAACTTAAAAGGTTTTTGAGCAAAAATTTTTTGGTGGTATTTTTGTTATAAACTTTTTTATAGTTTGGGCGATGGTGTGGCATATCCAACTCACTTGCAACACCAATCACACATGTATCATTCTATGGAAAGCACACAGACCAGGTCAGACTGATGGCACTAAAAATATATTAAGTTTTAATAAATAAATAATCAAAGTAATTAGTTATAAAGTATTAAATTGTGCCGTTGGCCTCTGCGTTCAAAACAAAAAACACACCATTTATTTCTTTTTATAAAAACAATTTTCATCTTACCTTTTTTACTATCAACGCAAATTGGTAGTAAAAGTCGAGTTTTTCTCAACATTTTTTTACGTAAATGTGAACTTTTTATTATGGACTTTTTTGAGGAAAACGCAGAACCAGAGTGAATCACTCGATGTGATAAACACTTTGTATTTATTAATTTTTTTCGAACTAAGATAAGTAAGTTCTTTTATTATAAAATAAAAATAAAAAAAAATTAAAATACAAGGTGATTTAAAAGATCAAACTCAAAAATATGTTTTTTTAATTCCCGAAATTATATAACATAATAAACAATTCATCTTGTATTTTAACACGAAACAAAGTGGTTTCTCTATGCAATAATAATTTTAATGAAATCAGTAGGAGCCTATTTAAGAAGCTCGCGCTATTTATCACTTTTTGTACATAACATAAATACCATTTGATTGTAAGATATAATTGAGTGATTTTCAAACTGATTATTATTCCAAATAAATTTAATTTTATTAATTTTTTGCTTTTTTTGTATTCATCTACAAAAAAAATCCTAAAATATCCTGACCTAAACGTGCAACGGTAAGTAAAAGAAAAAGCATGGAAGAAGCGTAAAGGCCTCCGATGAATAATTGTAACGTTTTAACTCCCTTTTTTATACTAATTATGACGTAACGCTTTATAATAGACCTTTCTGTGTGCTAATTCCGTATTAATTATTTGTTATTAAATAATTCAGCTTCTTTTCTTTTTTGTTAATTAGCTTGGGTAGCGGATACATATTTCCTCGCCGAAAATACGGGGATGACACAGAACAGTTAATTTCTACCACTCCATATTTCCTTTGGGATGATGAAGAAGAACAATTAATGACTGGAAATCACGATAGTAGTCCCAGCCCCGACCTCGGAATGGGGGACCCATAATCAAATTTTCTTCCACGTTAGTTATTAAACAAGTTTTTTCCTATTTTCTAAACTCTAGTCTGAATTTAATTAAAAAACCGATCTATTAAGATATATTAACAAAAGTAAAATAATTTAAAGAAAAAAAATGACTTAGTTTTGAATTGTATATAAAGTTAGATGTATTTTTGTTCGTAACGTTAAATAAAAAAAAATAGTTTTGATTCAAATTTGTTGTTTATTTTGAAATTATTGTGTTATTTTGTACAAAATAAAATTAACCTTAAAAATATATTTTTCGAAATGTTATGAGCGACATCTATGATTCACAGGATGCAAATTCCACTCAAAAATTAATTTTCTGTACTTAATATGAGATCCAGGTGTACCCAAGAATTACATTCAAAATTTTTAGGACCAACAACAGCCACCTAACGCATTGTAGCTTAACGTTACGTGACTATTGTTGGCCCTAAAAATGTTGTGTGTAGTTCACTGTGATCTAAAAAGATTGCTATGTAAATTATTTTGAAAATTTGAAGTTACATCATTATATACATACCCAAATGCAACTCAACTAGACAGCAGTTTTTCATTTTGAAGAATAGTGATACAATGGAAGAGGTCAACATCCACATTATGTACTTATTATAACACATAATAGTGTATGTAGATCCTATCCCACCGTACAATATTCCTGGGAATGATGATATTATGGCATATCTGTAACATACGACTTAATACAAGGCAGAAATTTTATTACAGTTCAATAATTATTATCTCAAGAACGAGTAGAGGTTTTCAAGTAAGATCAAGTTCATGTTAAAATACACACTTTCCTTTATAAATTACATTTGTTTCATTGAGATATCTTAAAAATCCGATTTTTTACGATTTCAAGGTCGCATAATAGAAGGGGAAAAATTACTTACTTAATTTTGAACTCAGGTTGGATAGTGATAAAGTTTAAAATACGTTACTTGGAGATATGAGGCAAAAATAGTAAGTATAAATACTCACTTAAGATAATTCCTAAAGATTTTCGACCCAAAAAGGTCCAACAGATTCTATAACAAAATTAAACAAAATAAATAAAAAAAAATTTAGCATAGATGTTAACATCCCTCACAACTTTGTAGTCTTCATCACCTCCAAGATCATTCACATCTTCCTCTTCTATACTTTTTGTTGATTAATAGTCCCGAAAAAGAGATTCGGACTTAATTATATATGGATGAATTTTGTAATCAAAAATAATTTTATAATGAATAAATAAATTTGAAATTAATTTGAGAGAAATAACACAAAAATAAAAAATAAATCATTTTTATTACCCAACACAACGTAAAATAATACAAATAAAATCGATTGAGATTTCTTTTTAAACGGGATAATAAAAACTAAACGAAAATATAATTGTGTTAATCTCATAAAAAAAATCTGTGGGTCAAACACTAAACAAAAAAAAATTTATTCTTTTTAAAAATGATTATGAAATATTAAAAAATAAAACTTTTATGCTTGAAAAAGTATCGCATTTCTTCGATTCGGTTAATATCAAAACGATTAGAACTCTTACGTGTCTGTATATCGAATGTAAAAGGAGTTACATCCACATATTATATTTAATATCGAACGCAAAAATAATACTAAACATCAAAATCAAAGATTATTTAATGGAATTTAGTTGTTGGAGTGAATAAGCGTTTTCGTGATTCGTAGCGCTCCTTGGAGGTTAACGGCTTCTTTTTACCAGAAACATTTTCATTGTTTGCTTCTTCGCCTTGTTCATTATTGCGATTATTAGCATTGTTATGATTGTTACGATTATAATTATCCGGATAAACAAATTGAGTTTGTTCAGGTTCCGTTTTTTTGTTTTTCTTATTTCTCTTCTTTTTAGGTTTTTTGGTTTCAGCAACATTCTTTTCTGCGTTTTCTTTAGAAGTGCTTGGTTCGCTTCTTGGTTCTACTTTAGCGTTAACTTCTGCCAATTCTGGCTTTTTCGACAAGTCGTTTATCAATTCCCCCAAAGTTGGTACTTTTAATTCGGGCATATCAAGTACTTCAATTGTAACGTTCTTTAAATCATCAGAAGGCAAATTTGCACTCTCTTTGGTTAACTTAAGTAACTTGGCTAATTTTTCATGGTTTGCTTTCGAATCGTCAAAGAGATGTTGCATTACCTTAACGAAGTTTTCTTGGGCTTCGCTTAGTTTCTGGTTCGATTTCGATTCGGTTTGATTTAACTCGTCTTGGGGGGTTAAATTTAGTTGTTTTGGTTTTGTTTTTGGTTCATCGCGTTGTTTTAATTTTTGGTAACTTGTTTTAATGTTACGTTTTCTCGGTTTTTTGTTGGGTGCATTAAGATTGTTTTGTTCGTTTGGTTTCTTATTTAAATCGTCTTTGGATTGCTGTGGCTTGAATTCAGCGAGATCCGTGTTTATGATAGAATTATATAAATCAAGGGGTCCATATTTGTCTTCGTATTTTTGGACTTGATCGAATAATGAGGAAACTACAAGGAGAGTTTCGCGGAATCTGTCATAAATGGTGATATACGCGACGACCATGGAATCAAGTTTTTGTTCGGGAGATAAATTTCGAAGCGATTTCATCAAGTTGTCGATCATTTTCATGTCATTTCTGCGGCAATAATCTTCGCAGGCGTCGATATTTTCGAAGAACATTGTTTTAAGTTTATCCATTTAGGCTAAAAACACGATTGTTTGTGTTAAAGGGGTTATTAATATTATTAATTAATAAGAGTGGGTTAAATTACGATAACTCGTGTTCGATTTATCACGTTCTATAATTTCCTTTAACTTTTAGAAACGTTATTCATTCTCGATAACATTTCCAAACGTACACATAATCGAAGAATTTTTATTGAATTCTTATCTAACTTTTTAAGCAACTTTAATTTTATGGGTGTGATTCTTTTTTAAATAAATTATTAAATAACAACAACCTAACCCCAAAATCACACCCCCAAAGAAAAATCTTAACCTCAATTCCACATGTTACAATGGATTCGAAAATTATGTGAATATAACAAGTTTCAAATTAACACTGATGATATATAAGTTTATTAAAATAAGATAAAATAACTAACCTTAAGCAAAAGTGTGGTTGCTTGGATGAAGTTGCACTTGGAAATGCACCGGTCAACTGCCAAAAAGCTAATGGGGACGATTCGCACGTTGCAATTCTTTATAAACTCCAAGAACGATGATATCATTCCTTCCTAAAAAATTCGTCTAACTTCACTCCATTTCCAAAATTAACGTTATTATAAAACGTTGTAACTTTAAAATAATGTTTTATTTCTTATCGAAATTAAGTTATCATAAAAATGTGCTATTTCTTTCTAACTATTAAAGAGAGAGACGGAAACAAGGTGTATTCATAGATTGTAACATCATAGACATAGAAACTTTGTTTTTGTTCCTATCTTCGCATGTATGGCGAAAAATGCAGCTGGAAATATTTAGATATATTTTTAATATCATCAGTTCAGATTACATCAGTAAATTAATTAATATTTGCGAAACATAACCTCACCTTTATGTCCAGTTGATTGATAATAAATTAGTGAAATGAATAAATATGAAATTGAGTAAACATTTTTTAGATTTGTTTCTAGTTTATCATTCGATTCATAATTAAGCAATGTGTTTTTGTTATTAACATTTTATCAATTCTTTTAAAAACGGATTTAAAGTTTTTACTATGTAATAATAAAATAATAATCAACGCTTTTACAAATTAATTTGGATAACGTCTAAACATCCTATATCATTTATAACCGGTGAACGTTTACCATTGGACGTTGCCCGGGTGATCGCCATTTTACTTGGCGCTCGGAAACATGGTGTCTTAGGGAACTTTTTTTACGTTGGGAACTCAGAATTGGAGGGTTAGGTTAAAGGGCGGAGTTTTAGGGGTTGTGTACGATTTATTATTCCTGAAGATATCCTAAAAATCGAAAATTATATATGTATAATATATTTATTAGTTATATATTATAATTATATGACATTGGTATCCACACATCTCATTATTTCAGCATTTCTCATTGTTTATTGATATAGATTTTGGCAGATTTCATCGTGATATCTTCAGGATTCGATTTTTTAAAAATGATTATAAAAAATTATCATCTTTAAAAACCAATATATCAATTATTATTATTCGAATTAAAATTTTTTGTAAATAATATTTATTTAGAATTTAATTATAAACAATTTTTATTAATAAAATTTTTTAAAATAACTTAATTTTAATTTCCCTGTGAACACTACATATCACCGAATATCAAAACAAATTATTACTTTAATCAAAAAATTATTCCTACAATACTTGTTTATTACGTTATTTTGAATCGATTTTTTTAATAAAAATTTTTGATATCTCTACAAGGTGATGCTGTGTACTGGTATATAAATTAATATTTTTGAGGATATATCAATTATTATTATTCGAATTAAAATTTTTTGTAAATAATATTTATTTAGAATTTAATTTTAAACAATTTTTATTAATAAAATTTTTTAAAATAACTTAATTTTAATTTCCCTGTGAACAGTACATATCACCGAATATCAAAAGAAATTATTACTTTAATCAAAAAATTATTCCTACAATACTTGTTTATTACGTTGTTTTAAATCGATTTTTTTAATAAAAATTTTTGATATCTCTACCAGGTGATGCTGTGTACTGGTATATAAATTAATATTTTTGAGGATATATCAATTATTATTATTCGAATTAAAATTTTTTGTAAATAATATTTATTTAGAATTTAATTTTAAACAATTTTTATTAATAAAATTTTTTAAAATAACTTAATTTTAATTTCCCTGTGAACAGTACATATCACCGAATATCAAAAGAAATTATTACTTTAATCAAAAAATTATTCCTACAATACTTGTTTATTACGTTGTTTTAAATCGATTTTTTTAATGAAAATTTTTGATATCTCTACCAGGTGATGCTGTGTACTGATATATAAATTAATATTTTTGAGGATATATCAATTATTATTATTCGAATTAAAATTTTTTGTAAATAATATTTATTTAGAATTGAATTACAAACAATTTTTATTAATAAAATTTTTTAAAATAACTTAATTTTAATTTCCCTGTGAACAGTACATATCATCGAATATCAAAACAAATTATTACTTTAATCAAAAAATTATTCCTACAATACTTGTTTATTACGTTATTTTGAATTGATTTTTTTAATAAAAATTTTTGATATCTTTACTAGGTGATGCTGTGTACTGGTATATAAATTAATATTTTTGAGGATATATCAATTATTATTATTCGAATTAAAATTTGTTGTAAATAATATTTATTTAGAATTTAATTATAAACAATTTTTATTAATAACATTTTTTGAAATAACTTAATTTTAATTTCCCTGTGAACAGTACATATCACTGAATATCAAAACAAATTATTACTTTAATCAAAAAATTTTTCCTACAATACTTGTTTATTACGTTATTTTAAATCGATTTCTTTTATGAAAATTTTCGATGTCTCCACTAGATGGCGCTGTATACTGTTATATAAATTAATATTTTTGAGGATATATGAATAATTATTATTGGAATCAAGTTTTTTTGTAAACAATATTTGTTTAGAATTGAATTACGTATAAGTTTTCTTAATAACATTTTTTAAAATAACTTAATTTTAATTTCCCTCTGAACAGTATGGTGAATAATTAGTAAAACTATATAAGTGTTTTGTGATATTTATAATACTTACCTTAAATTTTATGTTGTAATGAATAATTCTCTTTTTATGAAGAAAAAAAAAACTTTTTAATCGTGATATGTCACATTTATTTATTTATAAGACTTATGATTTTTTTAATATGAACAATTCTTAAACAGTTTTCAGTCGTCAATAGCCATCACCCATGTTTTATCACTCTTGATTGATTGCGAAATCCTAATTTAATAACAACAAGCTTTTTAGGATGATTTGTAATTATGTTTATTTGACGTGAAAAATGACCTTTTTGCTTCAAACCCACCATAAAAAATCGTAATTTTTTATTGTAGATTTCGAAAGAAATCGATTGTTCAAAAATAAATCTGACAAAAAAAAAATCGGAAACAATGAGATTGCGCGGAATCTGGACACGAATACACTGAAAGCAGATGATAAAATATTTTTTAAGTAGTGTGTTTAATAAAATAAAATTTGAGGTTATCCTTCGAATTTCGTTAACATAAAAGTTTTATTTTATTCAACACAATATAAAATTCTAGTTAAAAAAACAATTATTTTTTTGAAAATATAAAGGGGAATCATCAACTATATATACATCTTATATACTAAAGAGGCACATGACAATGAAAATAGACATACATTGGAAAAATATATTAATATAGCAACTATTTACTTGCTAGGCATTTTCAGGTTTTTTTTATATGCCAATTTGTACACAAAACTTTAATTATTTTGATGTAAAACATTATTACAATATTTACAGACAAGCTTTTTTTGCACGCATACATAAATATAAACTATTTGTGTGTTTTGGTTCGCTAGTGCTCTTAGAAAAAAGAAAAAGAAAATATACTCCATTTTTTTTAACAAAACGGAGGTTGTTTTCTTATTCTTGTTAGACACATATAACTTTGTATTTTTGTTAGTAATTTTTTAATTATTATTTAATACATATACTCATTTTCTTTATATGTAGTGTCCAAAAATAATTGTGCAATAACTTTTATTTTTTGATTAAGTTCTTAGTTGTGTTACTAATTAGAATAATTAATTAAAACACAATCATTATTGGACACCTTCAAAAACTTTAATAAAGTTCTATTGTAGTGTAAAAACATTTATTATTCGATCCGGACCTCTTAACATTAAAAAAAAAAACATTCTTCGGGGACAAAAATTAACAAATTTTAATTTAAACGCTTATTAGTGTACATTGTACACAAAATTTTTTGTTTTAGCAAACGGATTTAATTTCTTTTGCGAATGCGAAAATAATAGTACATTCTTTATTTTGCCTTAACGTGCCGAATAATTTTTTTTAAAATTTATTTATTATTCGGGTCCCTTTTTAATTGTTTATTATAAAGTGAGGCACGCTCGAGTTATTTTCGGATTTGTAAGATGCGCAAGCGCAAAAGAAAATCCCTTGCTAGAACATATTTAAAATTAAAGTATTATTGTAACTGAAATTTATAAAAACAGTAAAAAAACACTAATAACCACCATACACCGCGCACCTTACAAGACTTAAAAAAAGTCTAAACAAAATAAACAAACAATTTTTTAGCACCAAAAACAATTTTTTTTATTTTCCTTGTTACTTAGAAACTTTCATAAGGGGTAAATGAATCTTCTTACCACTTTTAACATTTGATTCTGAAGGATTGGATGCATGCGATCTTCTTTGCACCTTGACGGACCGCGGACTTGTAGCTTTATCCTTTTCCATATTCAATGTTCGCTTGACGCGTTTTGTCACCTTAACATCAACGACCGTTTTCTTTTCTCCGCCCGTGCTACATGTAGTATCCATTTCCTCCATGGTCCATCCGTTGTTTTCATTTTTTTTTGCCACCACCTTCGGTTTACCATTCCGCAATAACGAAGCCCCGCTGGTTGTTTTAGTTAACGCCGCCGCTACCTTACGCTGGCTGAGACGCCGCGCGACCGTCGACGTCGTTTCCGTAACCTCGTTTCTGTTAAACACAAATTATAACTCGAATAACAGGAACCATTTCGACTTTTATTTATTTTAATCCAAATCCGGACCACCCCAAGCATGCCCCTTTTTTTTTGAAAATATTTTTTTTTTAAAAATATTTTTTTTTTAATTTGTCTTTTTGATTTCGCCCCCGGACGATTTCTTTGCGTCTGTTCTATTGGTGAATACAAAAAGAAAAAAATTTATGTTTTTTTATTGAAATTGTTATTTTTTTAATATTATTTTTGCAGGTTATATCACATTAATAATGTTTTAATGTATTTAATTATTTGGAATGTGTTTACATAAAAATATTAACCTGCAAAATAACGATTTTTCATTGAACTAAAACTAGACTTAGAACTAAAAATTTTCGGGCTATCCCGTGCGTCTTTTGAAAAAGTATTTGACGTTTTGGATGCAACATGGCGTTTAAAACGTCAAACACTTTTTCAAAAGACGCATGGTTTAACCAGAAAGTTTCTAGATCATGTGTTAGTTCTACTTTTAGTTCAATAAACACCGGCTGTAAAAGCCTTCGTACTTATAACGATTTTTAAATTTTTTAAAATGAAATGATGGTTAAAAAACGAATAATGGGCATGTTTGAGTCATGGAGAACCTTTTAATACTATTCCTCTAACGCTAAGATTAAATTTAAAATTAATCAAGGAAGCATTAATTGAAGCGTTTATTTTTAGTTAATTAGTTTTACTAAGATTCGAATTTAACATACCTTTTTACAAGCACTCGAGAAATGGATGGGGTTGGTGCTTTGGTTGTAGTACAAAGTACTTTACTCACTCTTGTTATCGCCGAGGTAGTCTCAACGGTATTTACCAACATCTGTGACCTAAAAGTTCTACATTCCCTTTAAATATAAAAAATTAATTTAAGAACACATTTTTGTTAATTAACTTACGATGGATTTGTAACAACGTGACATTGTCTTTTAGCTTTAATTTGATTTAATCGATCACCTTGAGTAATTCCATCTTCTTCGTCTTCTTTTTCGGAATTGTCATTAAGTTGCATTGTGTCAACTTTCTTTAATATTCTGGTAACTTTATCGTTTAATTTTCCTTGTTTTCCAGAACCCTCTAAAGGTCCAACCGGGGCGTGTTTGCTATAAATGCCAAAACGATGTTTTGGCATCGAAGTAATGCCGCGTTTTCTTCGATACGCCTCTCCTTCTTTCCACATTTGTTCTTGTTTTCGATCCAACCACTCTTGTTGGTGACCGATAACCGATCCCGGCCGACATATTCGTATCCAAGCGATTGCTTCGTGCGACGAAAACTGATAATGTTTCATTAAATAACAACCGATTAAAGTCCCGGTCCTTCCTAACCCCGCTTTACAATGAACCGCAATTGCGCCATCCGTTTTTTCGCATATATTCATAAATTCATTGAGAATTTTTACGGTTGGGGTACTTCCATCGACGAAATATAGATCATAATGTTGAAACCCGGCTAATAAAAATTTATTTGAGTCATAAATTCGTTTATTTAACCGGATTATAGTGGTGACGTTGTGCCGTTGAAAATATTTAAAGTAAAATTCAGGCGAGTGAAGCGGATATCCGTTCACGTTTCGGGATTTATTATGCGGACCGCAAAAACCTAAAAATTTTTCGGGAACTATCCAGTTTAAATCGCCGTTTTCAACACATTCATAATGTTCGTATTGTAAATAATTAAACGAAGTAAAATCAAAAAATCCGAAATGAAAAGCTTTCTCCAAACCTTTCAAACAATCTAATAAAGATATGGTGTAACCATCTGGACCATTTGAAGCATCGCGGAAATGAATAAACGGATATCGATTGTCACCAACGAGTGTATCGTAAGCTTTTTGGGCATCCCAATTCAAATAAATAATCTAAAATCAATTTTAGATTAAAAATTTATTTAATTTTAAGCAAAAAAAATTATTTACTGCATAGCTGCCGATCAAATACGCGGCATTCGCTCGTTTCCGGTAATCGTCGGTCGTTGTGTGAACGATTTTTTTCTTTTCCAAGGCGGCGCAGCTTAATTTTAAATTTAGCTTTGTGCAGTAGTGGTACAACATCGATATGTTTAACGGCCCAAAATCATCGAAAAAACTATCGTATGTTAATTGCCCTTCTATTGAGAAGAAATGTGTAAATTGTGTCGATTTTGGTTGATCAGTTGTCTTCAATGTCACAAAATAAAGACGATCTAAAAACAAATATTTTCAAAAAATTAATAAATAAGCAATTTTATTAATTACACAAAATATTAAACCAGTAATTTTGAATTAAAGCAATTAAGTTTTAAGTTAAAAAATGATACTTCACATTTCTTGCTGTTTTATTCTTGGCAATTCAAATATAATGGATATAATTAAGAGTTGAAATTAACATTGTGCTGACCAGGAACTGACTTAGGTTGCTGTTATTGCTATAGGACTTAATAGGTATAATAATAAGATGATTATTGACCAGAAAAGTTGCAAATGAATCATAGCATCACTCGGGATTCGGAGCGTCAAACCAACTCAACCCTGCTAGAAATTTATGAAAGAAGTTATCTCGGCCGACTTCGAAGATGTCGGCAGCTCTAAATGTTGTCCATAATACGAGATTATTTCTTATATCATGAACAATAGTCAGGAATCGGAGCATGTTATAAAAAAACTTTTAGAACAAAATTTGTAGCAAACTTTATTCTTAACAATATTGCCCTTTTGCATTTTTCCTCTCATGTGCTTCAATATCGAGAAAAATACAAAAATATGAAAATTTGACGAATTTATTACTTTTTTAAGCTGTTATGGTAACACTATGGAAACGGAGCATACTACTAGAAAACGTTTTGAGCAAAAGTTGTAGATAATTTTATTCTTAACAATATTGCTCTCTTGCACTTTTGCTCTCAGATACGTCAATATCGAGAAAAATACAAAAATATGAAAATTTGACGAATTCGTTGCTTTTTTAAGCTGTTATGGTAACACTAGGGAAACGGAGCATACTACTAAAAAACTTTTTAAGCAAAAGTTGTAGATAATTTTATTCTTAACAATATTGCTCTCTTGCACTTTTGCTCTCAGATGCGTCAATATCGAGAAAAATACAAAAATATGAAAATTTGACGAATTCGTTGCTTTTTTAAGCTGTTATGGTAACACTAGGGAAACGGAGCATACTACTAAAAAACTTTTTGAGCAAAAGTTGTAGATAATTTTATTCTTAATAATATTGCTCTGTTGTACTTTTGCTCTAAGGTGCGTCAATATCGAGAAAAATAGGAAAATATGAAAATTTGATGAATTTGATGCTTCTTTAAGCTATTATAGTAACACTAGGGAAACGGAGCATATTACAAGAAAACTTTTTGAGCAAAAGTTGTAGCAAATTTTATTCTTAATAATATTGATTTCTTGCATTTTTGCTCTCAGATGCGTCAATATCGAGAAAAATACAAAAATATGAAAATTTGACGAATTCGTTGCTTTTTTAAGCTGTTATGGTAACACTATGAAAACGGAGCATACTACTAAAAAACTTTTTAAGCAAAAGTTGTAGATAATTTTATTCTTAACAATATTGCTCTCTTGCACTTTTGCTCTCAGATGCGTCAATATCGAGAAAAATACGAAAATATGAAAATTTGGTGAATTTATTACTTTTTTAAGCTGTTATGGTAACACTATGGAAACGGAGCATACTACTAGAAAACTTTTTGAGCAATAGTTGTAGATAATTTTATTCTTAACAATATTGCTCTCTTGTACTTTTGCTATCAGATGTGTCAATATCGAGAAAAATACGAAAATATGAAAATTTGATGAATTTGTTGCTTTTTTAAGCTATTATAGTAACACTAGGGAAACGGAGCATACTACTAAAAAACTTTTTAAGCAAAAGTTGTAGATAATTTTATTCTTAACAATATTGTTCTCTTGCACTTTTGCTGTCATGTGCGTCAATATCGAGAAAAATACGAAAATATGAAAATTTGATGAATTTGTTGCTTTTTTAAGCTATTATAGTAACACTATGAAAACGGAGCATACTACTAGAAAACTTTTTGAGCAAAAGTTGTAGCAAATTTTATTCTTAATAATATTGATCTCTTGCATTTTTGCTCTCAGATGCGTCAATATCAAGAAAAATACGAAAATATAAAAATTTGTTGCTTTTTCAAGTTCTTAATGGTAATATTATAAAACAACTTTTGTAACGAAAGGACAACACATATTGCGAGGTTGGCCACCTCGGCTTACCCAGGAGGTATCATAAATACTCCACCCTAAATTTAGCCCAGCTCGCTTGCAGGCGATTCTTTATAATTAATAACACCACAACCCAAAACTCGACAACACAAATTGCGAGGTGGGCAATATGTTGGAAATGTTTAAAATGTCTTAATAACTCCTTATTTGAAGTGTATCAGTAAGTCAAATAAATTAGAAATAAGAAAATAAGTAATAAGTTCTGTTCAAAGAATATTCAAGAATATACAAATATTAATACAAGCAGTTTTACATATTAAAACTTTTCTTTGAATAACAATTCCCTTTTCATGTAAAGTATATCTCGAGAATAAAAAGAATCAAATCAAAATTATTTTCTTAACTTGGATCTTGTAAATTAATCCTCCTTTTGAAATCCTCACTAAGTTTGTAAACAACTTGGGGCTATAAAAAATAAGAACAAATATATATTTGAACACCACAAAAGAAAATATTTACCTCGGGTTGAGTTATCCTTATTAATTGCTATGATGCATCTCATGTTACAAAGAAAACTATGGCACTCAATACATTACATTACATTGCAATCCTTACCACTTAATTGTAATAATGTACTTCAATTCAAATTTACTGGTTTAATACATAAAGTTTTTAAAATTTTTTTTACCTTTAATAAATTCTGAGGCACTAACTAATACATCCCCTGAGACTTCCATGGTAGACCCAAAAAACAAAACTTTCAAGGTACCGGATACAATGTTTTGGGATGTTCTGTACTTGTTTTTGAAACGATTTGAAATGTTTTAATGAAAATGCGCAACAATTGTTGCAACTAACGCAAACATAACTTTATTGGTATGAAGCCCACATCGCGTGTTGGTCCTCTTTGGTCTTGTCGTAGGCGTCTGGCGTGACACATTTTCATCTTACTGAACTCTTTTTTTTACCCACTCAAATAGACTTGACAATTTTTTTTAATCTAAACTCCTTTCTATTTTTTCTCTCCTTTTCCTTCAGGAATCAAGTTCACCAACAAAAGTATCAACAAAAACGTACAATTTAATATACCAGATCTGTTCACTTAGTCCACGCACAACAACAAAAATATATAACTAAACTTGAATGAGAGAAAAAAGGGGGAGAAACCTGATGATGATTTTTTGATGGTGTTTCGGTTCCGCTTTTTTTTAGAAATGTAACCGGAATGATAACGATTAATGATTGCAGGTTATTCACTATTTTTGGTTGATATTCACGGTTAAATACGTCTTGGTTTGTGATGTACACACTACATTACAGCCTGATGTCGCGACATTCGCGTCTATAAAACTCTACAAACATAAAAACTCCGTAGAAACATCAAATTGTCAACCTAAACCGCAGAATAACTGTTATCCCGTGTCTAAACTAGCCCTAGTTTGATCTTTTTATCATAGATGGCACCGATTAAACATAATCGCAAGATTATTACTGTTCCCCATCAATAGATGGCAGTAATTCATTCCGATGATTCATACATTTATGTTTTATTTGCATAGATGGCGTAATGAAAAGAAATATTTTCGAAATTAGTATTAACTCATGGTCTTCTGGATAATTTTAATGACTCATTTTCCCTAAGGTAAATATCACGCAATATTTAATAAATTATTAAAAATCAAAAAAAAACTAATTCGTTCATTGCCATTTTTTATTACTATTCAAATCTCGAAATGAATTGATACAGGTGCGTATCGAAACCTAAAATCTAAATAACAAATCGATTATTTTTTTCTACCTCAGGTAAGAATCCTCATTTTTTTTTGCTAACTTCGTTAACAGGTTACGTAAACATTTCGGGATTTGCCATAAACCTTGAACGATATGGAGGTAAATTTTAAGAATAAATTTACAAATTTAAATCAGAAGGTAAGTAATCTTGGGACTACCCGGAGTGGGGTTCTCTTTTTTAGTATAAAAATAAATCCATGATCAACCATTTTCATTCAAGAATTAAGTGTAGACAAAATGAAAATCTTATTCAGTTTATTCTTCATCGTCAGTGTCGCTTTTGCGGCAACATCCCCGATTCAACCAGAATCTCCTGAAAATCAAGACACCCAGCTCGTTGCTGTTGTTAGAGAAAAACGAGCACCTGTTTTTCTTGGAAAAGCTGCTTTAGGGTTAGCTGCTGTTGGAGGATTAGGATTAGCTGGGTAAGAATGAATTAAAATATTAAAATTTTATTTTAAATTGTTTTTTATTTACAGCGCTGCTGTTGGAAAAGCTGCGTTAGTTGGTGGAGCTTTAGGAGTTGGAGCTTTAGGTGCTGCTAAGCTTTATCATTATGGCGGTTATGGGCATGGTTACGGAGGATATGGTGGTTATTACGGCCCATCTATCCACCATCATTACCCATCATCAATAAGATATGTTAATCATTATGATAGTTATCCCTCTTATGATAACTACTATGGTGGTCACTACGGACATGGAAGTAATTACGGCTACGGTTATGGATACGGATATGGTTATGGTCACGGATGGTAACATCCAATAATGTTTGTCTTCAAATTAATTAAGTCAAAAATTAAATACATTTTTATATGATTTTTTTAATATTAAACGTTTAATTACTTTTTTAATTCATCTTTTTTATTTTGATAAAAGTGCGTGTCATTGAGGAGTGGGTGAGATTCTGGGTCGCATCAAGGTCAATCGTTAGGTTCAATGCCATCACCTTTACACGTAGAAAGTCTACGAGAGTTTAAATGAGAACGCGATAATCGTTTTATTTACACATTCTATTGAATCATAATAGAAATGTTATAATTTAATAAATTGAAACGGTTTTATTTTAAAACTCAGTTTTATACATTAAAAAAGAGCTTGGATATGCTGAAGAAGACTCTGTTCATAAGAAGACAAGATGTGGCCTTTAGATAAAGCATTGTTTTATTAAATGTCATAAAACGATTAAGTTTCATTACAAAAATTTTAGACAAGGTTGGTTATATTAATTAAGATTATTAATAGCCTGATTAAGAATATTGGGTAAGGTTATAGCCTCCTGGTGGAAATGTTGGGAAAGATTAGTTTTGTTGATAAAGGTCGATGACCTCCACGTGATGGAAGATAAATTGGATAAAAACTTAAATCAAACAATTCCAATCAAGAAAACTAACACCCACAGACAAATCGACGAGAGTTGTAAAGTAATTAAATCTTTATAGTCTACCAGCAACCTCACTTTTTGTTTTTTTTTATTAATTGTTGAGCCTCAACCGTAAGCAACCTCAATTTAATCACACAAAATTAAAAATTTGTACCACAATCACAATAAACCGGTTGACATTTAAAATATATCGATCCGAATTCAAGAAGTTGTGGATCAATAACACCAACGTTTTTGTTGTGATTAATTTTAGTTTTAACCATGGCTTCGGTATGGGAAGACAAAGAAGTCCGCTTTGATGTTCCTTTCTCGTTAGTTAATAACAATTTTATATAAACAACGTTGTAATTATTTTATGTTAAAGAGATATGAAACTCAGAGTCGGTGAAAAATTGATTGATAGAATGGATAATGTGGAAGACACCAAAGGAAATGCCGGGGATCGAGGGAGGTTTTTAATAACGAATTTAAGACTCGTCTGGCATTCTTTGAGTAGCCCAAGAATTAATTTGTGTTTGTTATTATCAAAAAAAATTTTATTTGTATTTATTTTTTTTTTTTTTGTAGCAATTGGTTTTAATACAATTTTAACTATAAATTCGAAAATAATTAATTCTGTAAGAAATTATTTATTATTAAATTTATTATTAAATGATTTTATTTTAGAAAACTCAGTATCCAACGCGAGCTTTACACATGATGACCGCTTGTGATAAAGCAAGATTTGAATTTATTTTCACGAATTTGGTCATAACTGACAAAAAACATTTCCAAACTGTCATCGACGTCCATCGAGCTTATATTTCTTCGAAACCTTATCGGGAATTAAAACTTCGCGGTGCCATTGTGCGTGAGAATCGATTAAAAATTTTACCGTTAGAACAAATCTTCGAAACGTTTTATGGCGTTTGGAATTTATCGACCGATCAAGGTAGTTTGGGAACTTTCATCATCACCAATGTTCGATTGGTTTGGTTTGCTGATACAAACGAAGGATTTAACGTCTCTTTGCCATATCTTCAAACGGAATCTGTAAATAATGTTGTTAAATAATTTGTTAATCTAATTTATTAATTTTTTTTAGGTCAAAATGTGTGATTCAAAGTTTGGCCCCGCATTAGTAGTAATAAGTTCCGAAGAAAGTGGGAGTTTTATTTTGGGGTTTAAGCTAGATCCGGAAGAAAAAATGCGCGAAGTTTTTCAAAAATTAACTTCAGTTTATTCCGTTTATTTTAACAACCCTATTTTTGGGGTTGAGTACGAGTGGGATCAGAAAAAGAATGGAAATAACTCCAATGAATTAACCCAAAACTATTTAATCGACGATTTATACGTTTTGGACGATAAAGCCGAAAATGTAAATGAACTTTCTGCTTATTTGGCAGAAGAAAACAAGGATGTGGGTTCTGGACCGGTTTTTAATAGCCAGTTAGGATTGGCTGTTCAAAGTGTTAAAGAAGGTTATAGTTTAGCAAATTTATGGGAAGTTGTTTCAACATAATGTTAATACATAAAGAAATAAATTTTTTTAATTACGTAATTACGGCGCATCTATTTTTATTTTTTTATTAATCATCATTCGTTGGGTTATAAAAAACAACAACTTTCCAAGCTCTTCATTTATATAATCTCATAAATAATTCCGAAAGCGTAAAAAGGTTGGCGAAATAAAATATGCAAATAACAAAAATTATTTTATTTTATGTTACAATTTTATTAATATTACAATTACTAGATTCGTCATTCAATAAATTACTTATGCTCTACACAAATCACCATCGACTATAAATTCCGTTTATTTCAAAATTTCCATGCACACTTCTCTTTCATATATTAAAAAAAAATTAGTGTAAAAAAGTTCGACTATATTGATTTGACTAAAACTCATTCATTTTAAAGTAGCATTTGAAAATAATCGTAAAGACAAATTTAAACATTACCGTTCGACATCACTTTTTGCCGTATCTTTTTTATAAGCCGAAAAGAACGTCAACGCTTTCATCAGTTGATAGCTTTTAGAAATGGGAATGTTGGAGTCGTAGAGTTTTTTCGAATTTTTACAATCGACGTAAAACCACCAATTACATTTCAGTATCGTTTGATCGAAAAGCGTCGATTCCGGGCACAAAAAGCTCTTCATTATCAATCCATCATCGGTTAATGCACAAACGTGGAACACCTAGAAATAAAAAAATCACAATTTACATGAAATGATTAAATTTTTAATAGAAATGTTGTGTCTAATAATAGGTTTCGAATGAAAAGGCGAAAGAGTGAAAAACAAATAAAGAGGTAGTATGAGCCTACTCAACTATAAAAGTTATGTAACTATACGTTCTTCGAAGAACATTTATTGTTCGCTTTATGATCAGAAGAAACTGAAATAACTTTTATCAGTTAAACTTTCCCCTCCATATTTTAATAACTCATCTTGGATTTTGACGCTGATTTTTGGTTTTCGTTTTTCTGACACTTTCTGGTGTTATTGTAATATCGCAGTTATTGTAATGTTATTTCGTAATCATAGATTCTAATGTGTGGATCACTTTTGGGATCAGAAGAATTGGCATCTTGATGGATAAATGAGCAAGTTTCAAAATTTTTCAAAGCGGGTTTTTCATTACACCATCTGTGCCGACTGAAGTAGAATAAGAATGAGAATTTCACAAACCTAGATCGGACTAATAACAGTAAAAGAAATCCGAGTTGTTAGAAACGTCAATAAAGACAAGATCACATTAATTAAATAACGTAATTAATTTGTAGATTATTAAATGTATTTTTATGTAATGAAAAAATATAGTGTTGTTAATTTATTATCAAGATTACGACATCTTTAAAAGACTCCTCTATTAACAAATACATATGTCGTAATTTTACTTAGGTATTTTTTTTTCTTATATATCGACAATTATTCAGTTATCATAATTGCGAGTGGTGCCTTTTCGTCATTCTGCACTTTGATACTTGTTCGACGACGACAATTTGAGTTTTATGTCACGCTTTCGCAAAGAAATTGCTGAAAAAGTGGCACACAAAGATCCTTTTCTATGCAAAGTTTTTAGACATTTATTATTTTTTTATTTTTTTTTGAGGAACAACTTTCTAAAACCCCAAAAATATTTTTTTGAAATTTGTTTTTTATTAAAAATTTTTTTTTTAATTGGTGTGATGATAAATAATGATTGAATTAAACGAGAATGAGTTAGTATATAAATGAGTTTAGGTCTTTGTGACATTGAAACGCATTCGTTTGAGATCTATAAATATTCCAACTTTCCCTTTTTACAACTTGCATCGCCTCGTTCGTTTTCCAATATGTTTCTACGATCGCTAATACCTTTGTTTGGTCATTCTTCGTTTTTAACTTTCTCAAAAGTTTCACTTAGCTTATTCTACTTTAACTAATTTGTTTTACTTCATAATTGTTTGGTGATTAATTTTTTAATTTTTTTTGTTATATAAGTTTCCAAAATTAGATGTTAATGTGGGTTATATAACATTTTGAAGAAAGACTTTGTTATGTCAATTCTATTTAGAAAGTATTATTTGTAAAAACATCAGGATTAATAAAACCTTGAATTATCTTAAACAATTCTGAGATTTCTAATTAAAGGAGTAATAAAAAAGCTTTATTTACCATACATCCGAGGTCTTCATCTGCATATAAACCGGGAAAATGTTTTTGATTGCCGCAATGAAACGAGGTTTCAGGCAAATCCACCCTCGAAGAAAAATTGTCATCAAAATTTTTGTCATAACCAACCGGGTAATATTCCCTAGGTGCGTTCATAACTTTTCCCGTCGTTGAATGTTTACGGATTTGATTCGGCTTATTCGCAGAGGTCATATTTTTAATAATAGGAGGTGAAATTGTTGTTGTACGTCGCGGTTTTGGAGTTTCAACTAAATTTTCGCTTGCCATATCAACATTCGATAAATCATCATTTTCGATTCCATTATTTGACATCCTATCAGATATTGTCACATTTTTTCGATTTATTTGTGGGTTTATTTGTGGTCTTTCCGGAGCTGGAGGAATTGGTTTGAAAGGAGGAACATTTTGATCTTCATTTTGTCTTCTGGATACATCTTGAGAGGAAGAATTTAACTAAAAAAGAGTTGGCTTTAAAATTTCATTTCAACTCCTCAATAAATTATATATATATATTTTACTTACGTTAGATCGTCTTAATTGATTCGAGTTTTGAGTAAACTTGGTAGCTTGAACTGTGAATGGTGAAGCTTGGGCTGCTCTTCGGCGATTTCCTTCGACGTTTGAAAGGGAATCTTTGAATCCCAACTCATCTCCTAAACTAAACCCTAAAGAGAACCCAAAAAGGTTATTTTTTCTGGAAATATGTTAGGGTGTAACAAAAATTTTAAATATGTGAACGATGGAAGATGCGAGTGCGTGGCGTCGTATCTGATGGTCCCCACAATTTAACATAAAATGTGTAAAAAGTACCATAGCATACATAGAAAAAGATGTTAAAGAGTGGTTAAAGTTAAGAACAAAACTAATAACAAATGAGCGAGTAGGTGATAGCGATAAAAACCTAAAGGTAAAAACCTAAAGATAAAAACCTAAAGATTACCAAGACCGACGTGAGCTTTGATACCGCCGAGGTTTCTAACCCTGAACAGCCCCGATTTCTTAAAAGCACAGTTGAGGACAAATCCAAAATCAGATTCCAGAACGCAGGTGGATTGGCCATGCCGAAACAGGCCAGCTGCAATCAATAATTCCCAAAATTTAAACATGCATGATATGCAAATTTCCCACCTTGTATTATTTTAATAATTTTTTTGGCTTTCTAATACTTCTACGCAAAAAAAAAGTAAACAAATTTGGTCTTTTAAGAATCGTCAATTTTTGATCACCCTACTGACCCAGATCACGACCTCCTTATTCTCATTTTATATACACACCAGAGCGGCATTCCGTTACGAGTGAATAATTTATAGAAGGTTTACAAGAAAGTGTCAGTAGATAGAAAAATAAAATTAAAAAAAATTAAAAAATAATGTCATTCCATGTTTTTAAAAAAGAGACCAAATCAATAAATTTCTTCCAAAAGTAATAATAGCAATCAAGCGAACCAGATTGACTCGGTCTCCTTTTTACTTTCGAAAAATAAAATAAAACAAAACTGATAGTAGCTACTAAAGGGAAAGGCAAGTTTGAATTTTAAATGAAAAACACTTTTATTTAAAGGCAGTTCTCTCTTCGCGTAAAGTACAGAATGCCCAAAAAAAGATTTACCGAGGATGCAGACCGCGAGGATGATTCTCAACTTGTTCATCATCACTTTAAATTAACACTCGGCAACTTGTTTCACGTTGTGGACTTAAAACCCGACCGTGACCGGAACCGACTTGCTATATACAAGTAACAGTCACCAACTGGCCTGACAGTGGCCTGAGCTGAAGAAGTTGGTCTCCACACATACACACACCACCACTTTACCACGCTACCGTTACGTCTTCGTAACGATGGATATCGACCTTGAATCGTGCGTTTTTCATTCGCTTTTGCACACACAACTCGATTACCAGTAAATTATATGCCTCCGGGATAAGTTTCTAATTTAATCATGTCTTTTTGTACTTCTCAATCAAAACTAATAAAACAAAAATATACTTATAAAATATTCTTTTTAATGACAATCAATTATAAGACGTCAAGTGCATCTACAAAATTAAATTTTATTTATAAGTGATTCTTATCTGGTAAAATTCCATTTCCATTCACAGTGAGTAATCCAGGAAATTTCCTCAAAATAGCACTCAATTGACTACAACAAAATAAGTTTCAAAATAATCCAAACCAAAATGAATCAATCACCTTTCCCCCAAAACACTTTCCAATCCACGAACCGGTTGTAATTGTCTGTTTTTTGGTAAAACGTCTCTCCGATGCTTTGTAGAATTCACCTTCGAAGGTCTCTCATCACCTTTTGATCGCAAAAAGTCACTCACTCCAGTCATTTCTGACCAACGCTATAATAATTAATTTTTTAAATTAATATATAATCTAATGACATAATACAAGAGAGGTTCTTGCAAAAAGATGATTGATGGGTGAAATTGATTGATGTAACCAAAGAAAATAAATAGAAAGGTTAAAGTGCGCAAATTTATCGTTGTAAGCGGAAGTCAACATCTTAAACAAACATCGATTTTTAATAAGATCATACCTCATTATTAATAGATGATGGTGGAAACCTCATCGCTGGTAATCGAACATTATTTTTTTGTTCGATTTTCCTTCGATGGTCCATTCGATGAAAACGCAATCTCATTTCAATATCGGGAACGTAAGATCCTTCAACCGTAACGGACCATTCGTTAATTGGGGGTGATTGTGTTCTATCGTTGTATTTTTTTGTGGTAATTTTACGTGAATTATGAGTACCTAAAATTAGAAAAAAAATTTATGAAGAAAAAGTGGAAATGTTTAGGAACCTTCATCTGAAGTGCTTTCTGGTGATTCGGGATGTTTGTGTAACATATAAAGTGATGACCAACCCTGGGGAACGGAGCTGTTGGTTTCTTTTTTAGAAATAGGTTGGGTTTCTTCGATGCCTCTATTTAAGGTATCGATGAGGATGTTGGCGATGAGTCTATCGACTTTTGTATCCATGTTACGTCTACTAACTGGTATTTTTGTGGTTCTCTTTGGTTTCTCATCAACTATTTTTGGTAAATTTGGTGTCATGGAAATTGGAATTTTCGATTTGTTATCATTTGAAACGATCGTTAATGGTTTTCTTTTTGGTGATTGTTTCCTTTTTGGGAAATTAAATTTTTTGGGTTTCACGATGAATCGTTTCGTTCCTGTTGGTTCAATAGGAATCGTTGAATTCCCTGTTGGGCGTGGATCAATAGGAACTCTTGGTAATGTTGAAACGGGATTTTCAAGTTTCTTTTGTCGTTTTTCTTGTCGAGCGAATAATTTTTCTTTAACTCGATTCGGAAGTAAATCGGATATTTTTTTGGTGGGAGTTGTAGCTTTGTTTTCGATTGGAACAAAAAAAGCTGGGCAAGGTTTTGATTTTGATTTATTTAAGGTTTTATTTTGGTCGCTGTTATCAGGTAAGAGAACATGCGAAAGATCTTCTAAGCTATCTAGGAACGTATCTGAATCGGACCCGTTATCATTTCCGGACGATGAGGCATTTACTTCCATCGAGGAAGTTCTTGGAGTTGCGGAATATCTAGGAACACTCGTTTGGGAGATATTTTTATAAGGGCTTCCCACGTCCACAGAACTTATAACTTTCTTTTCACTTTCGTGAAATGTCGATTCATTCACAAAATTTAACTTGGCTTCTTTAAGAATTTCTCTAAAAATTAAGTCCAAAGTGGGCTGACTCAATCGTACGTTTGAGATCACGTTTAATTCCGTCATTTGACTCAAATTATTCTCCACCTTCATTTTTTCATTCTCAAAATTCGAGTTTCTCCACAAATTCACCCTGCGATAATTCTTTTTTTTCTTTCGCGACATACTCGACGACTTTCTACCAGTTATCATCAAACTTCCATCATCATCCTCGTCATTGACCTTTTGCGCCAGGGAATATCTACAAAAAACAACCATAACAAAAAAAAATAACCTTGCTTTGAACTTACTTTCTCATTACTATCTCCGGAACGCTTAATCTTCTCCTTAACAACAACGGAGTGGAAATTTCAGACATTAAATTATTTTGTTGGGAGTTAATGTTTTTGTGGACGTTTTTAGGGGTTGTTACACTCTCGAGTGAACGCTGTAAACACAGGAAGGGTATTACGCACACTATATATTTCGTGCTAATCAATATTTTGTTAGTAGGTCGCGAAAAATCGAATTCTTTAATGGACTTATTGTTAAGGGACAAAGGAATATAACCAATTTTATGATATGGTAAAAAGTTATTAGATTAAAATTTCAATTTATTATCTAAGTCATGATTACAAAAAGCTATTAATAAACTTTCTCTTCTCCTGATCCCTATGCTTGATAGAGTTCGTGGCTAATTCCTTTATATCTTCTTCTTTTCTTCTCAATTTCTGCTATTCTTTCCTTCCATGTCTTCCTAGGTACCTTTTTTACTGTTGTGTTATGTTCTACTCCCAGTCTTATTTCTTCATTCCTATCCCACATCGTCTTCCCTACTATTTTAAGTAAAAATTGCATTCTCATTGCTGTCATCTTTCCTTCTTGTTTATTTTGGAGTGTCCATGATTCATTGGCATATGTTAATATTGGGACTGCTACCAAGATGTACACTTTCAATTTTATCTTTTTATCTATCTCGCCCGTTCTCTTTAAAACGGGTGGGACCGAACCCCGGGCTGTCATCTCGCCAAGGAATTGTTAAAATATCCTTTAATGTTTATTTATATGTCAAAAAAAAAGTTTTTGGACAGACGTCATCAGGTTCGGTACACTTCACCAATCTTCGCACCATAAAAACTGCACTCGCGAGTCTTCTACAAAGGGCACTCACATGGTCATCCCAGGTGAGACGATTGTTCAACTTCAAGCCAAGAAAGTTCACCACGTTATAGTTTCCTTTCGTGGGAAAGTTAATTTTTTGATTCTTTTGTTCATTGAGGATGAGCTTGTTCGCTCGCAACCAATCAGACGCGTCTTCTAAGACATCGTTAGTTCTCAATTGTGTTTCTTCTCTCGTTTTCCCTTTTACTACGAACGACGTATCATCCGCATATAGATACGTTTCTGAGTTTTTTATGTTTCGAGGAAGATCGTTCATATACAGTATAAATAAGATCGGTCCCAGGATTGATCCTTGGGGTACACCGTATCTATTGTTTTTCACATCGGATATTGAACCATTCCAAGCGACATATTGTGTTTTGTTACTCAGATACGATTTCATTAGACTTAGTGTTGATCCCCGTACGCCGTAAAAGGCGAGCTTATCCAGTAATAGATTATGGTCCACCGTATCAAAAGCTTTGGTGAGGTCGCAACAGGTCATTTCCACGCTTTCTCGATTGTCATGAGCTTCCGTGACATCGCGTATCATTCGGGTAACAGCTGTGATCGTCGATCTTCCGGTCCTGTAACCATGTTGGCTGTCGTCAAATATTTTATTTTTTTGTAAGTAGCTGATTAGTCGGCGTTTTATTACTTCTTCGAAGATTTTCGAAAACACTGGAAGGAGGGCAATCGGTCTGTAATTTGAGCAATCGTTGTCATCTCCTTTTTTGTAAATTGGAACGATCCTGGCCTGTTTCATCCTTTCGGGAAAAACTCCCTCTTCAATACATTTGTTTAAAACCATACAAAGCGGTTCAGAGATTTCATTCGCAACTTTCTTTACAACAGCTGTTGAATGTCCATAGACATCTTCGCTCTTTTTGGTTTTTAAATGATTAATTATATTTGTTATCTCGTCTTTGGTACAGGGACTAAAGTAAAGACTTTTTGAAAAAATTCTTGCTGTATTCTTTACGTAAACGTTGGAACTCGTCGTTGTCGGAGTAGTTACTAAAGTTTTGTGCAGTTAAATTCGTTCCTACTTCTTTTTGTGCATGATGATAGGATCGTTCCTTATTAATAACCTCCCACATCTTTTTTTGTTTATTATCGGCCGTTAAAATGTTTCTCGTGTAATGTTTTTTCTTTTCGCTCTCTAAGAGATCAAAGTACTTTTGTTTACATTGAGCATATTTGTCGTAGGATTCTCTGGACCTAGTTACAGAGGCCAGCCACCCCAAAAGATCTAGTGTGTCCCTTTGATTTCTAGTCTCCTTAGACATATAAATTGTTTTAAATTTAGTATTCCGTTTTTTCTTATAGGCAAACGGGAAACAATCATCGAAGACTGCACAGAATATATTATGAAAAACATCATACAACTCACCCGCGTTCTCGGATTTTTGGAGAGGCTGCCAATCCACTGTGGAAAGAGCGATTTTAAAAAAGTGAGTGTTCTTATCATTATAAATTCTTTTTTTAATTTTTTGTGTTTTTTTCCTTTTTTAGCCGCAACAGTTCTTCTCACGAGATACTATAAGGTAAATAAGCACCTTCAAAGCATGAAGCTTGTTGACTCCCCTCCTTGCCGAGCCTGGGAACAGGATGACGAGATTGATGTGAGATTGACCGACCTCAGAGAGAAATGGCCAACAACAGATGATATCAGGAATGCACCTCTAGGAGCTGTTCTAGCCTTAGGCTGGTTGATGTGACCAGAGTGTGTAATGGGAGAATGTACAAGGGGCCCAATCAGGGAGTTGCATCTTTATCATTGCCTCTCCTAATTCTTCCATTGCTATCTCTGCAGTTGCTATATCTGTAGTGTTTTCAATCATCTCATCTTCTCTTCTCTCCTCCATTGTTTGTGGCAGCTTTCCATCCTTGAATCTTACTTTGACGGCTTTTATTTCAGTTTTCTTATTTGATTCCAGAATTCTGTTCATTCTATAGTTTGCTCCATCCCCTTGCGAATTCGTTCTTATGTATATCTTCCATGATTTAGTTCCTCTGTTATAATTATTCCTACTCCCTTCTTGCTCCATGTATTTTCTTAGACTCCTAAAAAGTATAAACTATAATTTTTTTGATTACTATAATTCCCCTTACCTTCTTTTTCTTTTTGCTATTAACAAATAACATTCATTTAGTACAAATACTTTTTATTAGTATTAAAAATTGACAGATTTTACATTAAGAACATATCGTAATAAATAACAAATTGAGACGTAGTCAAAAAAATATTTTTATGATGTTGTGCATGTAAATCTATGATACCACTATGATTCACGTCATTATGGTCAAAAAGTGTTCATGTGGTACGGGAACGTAACTTAACAAAAATACAACTATAATCTAAACACAAAAATAAATGCTCTAATCAAAAAAAAATAATATTTCATCAACATAAACTTAAAAAAACAATCACATTATGATTTGTGGTTCAGGCACAGACGCAGCGATGCTTTTATTGGGAAGTACTTGACCGCCGTTAATATAGATTTCATCCTTGACGATAACATCTTCGCCAAGAACCGTGGTGGCTTCCATTCGAACCCAACGTCCCACACAAGATTTCCAGCCGATTATACAATTTTCCAACCAAGAATGAGATTTGATGTTGGCATCTTTAAGAATAGTGCATCGTTTAACACAAACGCCATCTTCGATGATAACGCCAGGTCCGATTGTGACATCGGGTCCAATTTGACAACCTTCACCGATTTTAGCAGTTTTATCGACAAGAACATTTCCGACTGTTCCAGGTCCGTCGTAAAGGCGTTCGGGACATTTTTGTCGTAACGATTTTAAATACATACACATCCCGGTTAAGAAATCTTTGGGTTGGCCAACATCCATCCAAAAACCTTCCAATTCAAAAGCATATAATTCGCCATCAGAAGCCATTCCAGGAAAGACCTCCTTTTCAATGGAAGTGGGACGAAGTTCAATTCGATTTAAAATTTTAGGATTAAGAATGTACAGCCCTGCGTTAATTTTATTAGAAATAAATTCTTGTGGTTTCTCCACGAAACTTTGTATACATCCTGACTCATTGTAGACAACAACTCCGTACTTTGAAGGTTCTTTAACCTTTGTAACAACGATGGTGCCCTCTTTTCCATGCGCTCGATGAAATTGAGCTAACTCCACGAATGGAAATTCGCAAATAATATCTGAGTTGAGTACAAAGAATGGCTCATTGCTTTGTTTAAGTATATCTCTAGCTAAAGCTAAGGGGCCCGCTGTTCCAAGTGGTTCAGATTCGTGCGAAAAAATAACGTTTATACCCAACTTCTTTGCTTCTTGGGATAATTCATCTTCCATTTGCTCGGCCCTGTACGAAACGGCTAAAATCACTTCTGTAACTCCGGCTTTAACCAAAGCTTCAATTTGGTGTAATAATATAGGTTTATTTGCAAATTCAACGAGAGGTTTTGGCCTGCTAAGGGTTAATGGTCTCAATCGAGTACCATAGCCACCAACGAGAATTAAAGCCCTCATTCCTTGTTTGTTTTCGGTCATATTTTCTAACCTAAAAGATAGAGGTTAGTGTCAACATAAAATTTTACTTTTAATTGTTACTCACCGGTTATTAATGTTTTTTTCGAATCCCTAGTGTTCGGTTTTTACGCTATTTTTGAATTGTTGGCACTTTACACGTCACGCGAGTTATGCTGCACAGAAATGTGATAAAATTTTATTCCTGATTACTGTTTACTGCATAAGCAAAAATTTGTGTATTACTTTAAGTGATAACCGGTGGTCAGTTAAAAAATTTTCTTGATAAGCAGAATGGGCGTTCCAAAAAACAAAAATTAAGGTGTAACCGTTGACAAATTTTCAAATGACAACAATTTCCAAAAGTTTCATCATTTACTAAACATTTTCAAAGTGCCATTTTTTTTAAATCAATTTTAAATAAACACTTTTATACATTAAAAATAAGGCGCTTGATACGAAAATGAGGTATGAAAACATTAGATTAATAAATATTAATTAGATTTTTATTATCTTCGAAAAAATTTTTGGAAAATTCACCGATAGATGTCGCTATTTACTTAGAATTAACTTAAAGAAAATGATGATAATTTTTATTTATGAGTTTAAACTTTAATTTGGTTAATAAAAGGTGTTTCTGAATTTATTATTTGTTAAGGCTTTAATAATTAAAGTTATTTTTAATGATTTCTAAAAGATTTAATTGAAGATCAGTGGTGACACCTATTATTAATTTATTTAATTTTTATTAAAAAATTTATTTCTGAGTTATTACTTTCATGTTAAGTGATAACAAACATTTTTTGTAGTGAATTAGCTTTAACAGCGTTTTTGTTATCGTGTGTCATAGTTTTATCAGCTGCCAATTCATTCCCAGAAAAATGTTTATATATTTTGTCAGCTTAGTCACAGAATTTATCGCAGCTGGTAATTTTGGCTTTGATCTTGTATTCGTCAGCAATCAAGCACCTTGGAAATCTTATCAGAAATATTTATTCTGTTTCCTTGATTCAGACATTACCTTTGCATATTGTTCCCAAGAAAGTCGATTCATAGAAATCCAGATAAATTCTTCTTCTTTTTCCATTGGCTCATTAATGTCTCCTCGCAGCCGTATATATTATTTTTCCATCGCTTTGGAGGTCTTCTTCTTGGTCGGTATTAAGTCCTCACAATATACAAGAAAAATATAAAAATTTGATGGGTGTCACTCGGGAAACGGAGCATGTTACACAAAAACTTTTAGAACAAAAGTAGTAGATAATTCTATTCTTAACAATATTGCTCTCTTGCACTTTTGCTTTCAGATGCATAGATATCCAGAAAAATACGAATATATGAAAACTTGATGAATTTGTAGCTTTACAGCTTGTTAATGGCATCACTCGGGATTCGGAGCGTGGAACCAAGTCTACCATGCTTGAAATTTATGGAAGAAATAATCTAAAGCATCTTGAATAATACTTAGGGCGGCCGACGTCTTCGAAGTCGGCCGAGATCAGTGATGGGAGCTCGGTAAATACCCGGCGGGTAGGTATTTCTAAAATGGATATTTATACGGGTATTTACCACGGTGCAGGGTAAATACCCAAATAGGGCGTATAAAAGTGATATCAGCAAAAATATATCAGATTCAAAAAAAAATGAAGAGGTAGTTGATGAAATGGACGTTGAAGACGAGGAATTGTCAACAATCAAAGACGTATTATCATCAGACGAATCTGTCGTAATTTAAATTAGATCAAGTTATTATGATTATTATCATCAGGCAACCCTCTGCATCCATTGTTGGACATAGACCTCCCCTATTCTGTTCCATTCGATTCTATTCTGTGCCGCCTGAATCCAATTGTTGGTCATTCTTTTGACGACTACTTCGTCTGTTCGCTTGCGGTCTCAAGCAACCGTTTTGTTGACTGCTCATTCTTCATTCGCGCGACATAACCCGCCAAGTTCCACTTTAGCTTTGCTACAATGTTGCCACATCATTTACGTCAGTTCTTGTTCATAGGTCTTCATTTCGTATGTAGTCCCTCAGAGTTACACCCAGGATCGACCTCTCCATCTATCTTTGCGTTACTTTGACCCTCCTGGCAGTGACTACCGTTAATGTTAAAGTTTCGGAGCCTCATGTCATAACCGGAAACATGCATTGATTGAAAGCTTTTCTTTGCCTTTTCTCTTGAAGATATCTCTAAGATTCCCGTAGGCTGCCCATACGAGTGTGATCCTTCTATTTAATTCGCTTGTTTGATTATCTCTCGATACACGAACCTCATAGCCAAGATATACATAGCTGTCAACCCTATCCCCAATGTTGATGTTAGAGCTGGGAACAAGATTTGTCTTAAATTTTGATTTCTCCTCGTTGATATTTAGTCCGACTCTTGCACACAACTCCTTTAAATTGTTCAGCATTAGTTTAATCTCTCCAAGGCTATCCGAAATAAGAACCATATCGACCGCGTAGCGCAAATTACTAAAGCATTTGCCATCAATGTGTATGCCTTTTTGGGTCCAATCCAGTTTTTTAAATGCACTCTCCAAGACTGTGATGAACAATTTGTGTTCAACAGTGTATCGCTTTGTTTTACTCACAATCAGTACTTTACTACTTCATACTCTTTTCAGAACTTTCATGCAAATTTACAGTCATTGTAGCTTTGTTGTAGATATTATAAATAAGTTTGATATATCGATAATCGACTCAGCATTCTTGAAGTGCTTGCAAAACTGCCATCAACTCAATTTAAATTAAATTTTATAAATACCTCTAAATACCCATCTTGGGTACATACCCCCGGTTATATATCCAGGAAATTTACCCTTGGAAATAAATACCCGGGTATTTAACAACACTGGCCGAGATAAGTTCTTGTATCAAGAACAATACTCAGGAATCGGAGCATGTTATAAAAAAATTTTTAGAACAAAAGTTGTAGCAAATTTTATTCTTAACAATATTGCTCTCTTGCCCTTTAGCTCTCAGATGCATAGATATCCAGAAAAATGTAATGGTATTACTCGGGATTCGGAGCATGAAACCAAGTCTACCATGCTTGAAATTTATGGAAGAAATAATCTCGGCCGACTTCGAAGACGTCGGCCGCCCTAAGTATTATTCAAGATGCTTGGGGCGGCCGACGTCTTCGAAGTCGGCCGAGATTAGTTCTTGTATCAAGAACAATACTCAGGAATCGGAGCATGTTATAAAAAAATTTTTAGGCCAAAAGTTGTAGCAAATTTTATTCTTAACAATATTGCTCTCTTGCCCTTTAGCTCTCAGATGCATAGATATCCAGAAAAATGTAATGGTATTACTCGGGATTCGGAGCATGAAACCAAGTCTACCATGCTTGAAATTTATGGAAGAAATAATCTCGGCCGACTTCGAAGACGTCGGCCGCCCTAAGTATTATTCAAGATGCTTGGGGCGGCCGACGTCTTCGAAGTCGGCCGAGATTAGTTCTTGTATCAAGAACAATACTCAGGAATCGGAGCATGTTATAAAAAAATTTTTAGGCCAAAAGTTGTAGCAAATTTTATTCTTAACAATATTGCTCTCTTGCCCTTTAGCTCTCAGATGCATAGATATCCAGAAAAATGTAATGGTATTACTCGGGATTCGGAGCATGAAACCAAGTCTACCATGCTTGAAATTTATGGAAGAAATAATCTCGGCCGCCTTCGAAGACGTCGGCCGCCCTAAGTATTATTCAAGATGCTTGGGGCGGCCGACGTCTTCGAAGTCGGCCGAGATTAGTTCTTGTATCAAGAACAATACTCAGGAATCGGAGCATGTTATAAAAAAATTTTTAGAACAAAAGTTGTAGCAAATTTTATTCTTAACAATATTGCTCTTATGCACTTTTGCATTTCATGCTTGAAACAAGTATCATGGACAAGTCTTCTTTAATTTTTGTGCATTTCTAAATTCTCTTCTTAATTTTCTGTAATCTCGAACCCGAATTTACTTTAGTATACAACATACATTCTTCACCATAAAATTTGGGGTGAGTTCAATTCATTCTCTGTTCTGAGTTTAAAGACATTTTTTAATTTTAATACTGCGCTAAGGCAAAAATTTAAACATTCTAATTTTGAAGTCAATAACATTTTAGTTTAATGTATCAATTGCGTCAAAAGATGGCGCTACTTGTTCTAAATTCACCCAGTTTGCCTCGATTAAAAATAACATTAGTTATTAATTTTTTTAATCTAATTCAGTTTAGAATCGGCGTTGAAGACCACTACAACTAAGAAATACATTATTCGCCGTTTAATATGGGCTGCTTTTGATTTGAATTTTAGTTAACCGCGTGACGTCACCGGCAGGGTGAGCAATACATTAAAAAAAAATACCGAAACGTTAAATAACGAAGTGTGACAGACTCAAAAATGGCGCCTAAGGTCTGGGATGTTGATGTTTATAACATAAATACGGACGGTGTACTTAAACAAAAATTTAATCAACGTGTTCAATTAAACATCGATTACGATCCGCAGGGCTTGAGTTTGAAGTTAATATCGGGTGAGTACAATACGTACTTTTCGAGTTGTTATTGTGTACCAAACGTGACCAGCTTTGAAACGGTCCAGTTTTTTTCTCATCTTAATATTAGACGCCTTAAACGTTTCAGGTAAGACCGTCTTATTGGAATTTCCTGTCTCACAAAGTACCGAATATTGTCGGATTGGGAACAAAGCCTTCACCTTCACTGTTGACAGAGAATCTTTGTTTTTTAAATTCACTAATGAGCAAGGTGAGATTTCTATCATTTTTATAATAATATATATATAATTAACACATACATTAATTTATATGTTATATAAAGTGATACAAAAGATTTTTTTTTGGTGTATCATAAAATTTGTTAATTAATTTTCTTTGTTTGTTTCCGAAACGAATAAAAAAACAGTTTTGTTCATAACCGATGAAAGAAAGGGGCTTTAAATTGAAAATAAAATCGGGTTTATAGAGTAATATTTTTGAATTTATGTGCACTCTAAGAACCCATTGTTCTTCAAATAGCGATTGTTGAATTTCAAGGGTTTTATTAGACTTGCAAGACATAACAAAGAAACCCTTGTTTAAACACTTCAAATAACTTTTTTTAACATTGCAAAAAACATCTCATAAAAATAAAATTAGATAAGAAAAAAATTCCTAAATCCACAAATTATTATCAAAGTTCAAATAACATAAATGATTTATACCAAAAAGTGTTGATTTCTTTCTCTAGAAAATCATTTAATCCTAACGCGAATTTTGATAATTGTTATCACATTTTTTTTAGTAGTACAAAGTTTCTGCAAAATCATGCTTGTTACATTAAAACATTTCAATCTCAAATCCCTTTAACTCTCTTCCTAAATTACAACTTACCAAACAACATTAGCAACTCCACAACTTAAGGAATGATAATAAACGAAATTATAATAAAGAGATGATAAAAATGGAAAAAATGTAAGAAACATTCCAAAAGTGGCAAAAAAATATGTTTGAGTGATAAAACGCATTAATAGCAAGGATGTGACTCATTCATATGAGTATAGTAATAAGTATTCAAGGCGAATCACGACATTGAAGTAAAAAATTCTTAAAAATCCACTTTTCAAATATCAATGAGACACCTCTCCACTGAGAAAATGTAAGAATCTCAGGATATTCAGCCATCAATATCAACACCTAACTTTCTCCCCCTCATTAATAAGTAATAGTAATTCAAATTTGGATTTATTTTGTAGTTATAACAAGCGAACGATGTTAAATTTAAAGTTTGGGATACATGAAGACCCTCAAACCTATCAGCATACATTGTAATGATCCACAAAAACCTCTGCGGAAAGAATGCCAGGATGCAACCAGGTCCTAGTTAAGCAAATAACATAAACAGAATTAGACTTTTAGTTCTTTGACCTCCCACATTCTCATAATAACCGCCAAGAGCAGATATTATGACAGTGTTTCTCAAAAATAACGAATAAATTCTAATAATAAAGGTGTCATAAAAAAATTCAAGAAAAATTGCCTTAAAGTTTCATTAATTCCCATTTCCTTGCGATAAAAAAATAGCAAAAATAACCAATTTATGGTTACGCATGGGGAGATCTATCAAGATCATTTGAAAGCCACGAAGACAATAGGCTCTTTAATAATATGCTCTTTAATATTGCCCTGGAAAGATAGTACAAGATACAGGACTTTGAACATGGACAATTAAAATCTTGTCATTTTTGGAATTTATTATTATTATTATTATTATAGAGAGGGTTAGCAGTTTCATATACTTGGGATATCTGATGAGTAATAAAATTTAGAGAGTAAAATAATAAATAAGAGAATAACTTTGCCTTATTAAGTCAAAATTTCCCCAGCTGCAAGCGACCTTGGCTAAACTCGGAGAATTGATCAAGCTGTGATTCTAGAAATCACTTGATTTAGCCAAGGCATACTGCAGCATCTCGACTAAAGTCGCAAAGGAAGAAAGTATCGCCTCATTGATTACCAGAACTCATTTGCAGTTAGGATCTCATTGAAATACTCTTCTTAGAGTCTTTCCAGCACCCCACATTAATTTGATAAGAATGCCTTTGAAGATCCGCGACTCTTCCTTCATAAAATAATTATATTTATATAAGTAAAACATCTAGGCGAAATCCAAACATTTGGTGTAAAGTCTCAATCTACACACTTAGCACTTTTGTTCTTGAAATGCGTGATTGGATGACACCCGATTTTGTTTACAATACAATTTAACTAAAAATAAAAATTATAATAAACAGCTTTCTAGTTCAATCACGCAATCATTGATTTAAGGGGGATTCGAGCGTTTGACACAGATATAGTAACATATTATTTAAGTGATAACCCCAACTATCACAGGTCGAGATGATTTGGACAACGACGAGAACTGGCTAATAGCACTATAATGCTTTTTTGATTCGCGTTGGTTTGGGTCGAAACACTTTTTGATTAATTATTTTTAAATTTCAACTTTAAATACTTTTTTATTTATTTTATATTATTTTTTAAAATTGGAAGCGTTCCAACACAGCCTTACATAAAATAGCATCTGATGAGAAACAAATCATATTTATAATATAATTCTTATATGTGAGTACATTTTAGAGTGTGCCAAAAGAGAACTTTGTTTTTGTCACTTTCTCAGTTTTTATTTTTATTGCGTTTAAGAATTGGAATCATTCCAAAAATCTTTTCGTATAAATAGTGTTTGATAAATTAATTTATAATTACTAAAAAATTTCAGATTCGCAGAGATTTTACACAGAATTAGCAAAAATAAAACATGGAAAAGGTGCTTCCGTATTTTCTGTCCGTACAGAAGAATCATCAGCAACGCAGTATTTTCAATTTTACGGCTATCTATCTCAACAGCAGAACATGCTACAAGATTTTATACGAACGTACACTTATCAAAGAGCGATATTATGTAACATAAATGACTTTAGAGACAAAGTGGTGTTAGATGTAGGTGCGGGTTCGGGAATTTTATCATTTTTTGCTGCCCAAGCGGGTGCTAGAAAAGTATACGCGGTTGAAGCATCGTCAATGGCCGAATATGCCCAAAAATTAGTAGCCGCAAATAAACTTGATCATCAAATCACGGTAATCGCTGGTAAAATTGAAGAAGTTGAAATACCGGAAAATGTAGATGTTATTATATCTGAACCAATGGGTTATATGTTATACAACGAACGAATGTTAGAAACGTATCTTCATGCAAAGAAATGGCTCGCTCCTAAAGGAAAAATGTTCCCATCGCGTGGCGATCTCCACATTGCACCTTTCACTGATGATGCTCTCTATATGGAACAATTCAGTAAGGCCAATTTTTGGTTTCAAACTTGTTTTCATGGCGTTAATTTATCTGCAATACAACACTGGGCGATTAAAGAATATTTTAGACAACCCATTGTCGATACGTTTGATATCAGAATATGTATGAGCAAATCTGTTAGACACGTTGTTGATTTTTTAGAAGCCGACGAAACGGATCTCCATACAATAGGTACTTTCGCTAATTTTATTCAAGATTGTATTACAAAAGTAAAAAAAATATTTTTGTGTAGATATTCCTTTAGAATTCCATTTACTGGAATCGGGAACACTTCATGGTTTAGCATTTTGGTTTGATGTTGCGTTTCAAGGTTCACAACACACGATTTGGTTGAGTACAGGTCCAACGGAACCTTTAACACATTGGTACCAAGTACGTTGCCTTCTTGAGCACCCGTTAATAGTAAAACAAGGTCAAGTAATAACCGGAAAAGTTCTTTTGGTAGCTAACAAAAGGTACAAATTATAATATTTGTGAATAAAAAATAACCAAGCTCATTTATAGGCAAAGTTATGACGTTACAATCGATTTACAAGTAGAGGGATCGCACCAGCGATCCTCTAACACACTTGATTTGAAAAATCCGTATTTCCGGTATACAGGCGCGCCCGTACAACCCCCTCCCGGTGTCTCAAACATATCTCCAAGCGAAAATTATTGGAACCAAATTGATGCTCAAGGAGTCAGAAACGGTAAATTTTTAATAACTTAATTTTTTTGTTGTTGATTTTTGCGTTTTAGCCGTTAATATGGTTAATGGAATGTCTGTGAACGGTCTTGGGGAGGTTTCAATGGACACGACACAATCGGTTATTAGTAACAATTTAATGACTAATAATTTAATTGCTTTAGGTAAGTACTTTAATTTTTTGAGAATTGGTTTGAGTTGGTTCATTTTGAAAATGGGATTGCGTTATGCATGCAAAAGATTTAATGGCGCATTATTGGTAATGAAATAAAATAATTTTCGGGATTCTAGTACGCATGCTTAAATATGAATGGCACAAATTTTGTGTTGCTATCATTTGTAAAAAGGGAATCAGTAAATATAGCTTATTTTCGACAAAATCATATATTAAAATTAATTTAAATATTGCTAATAACCCTTGCGCTTTTGGCTTTATCACAGAATACAGAGTACAAGCTAAAAATAATATATATTTCTGTATTTTGTGGTCATACTTTGTGCTGTTTCTTTATGGTTAAACTTTTTGTTGAAGTTCCTATTTTTGGTTGGTTTTTCCTCAATACACAATTCCCATTAATTATTACTAATGGCATTATGTTCCTATTATTATGTATTACATGAATAATGTTAGATTTCTAAATTCTTGATGGTGCTTGGGCTATACAGAGTGTTTGATTTTAGCTTATGACAAAATGTTATAGAAGCAAACTTTTAATATTCTATTATCTGCCATATTCAATATGATGAAATGATGAAGAATACTTAATCATCTCAGCCGACTTCGAAGACGTCGGCCGCCCCAAGTTTCATAAACAATACTTTTCTCGATATTCCGAGCGTTTCTATCAACAGCTCCGTTTTCCAAGTGTTACCATCAACAACTAGAAAAAACAACAAATTCATCCAATTTTCGTATTTTTCTCAATATTGACGCATCTGAGAGCAAAAGTACGAGAGAATGTTCTTGATATACGAAATAATCTCGGTCGACTTCGAAGACGTCGGCCGCCCCAAGTATCATGAACACTACTTAGGGCGGCCGACCATACTATCACAATTTGTAAAACTAAGAATTCAGCAAATTTTCATATTTTTCTCAATATTTACACATCTAAGAGCAAGAATGTAAGAGAGAAAATATGAAAATTACATGAAGAGGAGGACGAGGTATCTGTTGGATATCTTTGTAACAACTAAAATCAAACACAGTATAAATCGTGCTTGATGGCCAATTTTATTTTTTTGCTTATTTGGCTCACAAACTGTTTGTTCTAGCAACGTTTAGATATAATATGATAAAAAGATTGTTACCTTGCTGGATCAAATATATTAATCTGTAGCATGTATAAATTGAATAGCGTTAAGTGTTATTGTGGTTTTGGGTTTTTGGTTTTGTGTACATCCATCATTTTTTTGTCATCAAGTTTTTTTTTCGTCATTGAATTTAATGGTGTATAATTAGATCCAGCGCAGCTAACTGATGGTGCTCCGCCAAATATCCACCCAGGGTGCATTTCGAGTACAGGTCGTGGTCGTGTGGCAGCTAGTCCAACGTCGACACAAACTGCCCAATTGATTGGAGGTGCAATTTCGCCATCGTTGTTCACAACACCGAACGCCCAACAGGTACGGGATTATTGAAAGGTGTTAATATGGTGACTTCGATAAGTAATTGAGATTTTTTTGTGGGTTATGTAGCAACCATTGTTGATGGCGAATTACCCGTTAAGTACAAACCTGATGATAGGAGATTACGTGACGCCGGGAAACGGCATGACGATGTCCGCGTACAGACAGTAGACAGTGTGCATTATTAGGTTTTCATTTTTTTGCGGTAATGCTCAACGTATTTATTTTATTAATTTTAGTTTTTTTCGCCAAGATCTGGACAGATCGCGGACAGTTCCGCCGCGTTCCCAATTGATGTATGTCATCGTGACTACGCCATTGTGATAAAAAAAAAATAAGTGCTGTCTGTTCTTCCGACGAGTCACCTCTTCGTTCTATTTTATGTTAAAATACTTTGTCTATATGTTTTTTATTATTTTTTTTATTTTATTTTTTTTTTTTTTTTTCGTTATCGTATCTGGAATTTCTTCCTCACCTTTTTTAGGTTTCACGACGCGGCAGGGAAACTTACTTTTTATCCTAGCTACGTGTTTAAGGTGTCTAGGTTTTTATATTAAATTTTTAAGTTTTGCTGCTATATACCACTTTTACTATTATAATTTTCTAAGTGTTAAGTTCGGTCCTATTATACGTATTATCATTCGCCCTACTCCCCCAGCCCCATTTCCCGCTTTTTCGTTTTTGCAGACACGAGACACAAGACTAATTCATTATATAGGTTATTAGTAGTCCTCGGGCATGTGCCGTTTCCGTATCGACACTAACTAGTTTACGTACAATACACGTGCGGAAGTCTACTACGTTGTGTACATATGACGTTACTAATTTTTAAGCTCGCGAGTGCCCTCAGTGACTACTCTTAATTCTGTGTTCAGGTAGGAGATACAGTTGTCGAGGTTTTTACAAGTACGTTAAGGAATTATACGAACTCTCTTCTTATTATACTTTTTTGTTCTTTTTTATTTTGTTCCGGAAAGTCCAGTCTAGTCGAACATATTTATAAAAAGAATTGCGATCTAACATTCCTGTGCGAGAACGATCCAGAGAATATTATGCGAAAAAAACCTTAAGACAAATTAACAAATTTATTAAAAAATCCCGGTACTGTAACAACTCGATCTTTTTAATCACGTTAAATTAGGTGTAATTCAATTCTTTTTTGTTATTTGTACATTTAGGGTAAGGACAATAATTTAATTAACCGTTCTTTGCGTCACCACCCCTTCAGATCAAAAAATAAATAAATTAAAAAACGAATCCTAAGCAATCCAAGCATCGATCGATTACTGTCGGGTAGCGAACGGTTTTTAGGTCGCTCGTTTAGTAACGAAGCATACAAAATTAGCTTCTAGTTACATATCTAGGTCTGGCGGCACTGTATATTAAAAACACACTTCCATTTCGGACGATATACATCTTTTGCTGTTCTTTATTTTTTTTGTTTATTTTTTTTTTCAATGGTACTTTACTGGCTATTGTAATACCCCTTGTTTTTCTTTTTCTTCATTTGTACTGTATACCATCCAATTTTCATTGATATTTTGTAAAACGTAGGTAAACAATAAATTATTCTACTTAATAAAAAAATTATTTCGTTTATATCCTTATTTTCATTCCAAGTATCCATCAAATTTCTTTTATAGGAGTGTTTTCTAGATGTAATTTAGTTTGTTTTAGTTTGTCGGCCAAAAAGTAGATGGCGTGGATAAACGGTTGGATTGGAGGTTAATCTAACCAATGAGAAACGCGAATTTTTGCGAAATACTCTTACTAATAGATGGCGCTACTTGATCAATAAGTCTAAAGCTTGTGAAGGAATTGATGTCATTCAAAATTGTGCTTCAAGTATATTTCATCCTTGTTGTTTAGACAAAATTTAACATCAACATTGCTACCTTTCCAAGATTGAAACTCACATCAAGAGTTCTACATCTTTATACATTTATTTCAACGTGTTTCATACTCCCCACCTATAAAAAAAGGAAATTATTTACATTTCACTTTGATGCACATCTTAATTCTAATGGAAATACTAATTTCTTCCCACGTGTTCTATCTTACATTGTAAACTGCCACTTTTCTCATTAATTTTTCAACTTTCTCCCCTCCAGATCTAGACATATTTTAGATTTTATAAGATTAAGATTTGTAATGGATAAACCGCATCATAAAGTTTACATTTGTACATTTATTTCATTAAGTTAAAAAAAACATAAACACACTTAAATCTAAATATTATAAATTACCATATAGTACACTTCTTTTTCGGATTCATAAGAGATCCAGCTTTGCAACTAAAAGCTTTCGAAAACTCCTCGGAGTTTCTCAATGTGCCTAAAACCCTAAAAATTTTATGATTTAAGTGTGTTGGGTTGTATAAGCTGTAGGCTGAGTTCTCACCTAAATCTTCCTGGTGAGTGTACGGCGGATTTTATTCGATTTCTCGTTGCGTCTGGTCGTGATGTTCCGCACCAAACTTGGGCGAAGTTAATGAAAAATAATTGTTCATCGGTCGCGTTAAATCCAGGTAGTTTGGAATCTTCGTTGAGCATTAGCCACTTTTTGTATGCTTTGTAAGCTTGCTTTATGCCGCCGTTATCGGCGATGTTTTCGCCTTGGGTAGAGGCGCCGTCGAGTTTCGTGTTGATTTCGGGAACAACAAACGAGTTGTATTGGTCAATGAGGCATTTTGATTTTTCTTGAAATTTTTCCGTGGCTTCGCGCGTCCACCAGCTGTTCAAATTTCCGTCCTCGTCGAAAAGTTTACCTTTATCATCAAAACCGTGACTGATTTCGTGACCAATTACCACACCTATTCCACCGTAATTTAATGCTTGGGGATAGTGTTGGTGGTAAAATGGTGGTTGTAATATTCCAGCAGGAAACACTAAAAAAATTTAGCATAACATTTTTTTTGTTGAGATGTTAAAGTATACTTATTTGATTTTTATTCCTGCTGTAATAAGCATTAACGATAGTTGGGGGTGTATTCCAAATGTTTTTATTGACGGTTTTTCCTATTTTTAAATGTTCGCTTTTAGCGACGTGCTAAAATGCAAATAATAAAGCCTCATTAATTACTTATTGCTAATTTATTACCTGCAAAACCACCAAACAATTTTCAAAATAATAATTAGGATGCACTTTGATATCTAGATATCGATCAATTAAAGCCGATGTATCCAAAATTAGATCTGGATAACCAATTTTTAATCTCATAGCTTTAATTTTTGATATAGCCACCGATTTGGTGTAATCGCCCAACCAATCGCTGTCTTCCAAAATGTCTAAGAACGCTTCTTGTAGTTCTCTGGTCATATGCAAAGTCTAACAACAGTTTAACAAAGAATCCTATTAAAATAGAACTTACGTCATTTTTGTCGTTTTCGTCGAAATGACGTTTAACGAAAAGATGTCCCAAAGCCATTCCTAAGTAAGAATTAACTTGAGCGACGCAAAATTGCCATCTTGGAGGAGCTTTTTCCCGACCAAAAAGAATATGATAAAATCTTTGCTTAACTAAATTAAATCTTTCGTCAAGATTATTAATTCTATTTCTTACGAATCGCCATAAAATGTAATTAGTTATTGTTCTTGGGTTGTATTTTTTTAATAAAATCACCAAATTTTTCAAGTAATCAATACAATAACAAACGATCTTTGTTTCTAACGGTAAATTTCGATCGGTTACGACTTTAAAATACTTCATCCAATAGATTTCGGGAACTTCGTTTTGGAGCTCGCCCAAACTAAGCTTGTGATACAAATTGGATAAATTTCTTCGACTTTCCGGGTCTAAGGAGATCTCGGCGAGATCCGTTTCGAATCTGATGATATCGTCTACGTCTTCTTTAGCTTTTTCGTAATCTGCACCTAAAATCAATGTTGTATCCAATAAAAATTGACGGTAAGCTTCTAAATATTTCTTCATTTCCGGGTCTAAATAATATATTCTATTTGGTAAACCTAACGAACTCTGATCTATCTAAAAATTTAAATTAAATCGATATAGAAAGTTATTTATTTATTATTTACTTGTATTATATGTTCACTTGAATTTTTTATATCAATTCCCACCCATTCTTCAATAAAGATATCGTTATTATATAATCTTAATTGACCCAATAACCAAACCAAATCAAATTTAGATGGGCTCCATTCTGATTGGATAACGGGCCAATATCTTAAATGTTTGAGTAAATCGAAAAGAGGTTGAGAACCTTTTGCTGAAATTAATTCTTCGTTCATACATGATTTATAGATGTATTTACATTTTAAAATGGGATCAAAAAGAATAGTTTCGTTTAAATTTTCGAGGAGTTTTTCGAAATATGGAACATTTCCCGTCGAGTAACTAAAACTTTGCTTTTTAATAATTTCCTGGGTTAATAAAGATTCCTTAAAACAATAATTATTATTAAGAATCGAAATTATTTTAGAATATTTACGTTGTTATCGATATTTTCTAAAAGTTCTTTCAAATAAACGTCTAAATTCTCTCTGACTAATTCAAAAGTGTCATAACCAATTTTATCTGGTGGTATTGGGTGATATAAAGACCAATTTCCACAAGCATATTGATAAAAGTCATCGCAAGGTGATGTGCTCATATCCATGTATCTTAACATGTTCTCACCTAACATAATAAATGTTTCAGTCACTTTATAATTTTATCCGAAACATTTTTAGCTCACCTTGATATTTTCTTACTTCTTCTGATGTTAACGCGTCGTTCCATAATTTAAAAGGATCGTACTCAAAGATTTTTGGACCTGCATCAAAATCTGAGTCATCAAAAAAGTTATTAAACTAAAAAAAAATTATGGGTTTATTGTATCCGAGGAAGGTGTCAAAAAATAAACCATTCGTTTGTCACCAACAAAATTAGCATCACTTTGATTTATTTCATTCGTTTTGTTGACATCGTTTGTTGTCTTATTCATGTGGGCTTGTTCATTAAAGTGAGTGATAACAATGTAAAGAGCAACGAACGTCAACAACACAACAGGTAGGAACATTAATATCTTGACTTTCGTCGTCCAAGAACTTTCCGATCCAAAGCACCATCTAAAATCCACTTTTTAACTAATTTCCTTTTCTTTTTTAGGCTACATACCGCACTTTTCCTGTTTCCTTTTGTATGGTTAACCTGCACACGCACCACTTCTTATTTCTTCCATCCATTTAGACGGATCTTGTTGACACACTGAGTTGAGCTGCAAAAATACCGTGCGTTGCTCTATTACTTTGACCTTTCGCGCAATTGCCGAATTAACTTGTTATACTACTTCGACGAAAAGATTCTACAATGTAATCTTTTATATATATATATATATATATATATATATATATATACTAGTTTATTTTTAAATTAATTATTGGAAAAATTATTTTCAATGAACGAAAATAGTTTTGCTGATAAAAAAGAAATATCAAAATTCTTTATAATAGTCATACCAAGAAATGCACATTGTGTTATATTCGCAAAAAAATGTGAATTATTAATTCGAAAAATTAGAAATTTTTAAGATTCCGGAAACAGAGATTGTAATTTTTTGGACAATAAAAGTATGGATTGAAACTTACCAAGAAGAGGTGATCCGAAGAGCATAAAACACCCAACTAGTTCTATGTAATTGAAGCTACCTGATTTCGATTCGATCATATGACACACTAAAATGTGTTGAAATTCGGTATTAAAAAACATTGGCCACTATAATGAAGAAACCCCCACCTTGTAACGCATTTACAATCTTTTTTGTAAAAAACTTAAGGTGGAAACAATTACATTTTTAGAACATAGAGGACGCGACAATATTAATTAAAAAAAGCACAATTTAGACGATCTAATAAGTAGTTTTATTATGTTATTAGTTTTATTTATGGTCTAATCAAAGCAAACGAGCATCGCTTACTACTATGACACGTTATTTTTAAGCGTAGCTCATTTGAATTAAATTACACGTTAAATAAAAAAATGTTTCAAATAAAAGTTGTTTATTTTGCCATCGAGAATAGCATAGTTATCAAAAAAATATATATATTTATTTGAAAAAATTTACTTAATAATTGAAAGGCATTGATGGTGCTTCTAAAATGCAATGAAAATCATACAAAGTGCTTTTCCTCTTCATATGGTGAATATTTTATTTGAAACTTTTTTCAATAAAATTGATTGTTTATTAGTTATTAGATCTCAATTTAAATTTCACCCGGTATATACAGTGTGCTTGATTTTAGTTGTCACAACAGATATCTCTAGTCTTCGAAATCGGCCGAGATTATTTTAATAAGAAATTACTTATGGCACACCATGGCCGCCTCAAGTATTGTTCGTGATATAAGAAATAATCTCCTGATATAAGTATTGTTCATGATACTTGGGGCGGCCGTCGTCTTACGTTCTACACAGTATTATTATATTTATTGTTTTAGTAACGATCGTTTATGATGTAGGAATATGCCCTTGAATTGGGGACAGCCAAGAATTTATTTTGGACGGTTTCATGAAGCAGATTCAATGCATATATTTAAGAAACATCAAGTATTGGAGGTATTGGTGTTACTCACGTTCAATATCAGTATTGAAATATTGAAAAATATCTTCTACAGAATTCTCAGAATCATGCAACCACTTTTTTTAGAATATTAATTAATAACACAGCCGAAGCTCCAAGAACCAAAAAGATAACGTGCTGAAATTATGGAATGTTTTAGATTAAACATCCACTTGGAATTTTTAATATAAACTAAGACGAAAACATCATGGAAGCTACTTTGCAAAACGTTGATACGTCAATATGAAACTCTATAAAGTCAGGAAAAACTTAAATTTCTATACGAAGTTATTTTTTATTATTAAACTTGTACCGGGTGTGACATGATAACGTAACGGGTGCGACATAATCTTTAATTATTGCACCATATTCTATCAGCAACACGTTTCTCATAAATCCATGGAAAAAACGTTTTGGTGAGATAATTTTTGTCAAAAAAAAAATTAATCTATTAAGAAAAAAATTTATTTAACAATATTTATTTGTATCATGTTGAGTACGAAAAAACTTGATATAGAATAGGATGTTTAAAACTCCATTTCGTCGGCAGAGACTTAATTAATAACCCACTTGTATACCTGTCACAAGTTGGTTTTAGCGGCACAATGCTTTTATTCGACCAATATCTTCGCCTTTATCTCGGCGTTGCCTTTATAATTTACTTCCCGCACTTAAGTAGTTACTGGTAAAAGTGTCGTCGTGACTTAGACGGTGAGCGTGCCGTTATTTAATATTTTACTCTACTTTAAAACGCTCTATAAAGTTATAAATTAATTTTAAATGAAATTTCTTTTAACAAATTACTTGTTAATTAAAAGTTTATTAATTATCATGAGAAGATTAATTATGTATGTGTTATTTATTGAAGTAAATTCGAGTTTGAAACAGTTTGAACGTTTAAGGTCACATTCTGAGTAGGTAAAGTGACTCAGCAACTTAGTAAGGTAGAAATAAGGTTTTGATACAATTTACTCTATAATTATCTACATCCCGACATTTCTTGTGTTTTAGCCGCGCTCTACAACACTTTGAAAGAAACTTTTAAATAATAAAATGCAATAAAAAATATCAATTCATATATTTTGACATTGAAACCATTAGGTGATTAGTGAAGATTTTTTTGAATTCAGCGACGATTCGAATCACGACGGTAGCGATCAAAGCGGCCGTCGGATCCCGCCCCATTATAAATATGAAAGGACTTTTCTCCCCGAAATAACCTTAACAAAAACGTATTTTCTGGAAGATTTGCCCCGAATGCCGTTTAGTGTATGCGTGGCCAAACGACCATTGTTGTTCTAATTGTTTCCGTTTTCCTCTCTCGTGCCTCTCTACGCCAACAACGGGGTTCGGGGGACTCAAACCCTCCAACTTTATCTGATCCTTGAAACGAAAACGTTACATTCAAATTTCTACTGACGTTTCAATAAAAACAAAACCACAATCAATAATCTTATATATAACAGTTTGGAAAGGTAAACTTAAATCCCTTTCTGAATTAATCAAAACGGATAGAAAAGTGATTATAAAAAAATAAGGATGATTATTTTCAGTTAAACTCCCAACGGTCTATAAAATCGGGGAAGAAAATTCTCGATCTCCGACGATATTTAATTAAATATTTCTATACAGGGCGGCCACAAAAAGGCGAAATCCGACCGCAATGCCCGTAGTAATCCGCTTAAAGTATATCCAACACGTATAACAGTCAGAATCCGCGATCAATTTCTCTATGGGTTATATAATATTATCCTTGTTCGCGTAGCGAGGAGTTTCCAAGGGGAAACTTGGGGATGCCCGTTTCGGAGGGGGGTTTAATTACAGACTAGTGGCATCCCCAGGGAACGGTGGGGCTTCAAGCCACCCTTTCCAACTTGCTATGCCGCTGCGGCAACCGTCTCTTCCTATATTTCGACGACTTTCCACGACTCCCAAAAATATTTCCTACTGAACCCAACTTTTTACTTAAATAAAAAAAAGATATATTTTTATAATTTTTCTCAATTTAATATAGTTTTACTTAAAATCACAAAAAGGAATAAATTAAATTTACCAAAAAAAATTTGATTTATAAAGATCGTTTTTTCCCCACATATAATACAAAAAAAGCGTTTTAGGAGATAACTCAATTTTTTTATACGATGTTATACAAAAAATATTTTCGGTTAAATAATTTATGAAGTTAAATCAATAAAAAAAATTTATATACATTTAAAAAGTAATAATAAAAGAGAAATTCACGTTGAAATTTAGTGACGACTTTTCTCGATAGTTCAAAATGTTGTAGAAATGATTCTTTGTGTAGAGGGTTATAAAACGTTTGGAGTAGAATAATAAAATGGGCAATTTGACATTTGTCAAATGGATCAAATTACGAGTTATGTATGTAAATATACAGAGGGTTTGGATGTCAGGAATTCTGTCCGTACGTTGTGCCCAAGGGAGGAGGTCCCGCAGGAAGGGTCCTGTACCCCTTATTAACTAATAGCGGTAAATACCGTGTGATGTATGTAATCATAAACTAATTCGTCGCGTTCCCCTCCTAATAAAACAATCAACACATTTAATTCGCCCCCCTGGGCGCCGGGGGCAAAAATCGATCGTCGGAATGGCAACGGGAGCTTTCGGGCTTTCGAGCTTTTTAGCTCGGGCACGATTCGATTAGCGGACGCCTTTCATGTCGCCGGCATCTGCATGCGGCCCAAATTGTTATAAAATTAGGTGTCATTTCAAAGGCCGTCGATAAAGCGATATCTAACTAAATTTTCTACACCAACCCGGCCCGTTTTTGACTCTTGGAGGCGTCACTAAAAGCTGCGTCGTAAAAGCTCCGGCTAAAAGCTTTACCTAAAACTTTCACCGTATTATTACTGACACTGTTAAAATGCATACTCTTTTATTATTATATCTTCAAATATCTTTTTCTAAATCATCATCAGTTTCATTTAATCAAATAAATAGTGTAAAGTAAAAACACAAATATCTATATGCTGCGATCTATAGTTATATGATAATATTACAAAGTTGCCAACTTAAAGAGTTTTCATTCTTAGCTCTAAACTTAGCCGGGCTTAGCATTTATTCACTAATTTTAGGTTGATATGGTATTAATAGATTTTGCCCAGATTTGAGTTGATGTGGCCTCAGCTTTATCTTCTAAACTCACACATTCTTAGCTCTTCAATTTGTTGACTTATTTAGGTCGATATGGTATTAATTTTTGCTCCTCGGCTTTAACATCCATTCTCAGCTTTAAGTTTAGTACTCTTCAATTTGTTGATTAATTTTAGGTTGATATGGTATTAATGATGGAGCCTCAATGACAGGCGATCTTGCCTTAAGTAATCAATTATTCTAAGCTATAAGACATCTCAATTAGACTTTATACAATTATTTTAATACAATCGATACCCTAAAAATTTGATAACAATTTCTGTTTAAAACATTTTTAACTCAAAAACTAACCTTTTAGTTGTGAAGCCAATTTGCTGACACTTTTTGTGATCAAGAATTTAGTTTAACGTGAAAATGTGATGTTGTTGTACTATAGCTTTTCACGTGGTAATATTTGATCACGTTTTGCATTGCGACACAAACATTTTATTTTGCTTTTTGAAGTCAATTGAAGAAGAAAAATAAATGAAGATGCAGCCAAAAATTGTGTTATAATATTACAACAATGTTTGACATTGTCGCGGTCGCAAAAGAAGAAAATGTCATAGTCAAAATTTTTGTGTTATGCTATTGCATGCAAATTTTGGATCTTTTTATAAACATAAAAAATTGTATTTGTTTTTAGATTTTGCGAATTTACTACGACTTGAAGATATAGTATATAATGCCGTATTAAACGATACAGATAGCACAGAAGATACAAATGATGTAAATAATACAGAAAATACGGAGGTTACAGATGTTTCAGAAAATACAGTTTGTAGAGAGAGATGATTTAAACGATTGGTTGGACGTTCGTAAATGAAGGAGTGTGTATGTATATATTATGTTATTAGAGTAAAAAAATGTGTGATTCAATATCGGTTTGTAAAATAAGTAGATAAAATGAATTTGGCCCGGTGTTTCGAAATAAACGCAACGTCGATTTGTAAAAACCCGGTCGAGTGCGTATCGGTAATTTCAAACTGCAATATTGCCGCGTCGATAAATAGTAATAATAGACCTGGCGTGTGGAGTGTTTATTTAGAAACATAATAGAGAAATATTTAACGCGATTGGGCGGGTAGGTAAAGTTCCATTCATTTACTCGTTGGTACACATCGGGGCGAAGAAGGGTGGGTCCCCATCGTCTTTTGCCATTGAATACTAAATCGGGCACATAATGCGGAACCCCTGGCGATATTTTCTTTAAAATCCCAACAATAGTTTTAAGTGGTAATTTGTAAAAGTTCGTACCTTGTCAAAACACGGACCTTCGGGGTCCTTCCTGCCCAAAAATTGGCACTCACTTTAAAGGATGACACCTCGGTATTCAACCATAATCTTATTTTTATTGCCTGACAATACCTTTCCATTTTTTTTCAAAAATATCAATTTACATTTACAAAGTTTCTTTATAATATTGTTCGTTTTTTATTGTAGTTTAATCTATTTGCTCGTTTTATTGTTGTTTTGATTTAAATAAAGTTAATAATTAAATTAATACATTGAAATAATAAAGTGGGGATTGTTTACCTAAATATATATACATATATATATTAATAAGCAGGTATAAAAGGCGTGAAACGGAAGCGCGATGTCAAAGAAAAAGAGAAGATCGAAGCCGATGGTTTCAAATTTCGGCAAAACCTCTCACGTTACGAAGCTACGAATGCGACAACGGCGTTACACCAATTCAACGTTGTCCAATTTTGTCGCATTGTCCGATAAACGGTTTATTGTGCGCCTAAACCCCAACCGGCGCTCGCTAAAACTTATTATGTCACACCACTTCGGTAACACAAAACTTTCGTCACAATGAGAGAGGTGCCTCGCGGTTTATTATGGACCCGTTAATGGTTCCGACAAAACCCCGAACACATGCCCATTTAAGTTTACGATGCCAATAAGAGATTTATATCAAACAGTTTAGGCATAAATATATTATTTCAATTTTTAAAATTATTTTGTTGCTATAGGCAACCAACATAATTTGTTTGAAAAGATTCTTTTCTTTGAATAAGGTAGGCAAGAATATTTTGAAAGCATATTTTTTGGGGTTTGATTTCTATTTGTATTTTTAGATTTTTTTATCGTACAATTGGAGAAGATAGGCAACTTTGTATATGGAGATTATGATTTTGTTGGAAAATAGCTTATTAATAAGTATGTTTTTAGGTAATAAAGTGTTTTCTGGTTTGGTGGTTGTAAAAGAATCAAAATTTAGATGTATTGGATGTCCTGTGAAATTGAGGGTGATAGTTGGATAAGAAGAAGTCGTTGGGAGTAAGGTCCTGAGGGTATTTTTGGGTTAGATCGGGCAGTTGGTGTAGTCGTGCGAGTGTATCACAGGCGAGCAGTGTGTTTTGGAACACAATGACTGTTACGGGATACGGTCGAGCCGTGACCAGAATGACGATGGGGGACAATAGTTCGAATCGGATCTATATGTGACCATCGGTCTGTCCACCGCAATTCGCAGCGAACTAATGCACGCAAATTAACTCCGCGCCGCCCCACGTCGGCCCCAGCCGGCGGCAACACGGGGTTCCCGAAAAAGGGGCCAATTTTCCGGCTCTCTTTCCGTTTTGCGCTTTTTGCCCATCCGTCTCCGCTGGATTTCCACCGTGACGGACAATTTTTTCTTTTTCCGCGACTTTTTTACTGCGTTTAAAAGCGAAACGGCCACTACCGCGGCCTCTCGCCCTCGTTTTGTTCAGTTTTGGCATTTCAGCTGAAGCCACACCCATCGTAGCCCCTCCCTGTTCAGATTTCTTCGCTTCCTCGTCCTGCGCCTCTCCTTTTGCTTTCGACCGTCTACCGCTTCTTCCCCACCACCATGCCTTTTCTCTATCCTGCCGCCACCGCCGCCGATCCTTTTTCTAATATGCTAAATACAAACATCGCTCAATGTAATTCAATCGATAATTGTTAAGGGTCTTTCATTCCTGTATATGTTTTCATCCCTTCAATTTCAAATTTTTCTCAAAATTTAATTATTCAATATACATAAATTATTTTATTTTTTCCTATATTGCAGAATCATTATTTTATTACAAATATTTTTTAAAATCTAAAATATTAACAGAACAAATTTGGAGATTCATATATTAAATTTATAGTGTATTAGCCATGTATAATCTTGTTCATGACTTAATCTTCTTGATTTTTTAGTTAAGTAACGTATTGTTTATAAGTAAATAATTGTATATCTCAAATAATAACTAAATTACAAAATATGACTTGTTTTGTGTTACTTAATTTTGTTAAAATTAGAAATTGTTTAAATCGGTTTAAATTGTTTAAAGGGGTACGAAAAGAAAATGTTGAAATAATGATCGCCCTGTTGGGAAGCGCTAAAAATAATTTGCAAATAATGTGAGAATTCGTGATTCGCCTTCGGGGTACGGAGAGGGAACGGATCGACGCGACGAAGGCCTGGGGCGGCGACGCGGTCCGCGGGGCGCAGGGAATGCTATTCGGGTAGCGTTGAGGGGGAAGGGGTGCGAATAAATTCTGCGCCCCTCACCCGGCAACGAAAAGATACCCTTAACACGCAAGTTTCACAACATGGCGGGGCGTACCTTCCGCGTCTGCCGGAAGGCCGAGATCGGCCGCCATTGGCTGTTTCGAATCCCGCCTCTATTCTGTTGTCAAATATTGGTGGACAAATAGTCCGTGTTTGTAACATGTTTAGATGCCCGGGACTCCAGATCTCTTAACCATGTAGTGTTGCTCGTTCACCGTCCGGCGACGCACCACGATCCGCAAACTGATTTTTATCACACCTTGGGCCAGTTTGTGAGTGTCGCGAGTGTTTATTGACATTGCTTGTGACGATGTGCAGCAACGATAGCTCCAGCTCTTCACCGAGGCTTCCGATGGCTTTTGGACTCGAAGCTAACGCGCCCAGATCTATGTTACCCATAGACCAATATAGGATTCAACTATATCAATATGCCGTCGCTGAACGACTTCGTTATCCCCTTTTAAACCCGTTTCCCGCACCTCTTCCATGTTATCCACTGTTTCCCCGAGCTCTACAACCCGAAGAACCTAAACCCCAACACAGTTACATCGGCCTCATTGCCATGGCAATTTTAAGCGCACCAGAAGGTAAATTAGTGCTATCCGACATCTACCAACACATCCTCGATCATTATCCATATTTCCGTACCAGAGGACCCGGATGGAGGAACTCGATACGTCATAATCTTTCTTTAAATGACTGCTTCATCAAAGCTGGTAGAAGCGCGAATGGAAAAGGACATTACTGGGCAATACATCCAGCTAACGTTGAAGATTTCCGCAAAGGTGACTTCCGAAGACGTAAAGCTCAAAGAAAAGTAAGAAAGCACATGGGTTTAGCCGTTGATGAAGATGGTGCAGACTCTCCAAGTCCTCCTCCGTTATCAGTATCTCCACCCGTTGTAGTTCCTGGACCCTCAACGCCAGTTTTTTCAACACCAGCCAAAGGAACGTCTAGAAAGCGACAGTTTGACGTCGCATCACTTTTAGCGCCAGATTCTGGCGATGATACACCGGAAGAAGACATCGACGTGGTGAGTAGCGACCAACAAGAGCAATCCGCGTCAAGACCGTGGCCGATGTTTCCAATTGTCAACTACTATCAGGCTTTGCTCCAGGCTAGACCAAGTCAAAATGAAACCACCACCACAAGCAATGAGACTATTGATTCTTAAAGTGGATTTTTTAAAAAATTAATCTTGGACTATTTCGATCTTTAAAATTTTTTTTAATGTTATGTTTGTTATTATTTTATTAATTTGATATCACGAAAATTTGTAAGTAGCGGAATATAAAAATATATTTAAAGAAATTTAAATAAAATTGAATTGAAATCGAAGTGATTAAAATTGATTTGAAATTTAAAGATCGAATTTTTAACCTACAAATTAGCAAAACTAAAATTAAAAATATATACAAAAATAAAATATAAATATTATAAACCGCATAACGATTATATAAATACTATAGATGCAATTTATTTATTCGAACGATGTAACATAGAAACTTCGTGCGAAAGGGTTATTGTACATTTATAAATGAAAAAAAAAACAACCTATTATGCATGAAAATTGTATATCTACTCATGTAAATATATCGATAATTATAGAGAACCCCGCGTCGTTTTTGTTTTATTGCCTAAGGCCCATACAGTGCTCTCGAGATAAAGTGTTTTGTGCTCTCGTGGGGTGGAAGTGTTGTGGCTTTTTCAAAGTAAGTACTCTTTGTGCCTTAATCTACTTGACATGGCCCTATTTGGCCCCCCTGGTGAGGTGGTTTTGTACCCGGATTATCGTATTTTTCAAGTTTACACCTTTAATGCCATCTTACAAATTTAATCTTGTAAGAATTTTTTTTGGTTTGATTCAAAATATTGTTGTTATTTCGAAACGTTGTCGGCCATTATTATTAGTTCTTGGTCGCTGAGCAGATAAAATGGGGCATATGTGTAAGAGCTCCGGGGGGTATTTAAACAAATTCGTTACCGTTGCGATTGTGAACTAGCCGGTGTAAAATAATTTCGCGTTGTGGGGCACCACGGGAGGCGGTCCTAAGGGTGTAACTATAGCCCTCCGTTTTGCCTTGGTTCGTATTTAGAAAGTAATTCCACCACGGCTCAATAAACACAATTACAATTCAATTGTAACTGTGCAAGGGGCGTCGAACCATGAGAAATCCCCATTGAATTATCTAATGAATTAACACTTGAGGTGGCTCATTCACTTGAATTTTTAGGGTACACTTTTTCTTTTGTCCATCAAGTAAATGTTCACAAACATAACTTTATATTTATTTATGTTTAATGAATGAAAATTGTTTTTTTTTATCGTTTCATCTTAATATAAATTGTTAAGTCATTGCGTCAGCTGCGACGGAAGTCGAAAGATATAGAGGTTTTTTGAAAAGGTAATAATTACAAATTACCCTTCCATTTGTCAAGAGGCGGGTTGGTCTGATGCGTAGTGTATAGTGTTGGAAAACGGTCACGTGCAAACAGGAAGGTGTCAGTCCCAATAAACAAATGTTTCGGGAATGGAGAGCACTCATCATGGACGAGGACAAATACACGCGGTGATACCGGCAAATATTAGTTGAGGCCACCTCAAGTCCAAGGTGTGGTTCAAGTACATCGCAAACAAAACGCTCAGTTTACCTGAGAAGCGAAAGATACTGGATACTTTTCATAAAGGATCGAATTTATTTCGAAAGATTTTTAGTTTAAATATCAAAACTATAAGAAAATATCGACTTTTATATACATTGAGATGTAAGCTTTGTTTCAAGAGAGAAAATTTGAAATTCACCGTGTTTGAGTTCGCCTTTTTGATGTTGGTGCCGCCCATTTAGGATGTTATTGAATTATTCAGCCCCTAGGACGGTGTAAAATAGCGAGTAAACTGGAAATAATATAAACCTCACCCCCCACGGAACCCGAACGAGCGCTCCACAGCCTCCGTTCGCGCTTCTCCCCCTCATTTACCATTTCGCGTCGGGACAATTACCACATTTTCCTTTTTATTTATTTAGTTTTTTGTTCAAACGGTTTTTCGAGAAAAAACCTCGCACTAGACACCATCGTGACTCGACAACGCTGTTTTGAAAGCCGATTGTCCGGCCGAACAATGAAGACGTCCACACGAAAATATCTTTAACAAACGCGTCTTGTACTGAGCATCCCGCGCCGTTCTCAAACTCGGACGGGACGTCGAACGCGTGTTTTGACTTTGTTTTCGGCCACAATGATCCCGTGCATCTTGCTAAGGATCTGTCATTTGACCGAGACCCGGGGCATTATTGGAAAATCTTGCCGAGTCACGTTCTATCTGAGAAACATCCATCCGACGACTCTCTACTCTGTAATATCAAACTTCACCGCCAGCAAACGCTTCCATACGGCTACTTAACGCAACCCACACACATTAAAATCTTCATACACACCGTCACAAGACTTTACTTTATTACAAAGTCTATCATCAATATCATTAAGACAACACAAAGTTATACACCTTAATTTAATTCATAATTTTATATATATATATGTATAATTTTAGACCACAATGAGTTTATCTAGTCGTATTAAAAATAATGAAAACCAAAGAGATTAATTTCGTCGATTGACCAAACGTGAACAATAATGAAATACATTGTTGGGGGACGTTATAAAGGAGATTAAACGTGGAACACAAAGATCAACCCGATTATGTTACTGTTAATTAAACGGCGAAATGGTAGTAGTACCTGGTTCCCCGGGGGAGATGTCGAGATTAGGGAAAACCTTTAAACTTAAGAGGATATTGTGACGGGGGCGTGATTACTTCGACGTCAAGTTTGACGCTCTTCAACCGCACAAAAGCCATAACAAAGAAACCACCGTCGTCGGGTTGACCGTTAAATGGTTTTTGCGTTAAACATTTCTATTCATCTTTTCTTTTTTTTTCAGAAACATTGTTGACAGATTGGTGTTTTTCTATGGTGATTTTTATGCAGCCTATTTTAAGGGGTGTAACCGAAGTTGCTTTCGATTCGACGTCGTTTTTGACAACCAACGCAGGTTTGCTATTTGTCCTTTAAAGGGTTGTATAATTGGTTTATCGAAACAACACGCCAACGCTAGTTCGCACCCCGATAATTTCATTTTCCATGCTCGTAATGCATTTATTATTGACGCGTCGGTTTCATTTTAAGTGCAACATTTAATAGTAATATCTACGCTTAAAAATAATGTTAACATCGAAAGTTTAAGATCAAAAAAACTTATCGGACCAATTTAAAATTGTTGGATGTTTTGTTGCTAGGTAAACATTATGGAAATATTTTCCGTCGTTTTACGTGATTTCGCAGCTGTCACGCGGCCGGAGGAATACGGTCCTTTGGGATATAGCGGGATGATTAAATTACAACACCCTTCCCAACCTTGCATACGCTTTGGGATATTTCTAGTCCTTCCCCGTTCCAACTTTTAACCAAACCAACAAAAGCTTTCTAAATCCCATTCAAACGCAACTATCTCAATCGCGATTTTTATATTAATATGTTTTATAATAATTAAACTCAAATTAATTCAAACTTTATTAACTGAATTGTACACAGGAAAAAATATAGAGTAAAAATCAACTCCAAAACATGGTTCAGATCGGTCCAATTTATTTAGAGTTATTTTTTTGCACTATATAGTGTAGGTGAATAGTGTAAAATCGTTACTCTATAACAGTGTATTATATGTAATCTAACTAGATGTTGTCGTGACTCTAATTAGATACATTTCTAATCTAATCAGTGTAAATTATTAAAAATTCGCTCTAATTTTTCTCTATTAATTGACAAAATATCACTAAATAGTGTGTATCTTAAACTTATTAGTGTTAATATTTAATAGGAAGTGGAGTATTTTTAGGGAAGTTTTACGTTTGTAATAAAAATCAAAATTATAAAATATTTGTTAAAAAAAAAAAAATTAAATTCTGTTTATATACATACATAATATATATAATACTTAGGGCCGGTTGTACAATATACCGATAAATCTACCTGATATCTATCCGCCCGATAAACTTATCAGGAGGATAAAGATATTCGCTGTTGTACAAACTGTTTTTGTCGGTAGGATTGCTATCGGCGAAACAAGAGTCGGTTGGTAGTAGTTTTTCCCCATATCTAGTGATTTATGTCGTAGAATGGTAACGCCAACGTCTTTCTTTGAAGTTTGAATTATGATTTTGACAATATAAATTGTTTAAAAAAATTTCCACTGACACATCGTACATATAAGGTTAACGTTTAATGTTAGAGGTTAACCTAGGCAGTAATCATACAAAGTTTTTATATAAAAACCTTGGTAACCATAAATATCTGCCGGATAAGTGTCTTATCGGCACCGCTGAGTACCCGATAAGTTATCCTGCCGATAATCTCACCGACAAAAATATCCGTACATTGTAATACAGTACAAACTAACTTATCTGCCAGATAACGCTGTCGGGAAGTTTATCGCTATATTGTACAACCGGCCCTTAATTCATTTTAAAGTTTCCACCGAGTCATCATCAAAACTGCATCTAATGAGTCTTCTATAAGTTTCCTATATGTATAGTTGCACCAAGTTGCACATACTTACCAATCTTCACAAGGAACTTGTATGTAAAATCTTCCGGAAGTTCCACTAATTTCACATCATGAATGTTTTATTTTGGCAAACATAATTAAAATAAAAATAATCGTTCTTTCTTTCTATATCGCGTAAATCAGGTCTCGAGACGCTATCGAGTTCCGACTCGTTTAGTAGATGACCGTTAAATTTTAGTTTGTATCACACCACAGCAAAATAGTGCGGTGCTTACGAAGCACGTCTAGTGTAAAATTTAATGTTTTATATATTACATAACTTCACTAACATAAGTAAAAAAGAACTCTCCTTTAGAGAACTGTAAAAACTACTCTATTAAGTGAATAATATATGAATTCTATATTAATATTAAATATAGTGTACATTAGAGTTGTTTTTACCATGTGGTATTACAATTTTTACTCTAATTCTTTTTACCAACTACTCTAAAATTTTTACACGACACGATTTTTTCCTGTGTATACAAATTATAATTTAACCTCTCCTTCCTTAGCTAATTCTTTTCTAATAATAACTTAATTACACCAATATTAATGTGTAGACGAGTACCTACCCGACTTTTGCACACAGCTCCTTTTGTTTATAGAATTAATATCGGCAGATTTAGCCTCAGTTACTATCGTATAATACTAAAATTAGTAGTACTAGTACACTGTTTTATGGTATTTCTGCGCTAAGAGTAACCCTGAAGGCTCGATTTGAGATATAATACCTTAACAATTGTGAAAACCGGTTAGGAAAGGATCGTGAAATGTACAAAGTGGCCAAATAAGCAAAGTACTATATCTCAGAAGTTACTCCTTGTAGAGACTTGCGGTAAAAATTTTAACGAGTAAAGTGGCTAAGAGAAAATCCTGGACATTATGTTCAAATTTCTAAGATTATCACTAGGAATTCCGCTGTATTAACTTTACAAAAAAGTACATATGTGCATTTTAAAGTTTAGATAAATTATAATTTTTTTTGTTTAAGCACTTTTTGCCCTATCGTTAAAAATAAAGTGATTTAAATGTTTGTAAACAAATGCCAATAATTTCAAAATGGCTGCACAGAATTTAATAAGCTTGGTAACGTTGAAAAGAGCATTTCTTGGACTACAAATCCTACCTTATTTATGGTGATTGTTATTTGGTATGTTGCCACTAGAGGGCATTTTTCGATATTACAATAGAAATTGTGAGTTTTCTTAAAGAAGTTAAATCTATTGGTATCGTCGGCCACGCCAAGTATCATGAACAATACTTAGGTTGGATACCCTGCTTGAAGTTTATGGAAGAAATAATTTCGGTCACCCTATGTAAATAATCTCGGCCGCCCTATGTAAATTGGGGCGGCCGACGTCTTCGAAGTCGGCCGAGATATTTCTTCCATAAACTTCAAGTAGGATAGACTTGGTTTTATGCTCCCAATCCCAAGTGATACCATTAATAACTTTATAGAAGAAGTAATCTCGGCCGACTTCGAAGACGTCGGCCGCCCCAGGTTTTGTTCGTGGTATAAGAAATAATCTCGGCCGACTTCGAAGATGTCGGCCGCTCCAAGTTTCATCAACAATACATAAGGCGGTCGATGTCTGCGAAGTCGGCCGAAATTATTTCTTCAATAAACTTATTAATGGTATTACCTGGGATTCGGAGCGTAAAACCAAGTCTATCCTACTTGAAGTTTAGGGAAGAAATATCTCGGCCGACTTCGAAGGCATCGGCCGCCCTATGTAAATTGGGGCGGCCGACGTCTTCGAAGTCGGCCGAGATTATTAAGTATTGTTCATGAAACTTGGGGCGGCCGACGTCTTCGAAGTCGGCCGAGATTGTTAAGTATTGTTCATAAAACTTGGGGCGGGTTCATAATCTCGGCCGACTTCGAAGACGTCGGCCGCCTTTTTTTTAACCTTCAAGGACTTTGTGAACAATACTTAATAATCTCGGCCGACTTCGAAGACGTCGGCCGCCTCAAGATTCATGAACAATACTTAATAATCTCGGCCGACTTCGAAGATGTCGGCCGCTCCAAGTTTCATCAACAATACATAAGGCGGTCGATGTCTTCGAAGTCGGCCGAAATTATTTCTTCAATAAACTTATTAATGGTATCACCTGGGATTCGGATACTTGAAGTTTAGGGAAGAAATATCTCGACCGACTTCGAAGACATCGGCCGCCCTATGTAAATTGGGGCGGCCGACGTCTTCGAAGTCGGCCGAGATTATTAAGTATTATTCATGATACTTGTGGCGGCCAATGTCTACGAAGCAAACAAAGGCAAGATTTTAATATAACTCAATTAAAACGATCAAATTAATCAATTTTTCATGATAAAACACGGAGCATAGTACAAAAAAAACTTTTAGAACAAAAGTTGTAGCAAATTTTATTCTTAACAATATTGCTCCCTTTCATTTTTGCTCTCAGATGCGTAAATATCGAGAAATATGAAAATTAGAGAAATTTTTTCAAATTTTTGAGATATAAAGTGCCATCTATAACTGAGAATCGGAATTAAGACATTGATTTGTTACAAAGTAGTGACATCTATTGAGAAATTTTAAAAGTAGATTTTTTTAACAAATGATTTTACGTATTTTATAATCCTTTCATAAACAATATTAAAGTGTTAAATGTAATCTAAATCCCTTTAAAATCTAAATCTCTTTTTAATAAGAAAAATTGAGTTGTGTCAGAAAGGGAAAAAAAACTCGAGCATAACCTCAAAAAATTTTGTCATTTGCAGGGTGTGTGCCATCGTTAGTTAATCGGGTTTTAAATAGTTACTAATTGAGGTGTTTTTATTTTCTGCGGAAATTAGAAAATAAGCGTTTTTGGAGGGACATTTAGGTTAAAATCTGGATGTTATACGTCAGTTATTTTATCTGTCAAATGGCATTTATGGTGTTAAAACTCTGCAGTGTGGAATGTCAAACAACTGCAGTTCATATGCGGTTAAATTTGTAAAATTCACCCGATTCTATGAGAATTATCACTAATTAACCCACACCACACGGTCCAGTGAAACTTCAATATTGTAAATGCAAGTACTTATTTAAATAAACCCCAGCTTTTTTTTATTTTTTTTATTTGAGTACTTTAATTGGAACGTTAGGTAAGTCTCCAAAATTTTATTATAATAGAAAGTGACTCAAAATTATTTTAACTAACATATTGAAAAGAAAAAGAAATAATTTTGATCATCATATTAATAATATTGATGGAATATACAGTGTGTTTGATTTTAGATGCCACGCCAGATATCTTGATCATTATTGGAGGTATGATGTTATAAAATATAATTAACAATACTTGTGTGCCATGGGAAGCCATAAATAATTTCTTATTTTGATAATCTCCACCTCAAGTATCATAAACAATACTATACTATTATAGTTTTATAATACATAATAAAATTGGGCATGTTCCATTTAAAATTTCTAAAGTATTTGCTGATACATTTGATGATCACTTCCTTTTTTTGAATATGGCAGATAATATCCTCATATCTCCAATATTAGTCAAGATACACACTGTATAAATTATAATAAAAATGTTTATATCATTGATTTTTATAATTATTTTTAGATCTCACAATGTTGTATATTAAGTAAACGAAAAATATCTCTGAAATATGATTCTCTACGAAACATAAACAAAAAATAAAATATGTTTAATATTAAAAACATTGACATTCCATAAATAATAAAATAAAGAAAAGAAAAAGCTTTATTTCTGTAACAAATTTTAAATTTTAACGAAAAACCTAAAAACAAAGTTAAAAATGACTGATTTAAATGACAAAATAGCGTTACAAGAGCAGGAAATTTCCGATCTCAAACTACAACTGAATCAATATCAACAAGGTAGAGCAACATTGGACTTACAACTCCGTCAAAAAGAAGAGGTGATTATTAAAACTGAAGCGGAAGCTCAACGAAAAGAAATGCAATACAAACAGGAAATTCGCCAGCTTAAAGAAAAATTGGAGGCGCAGAGTGAAGTAAAAGAAGACGACGATGTAAAAGTGTTAAAAGAAAATCTTGATAAAATGAAAATTCGCGAAGAAAAATTATTGGATCAACTAAATAAATTAAGCACAGAAGAGGACGGTTTTAAACAAGTAATGGATGAGTATGAAAAAACTATAAGCGAACAAGTTTCGGAAATAGAAAAATTAAAAAAAGAACACGAAACGGCAAAAAGGCATTTAGCAACTCTCGAAATAGCTTTCTCCGATGTACACCAAAAATATGAACGTAGTAAAGGGATTATTGAAGGTTATAAACACAACGAGGAAATGTTACAACAAAGTTTAATGTTGGCTAATGAAAATATTAGAAAAAATGAGGATAAATATGAATCGTTAAAAGCCCACGCTAAAGCGCAAATTGATAAATCGAATCGTGAATTGAATTCGTCCAGGGAACGATATCAAGGTGAATTACATAAATTATCGGCGATAGTAAAACGGTTGGAAATAAAAAATTCGTCGCTTGCGAATGCTTTGGAACAAAAAACGAAAGAATGCGCCGAATTGGCCGCTTTATGCGATGAAGTAACCGGAAGAGTTGAATAAAAGCTTTTTTTTTGATGCAATATGTTTCTATTAAAAAAAAAACTTAGAAACTGGTACATATATATAGAATAATAATATATACATCTATATTTTTAATATCGCGTCTCTCTATTTGTTCATTATTAATATATTTAAACAAAAAAAACGAAAATTGAACTCTTTATTGTTGTGTTTTTTAGTCGTTCTAATTTTTTTTCGCTTAAAATTAAAACAAAATAAAATGTAATTTATTTAAAAACTGTATTAACTACGAGTCAACATAAAAAAATGATATTAATGTAAATAAATGAATTAATAAACATTTCAAATAGTTTGTGGATCACATTTATTAATATTCTATCACACCTATTATGGTACATGAATCAGAAATTACCAAAAATTAATTAATCCTTATCTTAACACGATGTTTATTTTTATAAGCCGTTTCAGTCACAACTAATTGTTTTAATGTTTAAAAAAAATGTAGTAAAGGGTTTTATCAACTTTGGAGATAACAAAAATAATGTTATCTATCGTAACTGAACAGCATGTATTATTTCAGGTGAACCAAGAGTTACCAAACACAGCTTACTTATTTTTATGAAAACTAAAAAAATATTTTTTGCATATTTATTCTTTGATTCGGAGTTTGCGAGAGATGTACTGGTGATCTTGGCCTATATTTAGACGCAGAATCAATATCGCTCCCATGTAGGGAGTTCCTTATCGATTTCTATGAAGTTGACTAATCATGATGTAACTTTTCTGTTGAGATCGAGTTTATATAAATTCCTCGGGTATACTTATAGTGCGGGCGAGGATTTATAATTAATATCATTTCAACCCTAAACTGGTCAACACATTGCTCATCTTGCAATATGTGTTGTCCAGCTTCGGATTGAGGTGATATTAATTAAGTGTCGCCCACAAGCGACTTCGTCTATACTTATAGTGGAGAATCTATGATGCAACCTATCTAAGCTGAGGTTGCTTGCGGGCGAGGATTTATAATTAATATCATTTCAACCCTAAACTGGTCAACACATTGCTCATCTTGCAATATGTGTTGTCCAGCTTCGGATTGAGGTGATATTAATTAAGACTCGCCCACAAGCGACCTCGGCTATACTTATAGTGGAGAATTTATGATGCAACCTATCTAAGCCGAGGTCGCTTGCGGGCGAGGATTTATAATTAATATCATTTCAACTCTAAACTGGTCAACACATTGCTCATCTTGCAATATGTGTTGTCCAGCTTCGGATTGAGGTGATATTAATTAAGACTCGCCCACAAGCGACTTCGGCTATACTTATAGTGGAGACTCTATGATGCAATCTGACTAAGCTGAGGTTGCTTGCGGACGAGGATTTATAATTAATATTTCAACCCTAAACTGGTCAACACATTGCTCATCTTGCAATATGTGTTGTCCAGCTTCGGATTGAGGTGATATTAATTAAGTATCGCCCACAAGCGACTTCGTCTATACTTATAGTGGAGAATCTATGATGCAACCTATCTAAGCCGAGGTCGCTTGCAGGCGAGGATTTATAATTAATATTTCAACCCTAAACTGGTCAACACATTGCTCATCTTGCAATATCTGTTGTCCAGCTTCGGATTCAGGTGATATTAATTAAGACTCGCCCACAAGCGACTTCGTCTATACTTATAGTGGAGAATCTATGATGCAACCTATCTAAGCTGAGGTTGCTTGCGGACGAAGCTTTATAATTAATATCATTTCAACCCTAAACTGGTCAACACATTGTTCATCTTGCAATATGTGTTGTCCAGCTTCGGATTGAGGTGATATTAATTAAGACTCGCCCACAAGCGACCTCGGCTCTATTTATAGTGAAGAATCTATGATGCAACCTATCTAAGCTGAGGTTGCTTGCGGACGAGGTTTCATAATTAATATCACATCAACCCTAAACTGGTCAATACATTGCTCATCTTGCAATATGTGTTGTCCAGCTTCGGATTGAGGTGATATTAATTAAGTATCGCCCACAAGCGACCTCGGCTATACTTATAGTGGAGAATCTATGATGCAACCTATCTAAGCTGAGGTTGCTTGCGGACGAGGCTGCATAATTAATATCACATCAACCCTAAACTGATCAATACATTTCCCATCTTGCAATGTGCGTTGTCCAGTTTCGGAAAAGCTTGCTATCTCAGCTAAACTTAGGATGGAAAATCTATAAGACTGCTTTAAGGTTGTGTTTAAAAACAAGGCTAATAACCGCAATGTTTTGATTTGTGCTTAATTATTTTCTGCTTAATAATTTCATAAAATGTTCAACGGTTATTCTGTTTAGATAACAAAATTTGAAGAATTGCAAACTATATAAACATTTTGATCAAATATTAAATGTTTGTACTTAGATTATCCGATTAAATTGAAACGGATTCAATTTAAAATAAGAGAATTTTAGACATAAATAATTTATTTAAAATAATTCATAATTAACGTTGAAATTTTGAACACCTTGTATCTTCTAAACATATCTAAACACTCCTGGAACCAGCGAGATAAATTTAAGGCGTGGATTAATCGTTATATTTCGGTGTCACAACCTCAGAGATTTCTCATTCTTTCTGTTTGACTGTATATATTTATAAAAATAGAATTTTATACCTTTGCGTTAAGACAAAAATAGTTTGTGATATCTTAAAAATAAACTCCACGCGGGTTTTTAAAAATTTCATGAATTTAACATAACCTGTTATTAGATGTTTACTTAAATAATCAAGTGTTTAAATTATTGTTTGAAGATAAAAGTTATGACTTTTATTTACAAAAATAAAGTCAGGTTTGATTTCTCGAAGTTTTATTACCAAACAAGTAAATAAATCGAAATAATAACGATTTATCTCTCGGTGAGTCATGCATTTTGAATTTCCCGCGTTAGGCCACGCCTTGGTGCATTATTCATTCTACAGGTATCAGTGGTACAACACGCACGAAAGTCTTTGTATTGGAAACTGAAAATATGGCGTGGTGCACAGTGCGATAGTATTTTCAACCTAAGGGTAATTTTCAATGAAATTCTTCACGTTCGTTGTTCGGCAATTAAGATTTGTGAGCGGAGTTTGACCGATCGCGAACGGCTTTGTTTTTATCGCACTAGAGCTTTCCGGGAGCTCATTTTTTCTCTACTCTTTATTACATCGTCGCCAAAACGGAAGAAGAGGGATTCCAATCCTCAGTGACTGCTTTTTTTTATTTTCATTGATGTGATGTTACCAAAGAGTGTTCGGATTAATCGTCTTTATAAAGTTTTACGCAAGTGATCGCAACTTAACAAATCATGCATCGATATACCGTTAATGTCGTTTTGTTGTTGGTTTTCTGTTGCTCAGTAAACAGTCAATTTGATAGTATTAGTGGTAAGTTTGTGTTTTATTATAATACTAGTTTCGGGTTAAAAACCATCATCAGCCTATTGATTGATTTAGATTTCACGCAAAAATTATTACTCATAACTGAACTATGCAACCTTTTAACGCTTAAAAAAATTCTTTTTAATTATCTAACTTGTTTTTAAAGATACGGAAATCACGGAAGAATTAGATCCATCAAAATTATCGTCACCCCATGTGGAGTCATCTCGATCGTCGGCCCAAACGAGTCATGGCACAAGGCCTGTCTCTGGGAATAATCATAAACCAACATTCGTAAACTGTTCCCTTTATTCTGAGACAAAAATTTATGAAGAACAAAAGATAGGAACTTATGTGACGACCATGAATGCAACGGATAACGACCCCCCGGAGTCTGGAGGCACAGTGACTTACGCCATAGTCCATCGTGAGGGTGTTCGCAAATTTTTCAACATTGATAGCACCACCGGAGTGATCACCACCGCTCATGTATTCGATAGAGATGAGCCAACTCGACAAAAGGAAGTTTATATTACAGTTAAAGCCAGCGACAATGGCTGGCCCGTTTTAGCTGATATTTGTATACTTAAAATCACAATCTTGGATATTAACGATAATTATCCTATTTTTGATAAATCGGTAAGTGTATCTAATTTGTGTGTTTGTATTCTTGGAATGTAAACATTTATACACCATATTATTAAACAAATTAAGCTGAGTAATCTGATTCATTGTTAAAGAAAGAATTAAAAGAATGAAAAAAATACATCACCATTTAAAAATTTTTAAAGAATCATCAAAGATTGCATTCTTAAAGTAATGACTTATACAGCAATTTTTAAAATGCTTTCTTTCATTGTTTCAATTCGGGTTTAAAACCATCTTTAGCCTGGCCTAATTAGGCTCATAGTACACCTATTTTTCGATTTTATCACTAAAAGATTGTAGCTTAATAATAAAGAGAGTTGGGAGAAAAAGTTTGGTACATAAAATGTTCCTTATTAATGTATGAAACATGTCTAATAAGCGATTTATTAATTTAGTAAACTTAGCCACGTCAAAATTAAAAAGTATCGAAATTCGTCGATTTTATTAATTAAAAAGTTATAACTTAAAAATAAAGAGAGTTGGGGGAAAAAGTTTAATACATAAAATGTTCCTTATTAATCTATGAAACGTGTCTAATAAGCGATTTAATTCAATCTATTAATTTAGTAAACTTAACCAGCTCAAAATTAAGAAGTATCGAAATTCGTCAATTTTATTAATTAAAAAATTATAACTTAAAAATAAAGAGAGTTGGGGGAAAAAGTTTAGTACATAAAATGTTCCTTATTAATCAATGAAACGTGTCCAATAACCGATTTAATTCAATCAATTAATTTTGTTAACTTAGCCACGTCAAAATTAAAAAGTATCGAAATTCGTCGATTCTATTTATTAAAAAATTATAATTTAAAAATAAAGAGAGTTGGGGGAAAAAGTTTAGTACATAAAATGTTCCTTATTAATCTATGAAACATGTCTAATAATAATCTAATTAATTTAATAAACTTAGCCACGTCAAAATTAAAAAGTATCGAAATTCGTCAATTTTGTTAATTAAAAAATTATAACTTAAAAATAAAGAGAGTTGGGGGAAAATGTTTAGTACATAAAATGTTCCTTATTAATCTATGAAACGTGTCTAATAAGCAATTTAATTCAATCTATTAATTTAGTAAACTTAGCCAGCTCAAAATTAAGAAGTATCGAAATTCGTCGATTTTATCAATTAAAAAATTATAACTTAAAAATAAAGATAGTTGGGGAAAAAAGTTTAGTACATAAAATGTTCCTTATTAATCTATGAAACATGTACAATAACCGATTTAATTCAATCAATTAATTTTGTTAACTTAGCCACGTCAAAATTAAAAAGTATCGAATTTCGTCGATTTTATTTATTAAAAATAAAGAGAGTTGGGGGAAAAAGTTTAGTACATAAAATGTTCCTTATTAATCAATGAAACATGTCCAATAACCGATTTAATTCAATCAATTAATTTTGTTAACTTAGCCACGTTAAAATTAAAAAGTATCGAAATTCGTCGATTTTATTTATTAAAAAATTATAACTTAAAAATAAAGAGAGTTGGGGGAAAAAGTTTAGTACATAAAATGTTCCTTATTAATCTATGAAACATGTCTAATAATAGTCTAATTAATTTAGTAAACTTAGCCACGTCAAAATTAAAAAGTATCGAAATTCGTCGATGTTATCAATTAAAAAATTATAACTTAAAAATAAAGAGAGTTGGGGGAAAAAGTTTAGTACATAAAATGTTTCTTATTAATCAATGAAACATGTCCAATAATCGATTTAATTCAATCAATTAATTTTGTTAACTTAGCCACGTCAAAATTAAAAAGTATCGAAATTCGTCGATTTTATTTATTAAACAATTATAACTTAAAAATAAAGAGAGTTGGGGGAAAAAGTTTAGTACATAAGATGTTCCTCATTAATCTATGAAACGTGTCTAATAACCGATTTGTCAATCAATTAATTTTGTAAACTTAGCCACGTCAAAATTAAAAAGTATCGAATTTCGTCGATTTTATTTATTAAACAATTATAATTTAAAAATAAAGAGAGTTGGGGGAAAAAGTTTAGTACATAAAATGTTCCTTATTAATCAATGAAACGTGTCTAATCACTGATTTGTCAATCAATTAATTTTGTAAACTTAGTCACGTCAAAATCAAAAAGTATCGAAATTCGTCGATTTTTTGATTAAAAAATTATAACTTAAAAATAAAGAGAGTTGGGGGAAAAAGTTTAGTACATAAAATGTTCCTTATTAATCTATGAAACGTGTCTAATAAGCGATTTAATTCAATCAATTAATTTAGTAAACTTAACCAGCTCAAAATTAAGAAGTATCGAAATTCGTCGATTTTATCAATTAAAAAATTATAACTTAAAAATAAAGAGAGTTGGGGGAAAAAGTTTAGTACATAAAATGTTCCTTATTAATCTATGAAACATGTCTAATATCCGATTTAATTCAATCAATTAATTTTGTAAACTTAGCCACTTCGAAATCAAGAAGTATCGAAATTGGTCCGTTTTATCAATTAAAAAATTATAATTCAAAAATAAAGAGATACATAAAATGTTCCTTATTAATCAATGAAACATTATGTAAACTTAGCCAATCCAAAATCAAAACTTTTTAAAATAATTTTAATTTTATTTTAATATTACAATTTATTTTTGCAGAAATATGACGAAAAAGTGACAGAAGATGCAAAAGTAGATCGAGAAGTAATGCGTGTATTTGCATATGATGCAGATGAAGGTGACAACGCGCGATTAACATATTCGATTAAAGCGGATGGTGTCAACAACGAATTTAATACATATTTTCAAATAGATCAAAACACGGGGGTGATTAATTTGAAAGAAAGCGTAGCATCGGTAAGAATAACGAAAAAACGTTAAGAAAATAATTGAAATTAATAAAAATATTTTTGTTATAGTATCATGAAAAAGTTTTCAATGCTTTAGTACTTGTGCAAGATAACCCGATTAATATAACGGAACAAAAATCGAACGAAGCTGATATCACGATTAAAGTCGTTGATTCAAATAAACAGCTTCCATCGTTTGTACATTATCCAAAAGAGCCGATTTTGATTTATGAAAATTTTAGTAATTTTGAAGAACAAATAATAAATTTGACTGCTCAATCAAATATAGACTTAGAGGAAATACAATTTGATTTGTTACGTTTACAAACGGCTCAATCCAATAAAGATAACACTTTTAAATTGACACCTATAAATGGAACTTCTGCCTATATATCCTTGGGGCGACAATTGGATTATGAGACGGTTACTGAATACACATTAACAGTTAAAGTGATCAATAAGGATTCATTACACGCTTCTACACAAATACATATTAAAGTAGCTGACGTTAACGATGAAATTCCGGCATTTATTGAACTCGTTTCCGGTAGTGTTTTAGAAAACGAAGAAATTGGTACGCGAGTTATGCAAGTTAGGGCTATCGATAGGGACGGAACTTCAGCGAATAACATCGTAAGCTACGAATTACAAGCTGGACAAGCACACGAAGATAAATTTGCTATTGAAAAAGATACCGGTATTGTTACAACAAAAATAAAATTTGATCGTGAAGCCGCGCAAGTTTATGATATTATTGTACTAGCTAAAGATAATTCACCAAGTGCCTTATATAAAAGTGGCGAACCGAACATCGCCCATCAAACATTTCGTATAACAATTGAAGATAAAAACGATAATCCCCCAGTTTTTGAAAAAAGTGTTTACAGAGTTAATAATATATTGGAAAGTACAAATATTGGTGTAACAATCGCGGAAGTAAGAGCCATCGATCAAGATACGGCAGCTATTATATCTTATACTATTAGGTCGGGGAACGATGGCGATTCATTTGATGTTGAAAGAACAACTGGAAGAATTGTGGTTAAGTCAAAATTAGATTACGAAAAGATACAAAGTTATAACTTAACAGTTGAAGCATCGGACGGATCGTATTCCGATAAAGCTACCGTTTTAATTTTTATTGATAATATAAACGACGAATTACCCGTTTTTGAACCCTACGATAAACGAATCACCGATATAGTCGAAGAAACCATTCCAGTAGATTGTATTATTCGCCTAACAGCTTACGATCCCGATATACAAGATCGTAACGCCCCACAAAATATCGAATATCAAGTCGATGACCGTTATAAACATTTCCTAAGTATCGATAAAGACGGGTGCGTAAAATTAATAAAAAAGTTAGATCGTGATAAACCAAACGGTTCCGAAACATATCAAGCTTACATCCATGCTTTCGACGATGGAAATAGTCCAAATTCGCAAACGCAATCGGCGGAAATTTTCTTAGATCTCAAAGACATAAACGACAACGCGCCATTTTTAACAGTAACCGAAACAGTTTGGCAGGAAAATCAAGAACCCGGCGAAATAATAACTTTTGAAGCAGACGATTATGATAGTCCCGAAAACGGACCACCTTTCACGTACAGTTTTGCCGAAAAAATTGATGAAAACACTAAATCAAAATTTTATATTAAACAAGATAAATTATATGCTAGCACGGAATTTGATCGCGAAGAACAAAAATATTACGATATTTTAATTGCAATTACAGACAGCGGAACACCAGAAACGCAAACCGGGGTTAGCAATTTTCGCGTAATTATCGGCGATGTAAATGATAATCCAGCGCAAGATGGTGAAAGTGAAATATTTGTTTATAATTATAAAGGTACCGCACCGGATATGCAAATAGGTAGGGTTTTTGTTGAAGATCCCGACGATTGGGATTTAAGGGACAAAAATTTTCAATGGAGATATGATCAAAACGAGTATTTCCAATTAGATAATAACGACGGTATGCTTACGATGCGGCAAGGAACGCCGGAAAATCTTTATGTATTAGAATTTGAAGTAACGGAGGAAGCGCCTCCGTTAATTCCACGACATACAGTTCAAGCGAAAGTGACGGTCACTGTCAAAGAAATTCCGGAAGAAGCTGTGGTTAAATCCGGCTCAATTCGTTTAAATGACACGTCGATTGAAGAATTTATAACTCGCGTTAACGGCGTTAGCAAAAAAGACATATTACAAGAACATTTATCAAAAATTTTAAATACAAGTAAAGAAAATGTCGATATTTTTACGGTAATTAGAACGCCGAGTGATTCGCAACTTGTTGATGTTCGATTTTCCGCTCACGGTTCGCCTTATTATGCGGCAGAAAGACTTAACAATAAAATTAGTTTACATCATGAAGCGCTTGAACAGGAACTTGGAGTTACATTCGTTATGATCAGTATTAGCGAATGTATGAAGGAAAGTATTTGTGGTTCAGAAACTTCTTGTATGAGTCAACTGAGTATTATGGACACCCCAGCGATTGTTTTTACAAACCGAACGTCATTTGTTGGTGTAAAAGCGATCGTCGAAGCACTTTGCGAATGTGTAGAAATTCCCAGAAGACAAACGTGTTTGAACGGTGGTACATTTAATATTGAGACGTCTTTATGCGACTGTCCAGGTGATTTTGAGGGTCCTAATTGCGAAGCTTTGTCTGTTGGGTTTCAAGGAAACGGCTGGGCTATGTATCCGACGTTTAATGCTTGTGATAAAACGAAAATTACGTTGGAAGTTGAAACGAGTTCAGATGATGGGTTAATATTTTACGCCGGGCCTTTATCTAAATCTCCAAACTTACCGATTAGCGACTTTATTTCATTAGAAATCAACGCTGGTTTTCCAAAATTAATTCTAAATTATGGTTCGGGCACAGTTCCAGTTTTTTTGAAATCGAAACGAATTAACGACGGGGCCAGTCATACAATTAGCATCGAATTCGATCCGAAAGAAATCGCTTTTTCCGTTGATCACTGCCATACAAGCGATTGCGTCACTTTGGCGCACCCAAAAGGACCCAACACGCTTTTAAACGTTAACGGACCATTACAAGTCGGAGGAACTAGAGAACCATTGAAAGAACTCGGTGAAATTTTCCGTTGGGAGCATATGCCCGTGGAACAAGGATTCGCTGGGTGCATTCGAAATTTAACTTATAATTCGTATCTCTACGATCTTGGGATGCCCGGCGAACATGAAAATGCGAGACCCAATTGTAACTTTGGAATTTCAAAGGCTGTTACTTTCGGGATTGATTCAAACTTTTTAGTTGCAATATTAGTTTGCGTTGCCATTTTATTAAGTGAGGTTTTAATATATTTATTTTTGATTTATTTATTAATTTTTTTTGTTTTTAGTTTTGTTATTGGCAGTTGTGGTACATAGACGCAAAGAAAACAATTGGAACGAAAAAGATAATGATGATATAACGGAAACTATAATTGCATACACGGATGAGGGTGGTGAAAACGACGCTGCTTTCGATATGAACTTCTTGAAGGTGCCCGATGAGGAGCCGCCAATTAACGAGAAATTGTTGACGCAAGCGCCGAAGGTTCCCGACATTCGAGGTTTCGTCGATAACAAAAAAGATGACTGCGATCGCGATCCGAATAATTATCCATTTGACGACGTTCGTTATTACGCTTACGAAGGAGATGGAAATAGTACTGGGTCGTTATCTTCTCTTGCATCATGTAAATTAAATCAAAATTTACAACAATTTTTTTGTTAATTTAATTAATATTGTTTATTGTTTAGGTACTGATGATGGTGATTTGAAGTTTAATTATTTGTCAAGTTTCGGTCCGAGATTCCGTAAATTGGCGGATATGTACGGTGAACCAAGCGATGAAGATAGTCATGATGGTGGCGAAGAATCATTTTGCTAAACGAAATGAATTAAGAAAGGTTTAAAAAAAGAATAAAATTGGGAAGTATTTTCTAGATAGGCTGAAAAAAAAATAAATTAAAACCGAGAGTCGAGTTCTTCGTGTGTTAGGTTTGTACTTAAAAATCCTATCTCTATTTCTCTCTTATTACACTATACCCCGATTTTAAATAATTAATTAATTATCTATAAATTAACCCTTTTCCCCGAATTATTATTATTTTTCGTATTTTTTTAAATATTTTTATCTTAAACTTACAAACGTAAATCGATTACTTTGACATAAACGCATCAAATAGCCAAAGAGGTCGACATACTCGTTAACAAATGTACATATGATGATGGAAAAAAAATTTTAGACTGACTTTTTTACGCGGTCCGCGTACCATTTTTTTAATTAAATATATATAGATATATATATACTTGAGCGGATATCAATGGATTTAATTAACAATAATAGGTATGTTTTTGCAACGATAAAATGCGATTGGAGATAGTTACAATTTCCGATTGTTTGCTGAAACAAACTTAATATCATTCGATGTGTCTTGCCTGTGCGACTTACGGAGAAATCAAAATGAAAAACTTAGTATGACCGTATAGGACTTTTATTAATTAATTTATGTTTAGCGTCTCGGATGACATTCCAATTTCACCCATGTGTTAACTAAGGACGTTGTGATTTTCATGGGCAGCCATACTATTTAAATGTATATCATGTGTTTTTTTGATCTCTTTACCAGAAAAACAAAGCCAATGTATGTTAAGTATTTAAAAACGCATTTCTCATATTATGTCCCATTTTTTTTAATCAATTTTTTTTGTAATAAAATAAGTATTCATTCCATATCCTTAAAAAAAAGAAAATCAAACAAATAAGCTTTTTTGTAGATATATACACGGTTTAGCTAATAATTTTTTTTTCCTTTCGTTTTTATAATTAATTTTAAGTTTGCAGTTCATGTATAAGTATATATATAAATACTATATAGATATATATTTTTTATAGTAGGTACCAATGTTCAACGTGTATAGTGCCTTAAATGTAATATGGAGAACTGTAAAATGCAAGGACGGCTCCGTTTCCGAGATTAAGAAAAAATTGTTTTTTCTTTGCGTGATTCTTGGAGATGGATAAGTTTATTTTTTAGGACTTATTTACAAAATGAAACAGATTTTCTGCTCAATATCAATATTTTTTATGGCACAAATAAAAACTTCCACTAAGAAAATTATTCTACTACTTTGTTTTTTTATACCTAACCCATAAATATTATTAGAGATCGATATCTTCGCAACTAAATGAAGGGAAACTAAATCTACCCTGCTTGAAGTTTATAGAAAAAATAATCTCATAATAAATATTGTTCATGGTACTTGGGGCGGCCGACATCTTCGAAGTCGGCCGAGATTATTTCTTATATCATGAACAATACTCAGGAATCGGAACATTTTATAAAAAAACTTTTAGAACAAAAGTTGTAGCAAATTTTACTCTTAACAATATTGCTCTCTTTCAGTTTTGCTCCCAGATGCATGAATATCGAGAAAATACAGCTTAGAGATTAATATTAATAAGAACAAGTTCATATAAGAATAATGTGGTTCAACAAAAAAGTACTGAGGATCTCATCTGTGGAATTAACAGGATAGTGATGGAGCGTTACTCTTTTATTCCAAATCTTAAATCCACTTTGTTGTTTTCTTCTAGTTCTAATACAACAGTTAGAAAGAAAGCCTTTATTTAGTGTTAAAAAAGACATCCGATATTCAAATGATTATTAAATGTAATAAATTTTCTCTAAAAAGTCTTTGAAAATCAATAAACATTAAATTAATTAAAAATAATCCGCCATGTTGGGAATAAAAGTTTAGTATGCCATCTATTGACATAAAAAATAATAAGGTTGGTAAAATTGGTTGCCTAAAACCTCCTGACGTTTGACACTTCTATCATGTATAGATTTCAAAGGATTAGGCCGGTGTTAAAAAGTTAAAATCAAAAGAATCTCACGTAGTAAAGTTAAGAACAGTCAATTAAAACGAATTATAAGTTAATTGGGATCCGACCGTTTATAAAAAGAAATCAAATGGATTATCCAAAAGGTACCTGCCCCCATTTACCATTGGTAAGAGACGAAATTTTATCAGTATACAAAAAGATATATAAAATTTTCGTCGCGTCGACGAGTAGCAAAGAAAAGTCCATAAAAATAGAGAATAGGAGATGTCAAGACTGTAATACTTTACAACACCACCTTCATACATGCGCCCATTGCGTATATTTTGGTTGCCAACAACATGTCCGTACTCATTCTTCAACGTTCGGGCACATGTTTAGTGTAGAATTAACATTCGGACAATTGTATTGTTTAAAATGTGGTGATTACGTTTACGAGGCTGCGTTAGATAAAATAGCTTTTGAATTAAAATTGTCGGCAAGTTCCTGTAAGAAACGTTTATTTAACTGGTCGTTTTTTCAATGTAACGATGAAAACGGTGATTTATTAAAGTTCACACCAAAACGTGTTTGCATACCCCCGGAATCAACAATAGGACTCCGGGGGCTTTTAAATTTAGGCAACACATGTTTTATGAACTGTATAATACAATCCTTTATGCATATGCCATTATTAAGAGAATACTTTTTAACCGAACGCCATAAATGCACGAGATCACCAAACAGTTGTCTTGTATGTGAATTAGCAAAACTCTTTCAAGATTTTTATTCCGGCATGACAACTCCGATATCGCTACATAAAATGTTACATTTAATATGGACGCAAGCCACTCATTTAGCCGGATACGAACAACAAGATGCCCACGAATTTTTTATCGCCATGCTTCATGTCTTACAAGAACACGATGTAACTGGAACTCAAGACTCGCCACCGAAACGCTCTATAATCGATCAAATCTTTTCTGGGTTACTTCAAAGTGATGTTGTTTGTAAAAAATGTAAAAGCGTTTCGACGAAAATCGAAGCGATGAAGGATGTGTCACTCGATTTGGGACAAGTTAGCGGCGGTCGTCCCCCGCAAGATATTCAAGAGTGTTTGGAAAGGTTTACTAGAGTGGAAGACCTCGGCGCAAAAATTATGTGTTCAAATTGTAATTCGCATCAAGAATCGACTAAACAACTCAGTATGAAAACATTGCCGATTGTCGTGTGCTTCCACCTGAAACGATTCCAGCATTTCAAGAAAGGGGAGAAGATATCTACGCCGATTTCGTTTCCCGAAACTCTCGATATGACACCATTTATGAGTAAAACTAATAATCGCGCAACAGAATTGTCATCAGATAACAAATATTCACTTTTCACCGTTATTAATCACGACGGTAATATGATTAATAGTGGTCATTATACAGCTTATGTAAGACAACAACAAGAATATTGGTACAAGTGTAGCGATAGAATGATTACAATGGCTAATATCGAGGATGTTTTAAAATCTGAGGCATATTTATTGTTTTATCATAAAAGTATTTTATTGTACGATTAATATAAGTCATTTTTATTAAAAAAACTGTCCTATTTTTAACTTATTAATAAACCTTATTTATGTATAATCAATTCAAAATGATACTTAAATATTATTTTAAGTTGAAACTTTGAAGAAAATGATGTTTTTTAATATTGAATTTTTTTTTATACTTTGTAACCAATTTGTATTTATTAATAAAAGAAAACGCTAAAAATTAATTAAATTAATATCAAGAAATTATATCAATGTTTGAGTTGAATATACATCACAAAAAAATAGATAATATATCATTTTATCTATTTTTTATCCTATTTTAAAGTTTATTTTTTGTACGTTTTTATTATTTTTTTTTTCCGACTGGAAGAATATACGTTTTTTTTTGTTATTGCCAAATGAGACAGTATTTTGAATATATTTGTACATAGTATTTTTATACGTTATAAATAAATAAAAATACTTTTAAAATAATACTGTTATTATTTATTTTTTTAATGATAAAAGTTGTTAATGGTATTACTCGGGTTTCTTGACACTTGGGGCGGCCGACGTCTTCGAAGTCGGCCGAGATTATATCATATCGTGAACAATACTCAGGAATCGGAGCATGTTATACAAAAACTTTTAGAACAAAAGTTGTAGCAAATTTTACTCTTAACAATATTGCACTCTTGCACTTTTGCTCTCAGATGCGTCAATATCAAGAAAAATACAAAAATATAAAAATTTGACGAATTCGTTGCTTTTTTAAGCTGTTATGGTAACACTAGGGAAACGGAGCATACTACTAAAAAACTTTTTAAGCAAAAGTTGTAGATAATTTTATTCTTAACAATATTGCTCTCTTTCACTTTTGCTCTCGGATGCGTCAATATCTAGAGAAATACGAAAATTTGCTAAATTCGTAGTTTTACAAGTTGTTAATTAACCAAATCTACCCTGCTTGAATTTTATGGAAAAAATAATCTCGGCCGACTTCGAAGACGTCGGCCGCCCAAAGTATTGTTTATGATATTTGGAGCGGCCGACGTCTTCGAAGTCGGCCGAGATTATTTCTAATATCATGAAGAATACTTAGGAATCGGAGCATGTTATAAAAAAGTTTTTAGAACAAAAGTTGTAGCAAATTTCATTCTTAACAATATTGTTCTCTTTCACTTTTGCTCTCAGATGCGTCAATATCGAGAAAATTTGCTGAATTCGTAGTTTTACAAGTTGTTAATTAACCAAGTTTACCCTGCTTGAAGTTTATGGAAGAAATAATCTCGGCCGACTTCGAAGACGTCGGCCGTCATAAATATTGTTCATGGTACTTGGGGCGGCCGACGTCTTCGAAGTCGACCGAGATTATTTCTTATATCATGAACAATACTCAGGAATCGGAACATTTTATAAAAAAAACTATTAGAACAAAAGTTGTAGCAAATTTTACTCTTAACAATATTGCCCTCTTTCACTTTTGCTCTCGGATGCGTCAATATCTAGAGAAATATGAAAATTTGCTAAATTCGTAGTTTTACAAGTTGTTAATTAACCAAGTCTACCCTGCTTGAATTTTATGGAAAAAATAATCTCGGCCGACTTCGAAGACGTCGGCCGCCCTAAGTATTGTCCATGATTCTTGGGACGGCCGACGTCTTCGAAGTCGACCGAGATTATTTCTTATATCATGAACAATACTCAGGAATCGGAACATTTTATAAAAAAACTTTTAGAACAAAAGTTGTAGCAAATTTTACTCTTAACAATATTGCCCTCTTTCACTTTTGCTCTCGGATGCGTCAATATCTAGAGAAATACGAAAATTTGCTAAATTCGTAGTTTTACAAGTTGTTAATTAACCAAGTCTACCCTGCTTGAATTTTATGGAAAAAATAATCTCGGCCGACTTCGAAGACGTCGGCCGCCCTAAGTATTGTCCATGATTCTTGGGACGGCCGACGTCTTCGAAGTCGACCGAGATTATTTCTTATATCATGAACAATACTCAGGAATCGGAACATTTTATAAAAAAACTTTTAGAACAAAAGTTGTAGCAAATTTTACTCTTAACAATATTGCCCTCTTTCACTTTTGCTCTCGGATGCGTCAATATCTAGAGAAATATGAAAATTTGCTAAATTCGTAGTTTTACAAGCTGTTAATTAACCAAGTCTACCCTGCTTGAATTTTATGGAAAAAATAATCTCGGCCGACTTCGAAGACGTCGGCCGCCCTAATTATTGTCCATGATTCTTGGGACGGCCGACGTCTTCGAAGTCGACCGAGATTATTTCTTATATCATGAACAATACTCAGGAATCGGAACATTTTATAAAAAAACTTTTAGAACAAAAGTTGTAGCAAATTTTACTCTTAACAATATTGCCCTCTTTCACTTTTGCTCTCGGATGCGTCAATATCTAGAGAAATACGAAAATTTGCTAAATTCGTAGTTTTACAAGTTGTTAATTAACCAAGTCTACCCTGCTTGAATTTTATGGAAAAAATAATCTCGGCCGACTTCGAAGACGTCGGCCGCCCNTGTTATGGTAACACTAGGGAAACGGAGCATACTACTAAAAAACTTTTTAAGCAAAAGTTGTAGATAATTTTATTCTTAACAATATTGCTCTCTTGCATTTTTGCTCTCAGATGCGTCAATATCGAGAAAAATACAAAAATATGAAAATTTGACGAATTCGTTGCTTTTTTAAGCTGTTATGGTAACACTAGGGAAACGGAGCATACTACTAAAAAACTTTTTAAGCAAAAGTTGTAGATAATTTTATTCTTAACAATATTGCTCTCTTTCACTTTTGGTCTCAGATGCGTTAATATCGAGAAAAGTACGAAAATATGAAAATTTGCTAAATTCGTAGTGTTGCAAGTGAGTAATGATATCACTAGAGTTTGTGAACCCGATCCTGTTTGAAGTTTATGGAATAAATAATCTCGGCCGACGCAATAAAAAGAAGATAGAGTTAATAAAATATAGTAGTTAGTATACAAGCTGAAATATCTCAGCTTTTATATAATTTTTATGTAAAATATGGAAATAATATAGACTTCTTATATCTTTTGTTAAAAAAATGTATTGAATTACATTTCAGAAGCTGAGATATATCATTTTCTGTGATGTATGTAAACTTTATTGTATGTGTTGTTGAACCTTGGCTCATAATTGAATTTCAATGCTTTCATATACAAATAGCTATTATGCTGTTAAAATAATTGCATTTAATATCGTATTAAAGATATTTTTGTTAATAATTCTTTTTGTGATTTATGTTGAAGCCAATTACTATAAATAACAACGCTCCCATTGTTAATAGAATAACAACAGCTTTTATATTTCCAAGGCTAATTCGAACGTAACAGTTAAGCGTTATTTTCATTTTGAAACTACAAAACATTGGTTTAAAATCAAAATTTAATTTGTAATTATAAAAATATCAAAATACAATTACTTGAAAAAACATTTATTATTATCATTGCGATGATAAGCAACTTTTACAACTGATTAAATCTGTTATTTATAACAATTCCATTGAAGATATTATTTATTACTCAACAGCAACCTTCAAACTCTCGAGAAATCACTTAAACACGATTGTTTAATATAAAGAGAAAAATTCGGTTAACACGTGTTAAATAATAAAATAATTTTTGTTAAAGTTTTTTCAACTAAAATATTCAGAGATAAGTTGTATCGTGTGAATTGATCTTTGCATGGATTTGATGATGCCACGGGCACACTTTTGATAATAATCTTTCGAAATAATCGATTGTGAACGAGTCATTATTAAAAACGAAATGATGCTAACTGCAAAGGGGGTACTCGGTTCACGACAGCGATATCTAGTTATTCGAATAATGTCGGAATTAAATTGGAATTAATGGAACGTCCCAGTGTCTCCAGTGATAACCTTCGCACATAACCTCAAAGTCGAATATTTCAAATAGTTAGGTCGATTTTATCAATGAAAAAATAAGGAAAATCTACTAAAAACAATCAGTTGAGTTAGAAAATATTAGTTAGTCAATTTTATTTGTCCAAAATGAGCTCTAAAGTTGCTTATGCCATAGGCACAGTTTATGTGGGGTGTATTTTAAATAACGTTTTTTTGGAATATTTAGTCAGGTAAGATTCTTTTTTTGATTCGAATGTTTTAATAAGAATTTTTTTTCAGGGATGAACCAGGTTCTGGAAATTTAATAACCTTTAGTCAGTTCTTGTTCATAGCAATTCATGGATTTTTCACTTATTCAAAATATGGAAAAACCAAACGTATGATACCATTCAAGGATTATGTTACATTAGTCTCACTATTTTTTATAACCAGCGTTTTCAATAATTGGGTTTTTGGTTTCAACATTCCCGTACCACTCCATATGATTTTTAGAGCCGTAAGTTCAAAAATATATATATATTTATTTTTGAAACTTTTTGTTCTTGCTCAGTAGTAGTTTTAAAAAGTAAAAAAGGAATTGTGCAAGTACAAATTATTTATTAAAAAATTTCCAAAGTGGTGTAATTAAGCAATGGTTATAAATCTTATCTTCCTACTTTATCCATCTATCAATAAATAAATATTGGAGATATTAACAAGTGGAATGAAACGAACTCCTAAAGAAATTTGTGCAACAAGTTCAAAAGATCAAATTTCAAAGTGTTGTATCACATGACATATTATTAAAACAATCAAGTGTTGGTTGTAAAAGATTGTTTATAAAGAAACTTGTAAAGTACAAAGCAACAGATGACAAAGATAGACCTAATTAAATTTGCTACAAAAAGGGAGATTAATTTTTTAAGAATTGATAAGATAAAATGAACCTTAAACATTTTTGATTTTAATTTATATCTTTTGCAAATCAAACCTAGATTTACAGTTAACACAAGAAATTAGATGAGAATTAGAATGAAAAAATTAAACATTGGAAATATCTGATTATCCACACACTTAAAAATTAAAGTATTTAATACCTGCATATTGCCTGTAATAAACTATGGAGCCAATAATAATAAGCTATGGGTAACACAACGCGCTATGCTTGGGATTTCCCTAAAAGATAATCTCTGGAGGATGACCATCCATGAGATGGACTGATAATTTGCTAACTAAGAGGAAGAAGAAGTTAACTAGAGTCATCATACCCCATGGTCTTCATTTGGCCATCTATTCTCGCCCAATTCTGTTCAAATGTCCATACTATGTCAACCTTTTCTTATCTATTCTGTTTATTATATCGCTATCTCAGTCTGTGTTATTTCATTACTTCGTTAATTGCACTATTTATCTTGAGTTAAGTTCCATTTCTAAAGCTTGGAGCCGTCGGTCTTATTTTTTGAGATATCCCAAGTTTTAGAACAATACTTTCTGGCGAAAATAAAAATTTGAGAATTCAGACTTAAGTATTATCAATTACGATCTCTTCGACTAAAATATTTTCAGATTTCTTGCACTTCCGGTTATACCGGAAGTCGCCACCTACTTAATTTTTTAAATGGAACACCCTGTATATTTTTACATATTTGGATTTGTCTGTTTTCAAGGTTTATAAATAACTTTACTTTTTGCAATTTGATTCGGCCGTTCTCGAGTTATTCGAATTTTTCTAGAAAAATCTGCTCCAGCAGACATTTGTTCAAAAAATCAGAGAACACTCGATTTTTGGGATATCAATTTAGGATTCAGAACATGCTTAAGCAACATGATGGAGTATGTTTTGGTGCCGAGAACGGCTGTCTAGAACGTTTGGTCACTTTACTATGGCACGTTAACTTTTCAAAATTTGGAAGTACCATAACTTCATTTTTTTAAATGGCACCCCCCATATTTTATTACTTAGTCGTCTTCGGCGTCTCATTCTACATCTTTTATATCCCATATGTCCCATACCTAACATTAATAGTTTGGGAGATAATTAGGGTTTTTTGAAAAATGCACACATATCATATGGATATTTAGCCTAGTGTGCCATGAAAAACAAGCCTTCTCAATGAGTTCTTGTCAAAGACTCACTTGTTTACGTCACTTGATGCATGTGAGCTAATAATTATCTGTTATGTCCCTTAATATTAGTACTGAAACGAGTTAAAATCGATAACAATAACGAAAGTAATATTTACACAAATCAAGAAATTCTTAATTTATTTTTTTTGCATGAAAAGCGCGACAAAGTTCGTAGTATGATTCCCAGATCTTCTTTGGCAGCTCGAATTGAGGTGTTGGGACTGGGCTCGAAATAAGCCAAGGTATTCACCTCTTCCGTTGCATTATCTACTACATTTTTTGGTCAGTTTAACACGTGATTAATTCGTCCAAAATGCAAAAAATTTGCTTCTATTCCTCTAAATTTACCTTTTGTCATCGGAGATAAATGTGGATAATTTTCATTAAACATTCTGCAAGTTCTACTAAGAACTTTGTCGCACTTTTCGTGCACAAAAAATAAATTATGGATTTCTTCATTTGTATAAACATTATTTACGTTATTAATATCCATTTTAACTGGTTTTAGACTCACAAGCATCAAACAACCTAAATTAGACTTTGACGTTTATCAATAAGTCATTAAACATTTGTTTTCCATGGCACACTAGGTTAATATCCATATGATATGTGAGCATTTTTCAAAAAACCCTAATTATTTCTCAAACTATTAATGTTAGGCATAGGACATATGGAATATAAAAGATGTAAAATGAGACGCCGAAGACGACTAAGTAATAAAATATGGGGGGTGCCATTTAAAAAAATGAAGTTATGGTGCTTCCAAATTTCGAAAAGTTAACGTATCATAGTAAAGTGACCAAACGATCTAGACAGCCGTTCTCGGCACCAAAACATACTCCATCATGTTGTTTAAGCATGTTCTGAATCCTAAATTGATATCTCAAAAATTGAGTGTTCTATGATTTTTTGAACAAATGTCCGCTGGAGCAAATTTTTCTAGAAAAATTCGAATAACTCGAGAATTGCTGGTTCAAATTGCAAAAAGTAAAGTTATTTATAAACCTTCAAAACAGACAAATCCAAATATGTAAAAATATACAGGGTGTTCCATTTAAAAAAATAAAGTAGGTGGCGACTTCCGGTATAACCGGAAGTGCTAGAAATCTGAAAATATTTTAGACGAAGAGAACGTAATTGATAATACTTAAGTCTGAATTCTCAATTTTTTATTTTGGCCAGAACCACAGAAACGTCTAATGACCGGTCTCGCTGAGACACCCTGTATAGATTGATATATTCTGTGTTTAGTGACACAGAATAACAACAACTTGCAGCTTTCAGCATCGCAACAAGCCGATAATATGATATTAATTGGGGCGCATCGACGATAAACGACCGCGACTAAAACATTCAAAAATCATCCTTGCGGCCGAGGCTTACTATCTGTTGACCAGTTTTAGGTTGATATGGTATTAATGGCCACGCTTCGGCTTAAATATCCAAAGATATAGATCCTCTGTTCTAAGCTCTGTAACTTATTGGCCAATTTTGGGTTGATATGGTATTAATTCGGCCGTAAGCAACCTCGGGTTAAAGTCATAAATCCTCTGTTTTAAATTTTTGCCGAGATCGCTTCCGGTCCCACGCCTGGATAAAGAAGGAGAGTAAGCGTAGAACCAACCACCCTAAATTGTAAAAAGTACATCTGTTATGATAGCAGTAAATGGAGAGAGACTTTATGACCCAGGCTTTCTAATTTATTGACCAATTTTGGGTTGATATGGTATTAATTAGGACGCCTCGGCCGCTAGCAACTTCGACTAATTCACCTAAAGTCATAAATCCTCCGTTTTAATCTTAGCGGAGGTCGTTTGCGGCTGAGGCTTTGTAATTTATTGATCAATTTTGGGTTGATACCAAAATTGCACCTCCAAGGTAATGAAAAACTTGTTAGGATTGATAAAGAAGGGTTCTATGTAGATAGAATAGATGTTCTGTGGGATTGAGATTCGTGTGCTTGGGATCATTGTCTTATTGAAAAGTAAATGATCTCAAATTAAAACTAATCTTTATTTTTTTATAAAATAAAATTAATTAAAACCTCATTTTTTTCTCTTAGGGTTCACTTATAGCAAATATGATAATGGGTATTATAATTTTAAAACGACGATATTCCTTCTCAAAGTTCCTATCAGTTGGGATGATAACCGTGGGGATCGCAATATGCACGATAATATCAAGCGGATCATCCTCAAAAAAAATGTGTACAGATTGCGGTCTGGAACCGATTAATTTAGAGCCATCATCTGATGATAACGAATTTTTCTGGTGGGTTGCGGGAATTATTCTTCTCACAGCAGCACTTTTGTTATCAGCTCGAATGGGGATTTATCAAGAAACTATTTATAGAGTTCATGGAAAACATCCAAACGAAGCACTTTATTACACGGTAAAACTTTCTAATAATTAATTTAATAATATAATCTTTTATTAATTTTTTTTAGCATTTATTATCATTACCTGGATTTATTTTATACGCACCAAGTATAATTGAACATACCGAAAAAGTCATTTCAAGCGAGCCATACACACTTCCGTTTGTTAAGATTGCGATTCCGATTTTAGTTTTGTATTTGATTGGAAATGTTTTAACTCAATATTTATGTATAAGTTCCGTTTATTTATTAACAACCGAATGTACTTCGTTAACGGTGACATTAGTGATAACTCTCAGAAAATTTATTTCGTTGTTGCTCTCAATCGTTTATTTTAAAAACCCGTTCACGTGGTTGCATTGGTTTGGCACGATTTTGGTGTTTGCCGGAACGTTAATTTTCGCCGAAATTTTCACTTTCAAAAAGGACGCAACTCAAGAAAAGAAACAAATTGACAAAAAAGTTAAATAGATAGTTAAATATTATATTTTCTTGTGGTGTTAATGTTGTTCAATAAAGGCTAAAAAATATTCTTTTAAGTGTTTTATTGTTTAAAAATTAAAATCTTTTAATACTTAAAAACAAAAAAATTAATCAACTAATTAAAATATTCTTTGATTTTTCTTTTTGGTATCACAGCAACGTAAATTGAGAAAGGAATTTTTAAATAATTCTTATCGGAATGTCTTTTCTCTTACGTAAAAACATCTTTGATGTTTTGGAACTGTCGAATTGCCAAATCCACCGGGAGATTGAATTTAAATTTCGAGAGAGAATCCAAACTTTGTAAAGCATCTTGAAAACCTACAAAAAAATTAATAACAAATTCTAAAATTAATCTTTATACGATTTACCTGTTTTAACGACATAACTCCATTCCAAATAATGCATATTAATCAATTGACGACATTGATAAATTAAACTTAACCAAGTAACCAGCTTATTTGCACTAAAAAAAATTGTTATTTATTATACAAGGGAAAAAAGTATTAAATTTTAGCTCGAAGTTTGGTTGACAAAAAAGCGAGAGCTAAAATCTAATATTTTTCCCGTGTATAATACATTTTTTTTTTCTGCGATGGGAAAAACGACGATTTAAGTAATTAGAAGCAGGGAAAGTAGCATCACAAAAATTATTGCCGGCTTTTTGCAATAAAAAGAGGATACTTTAATTAATAATTGGTGATATTTCCACAAAGATCCTTCAAGAAATAAATTTTATAGCGAATTTTGAAAATATCGATGAATATTACAACATCGAAAATTTTATCAAAACTTCAAATATTGTTTTCTCAAAAACTAAAAGTTATTTTTCAAAATGGGTTAGTTCATTGGAAAGAGGACACTTTTATTAACATTTTGGGAAATTTTCATACTCATATTCCAAGAAATGGATTTTATACGAATTTTTAAAACTTAATCGGCGAAAATTGCAAAATTCGAAAAAATTGTCGATCATTTCAAAAATTTATTTCTCAAAAACTAAAAGCGATTTTTCAAAACGGCTTGTTGCATTAAAAAGAGGATACTTTAATTAATAATTGGTGATATTTCCACAAGGATCCTTCAAGAAATTAATTTTATAGCGAATTTTGAAAATTATCGATGAAAATTGCAACATCGAAAATTTTATCAAAACTTCAAATATTGTTTTCTCAAAAACTAAAAGTTATTTTTCAAAACGGGTTGGTTCATTGGAAAGAGGACACTTTTATTAACACTTTGGGAAATTTTCATACTCATATTCCAAGAAATGGATTTTATACGAATTTTTAAAACTTAATCGGCGAAAATTGCAAAATTCGAAAAAATTGTCGATCATTTCAAAAATTTATTTCTCAAGAACTAAAAGTGATTTTTCAAAACGGCTTTTTGCATTAAAAAGAGGATACTTTAATTAATAATTGGTGATATTTCCACAAGGATCCTTCAAGAAATTAATTTTATAGCGAATTTTGAAAATTATCGATGAAAATTGCAACATCGAAAATTTTATCAAAACTTCAAATATTGTTTTCTCAAAAACTAAAAGTTATTTTTCAAAACGGGTTGGTTCATTGGAAAGAGGACACTTTTATTAACACTTTGGGAAATTTTCATACTCATATTCCAAGAAATGGATTTTATACGAATTTTTAAAACTTAATCGGCGAAAATTGCAAAATTCGAAAAAATTGTCGATCATTTCAAAAATTTATTTCTCAAGAACTAAAAGTGATTTTTCAAAACGGCTTTTTGCATTAAAAAGAGGATACTTTAATTAATAATTGGTGATATTTCCACAAGGATCCTTCAAGAAATTAATTTTATAGCGAATTTTGAAAATTATCGATGAAAATTGCAACATCGAAAATTTTATCAAAACTTCAAATATTGTTTTCTCAAAAACTAAAAGTTATTTTTCAAAACGGGTTGGTTCATTGGAAAGAGGACACTTTTATTAACACTTTGGGAAATTTTCATACTCATATTCCAAGAAATGGATTTTATACGAATTTTTAAAACTTAATCGGCGAAAATTGCAAAATTCGAAAAAATTGTCGATCATTTCAAAAATTTATTTCTCAAGAACTAAAAGTGATTTTTCAAAACGGCTTTTTGCATTAAAAAGAGGATACTTTAATTAATAATTGGTGATATTTCCACAAGGATCCTTCAAGAAATTAATTTTATAGCGAATTTTGAAAATTATCGATGAAAATTGCAACATCGAAAATTTTATCAAAACTTCAAATATTGTTTTCTCAAAAACTAAAAGTTATTTTTCAAAACGGGTTGGTTCATTGGAAAGAGGACACTTTTATTAACACTTTGGGAAATTTTCATACTCATATTCCAAGAAATGGATTTTATACGAATTTTTAAAACTTAATCGGCGAAAATTGCAAAATTCGAAAAAATTGTCGATCATTTCAAAAATTTATTTCTCAAGAACTAAAAGTGATTTTTCAAAACGGCTTTTTGCATTAAAAAGAGGATACTTTAATTAATAATTGGTGATATTTCCACAAGGATCCTTCAAGAAATTAATTTTATAGCGAATTTTGAAAATTATCGATGAAAATTGCAACATCGAAAATTTTATCAAAACTTCAAATATTGTTTTCTCAAAAACTAAAAGTTATTTTTCAAAACGGGTTGGTTCATTGGAAAGAGGACACTTTTATTAACACTTTGGGAAATTTTCATACTCATATTCCAAGAAATGGATTTTATACGAATTTTTAAAACTTAATCGGCGAAAATTGCAAAATTCGAAAAAATTGTCGATCATTTCAAAAATTTATTTCTCAAGAACTAAAAGTGATTTTTCAAAACGGCTTTTTGCATTAAAAAGAGGATACTTTAATTAATAATTGGTGATATTTCCACAAGGATCCTTCAAGAAATTAATTTTATAGCGAATTTTGAAAATTATCGATGAAAATTGCAACATCGAAAATTTTATCAAAACTTCAAATATTGTTTTCTCAAAAACTAAAAGTTATTTTTCAAAACGTGTTGGTTCATTGGAAAGAGGACACTTTTATTAACAATTTGGGAAATTTTCATACTCATATTCCAAGAAATGGATTTTATACGAATTTTTAAACTTAATCGGCGAAAATTGCAAAATTTTAAAAAATTGTCGGTCATTTCAGACATTTATTTCTCAAGAACTAAAAGTGATTTTTCAAAACGGCTTTTTGCATTAAAAAGAGGATACTTTAATTAATAATCGAAAGTGATAACAGCGACAGTTCTGTTATTAATGAATGTGATGATGAATTACAAGCGAAGAGAAGAAAACTAGACGAAACTGCAACAAGAGTTTTTATATATCGTATTGGGATTGTTACAATGAGGTTGCTAATGACAAACTTGATATAAATAAAGTTGTATTTAATGAAAAAAGTCCTATTATGGTTGAACTTGATTATTATCTGCAGTGTCCAACACCTAAAAGAGATACTAATTCCTGTGAATGGTGGAGTACTAAGTAATAAGTTTCTAATATCTGTCCAAAGCATGAAATCAGCCAGGTAACATTAGATAATATTACGGGCTTTATTTATTTTATTTTATTTCGGGCTTCCTAGTGTAATTTTTGCTTAAAACTGACTAATAGCAACCCTTCCTTTTGGCGCTTCAATTCAAAAACACTCCTTCGAATTAAAAAATCGAGTATAGTAAAATTTCCCAATTAAAATCTGAACCACCCTGTATATCTGGGGAAAAAATTAATAATAATAATTTCATAAAAAGTGACATTTTGTTACCTCTCAACAGAGATAAAATGTGAGATTTTTCCCATCACAGAAAAAACTTCTTTTTTAACTTACTTTAACGCGGCACAAATAAACGCTTTAAAATGCGAATCATAACTTCTTTTATACTGAGAATGTGTTGCAACAATATTACTAATCACGCAAAGCATGTTTTGATTGGTTGAACTAGCCGAGGCTCCAGCAATATCCAAATTAAAACTTTGAGAGAGTCGCCTTGCCGGTGTCGAATTAAAGCGTTCTCCGTTTTTCAGTTCGTAATAATTTACGATGATTTCCCAGGCGTGTACGGGGTTATCTTGCATTTTAGGCCTTCTGGAAAAGCACCCAGAAAATGGAACGATGCTGTGTGTGTGATTAGCCTCGACGGCGCCATGCTCCATCAGATCTCTTAGGCACGTTGCAAAGTGCTTCCGCACGGCAGTTATCAATTGGGAGTTTAAGCTAGATGGTCCGGAGTCTGAATCGCTAATATAATCTTCTGCGTTTCCGTTTCCATCGCAATGTGACGCTAACTCTTTTACTTTTAATATTGATAGTTCTAATCGTGCTCTAATATCGCTACAAAAGAAAATTTTTAAATTAAATTAAATCAAATTTGCGTTTTTTTACCCATAATGATTAATTTTGTTGGTCGTTTTAAGGTCGTTTCGCTTAAATTTACTTGGGCCGCAGCCGAGTTGTAACAAGGCAAACATATGAAGTAAGGTAGCAGTTCTTTGAACGAGTCCTAGGGTGGATTCATGACTATTTGGTTTTTGAACCGTGTGCAAAGCGCATCCGCAAACGCATTTGTCCTTTTTCGTGTCGGCTTGTAAATAATTTATGAAACGTTCTAAATCGTCAACTTGAGTTTTAAGCTGTGAAACTAAGTGTTCTTTTACTTTTAACGGATTTATGAGATTGCTCAAAGCTATATCGATTTGTTGTTTAACATCGGCTGTTGTTAGTTGATGTAATTTTTGCTCATCCAATTGTAAATTGATCCTAATTTTTAATTCGTTCAAAATGACACGTTGCCGTTCTAAAACAACGTCTTGCGGAACATCGGCTTCCCCACTTTCGAAAGCATACTGTTCTAATTCGTGTAATTGCGATTTCAACTTTTCGATCAATTCTTGCTGTTGAGTTCTTCTCAAACGAATCATTTCGGCTAAATTCGCTTCGCTAATTCGTTCTTTAACCGAACCCACGTCTGGTATTCCACGAAATGCAAACTCTTCCAGTGATCGTAACAATTCATCTTTATCGTCAATTGAGGCATCAACTATTTGCTTTAATCTGAACTGAACTTGAGCGAAATGTGTTGTTAATGCAAACAGAGAAGAACTTAATAAGTCTTGTTCTTCTTCTAAACTTTTAAATTTTTCCAATATAAAACTAAAAAGAAATAAATTTGTGGGTTTAAAAAGTAGGGTTAATTATTTAGTTATTTACCAATGTGAACTACAGCAGTCTGCTTCCAAAATTGAATTATTGGAAGCTTGGGCTTCGGCATCTTCGTTGGGGGCTCCAAGAGGATCCCAGCGCTCCCCGGTAGGTTGCTCTTCTGAAGAAGAGGGTTCTGAAGGTGCAAATTCATCCATCTCGTTCCTTTATGTCTTCATTGGTATGTCCGAGGGGAGCACTTCCGATTTATTGCGATAATAATCATTGTTTATGTGATTAAAAAGTAAAAAACCGACGTCTATGAAACTAACACTACCAGTGATAAGTGATAAGCATATGGTATGCTATGGCGCTTATTTGTATGCCTACCTCTTTATTTTTTTAAAGTTTCATTTTCTTAAAAATACCTTTTAAACGTTATTTGCAACGTTAAAAAATAGTTTATTCATGATTTTCAAGATTTTTTAAAAACAAATTAATAAATTTATTGAATTATTTTTTTTTGCAGAGGTTACAAGAACTAAATAGGCCATACTGTGGTAGTGGGAATTTATGAATTCAAATTTCAAATTTAAAAATATAGGTAGCTTTCCCCTACTGAAGTCTAGACTTAGTTCATTGCAATCTAGGAAGAGATCATAACCTCACATCCTTCATCATTATTTTTTACCTCTTAGTCTATCTTCTTCCAGACTTGATGGTGTGTTTGTTCTTGGTCATTTTGTTGTTATCTCTTCTTTTTCGGCGTTTGCGACCAAAATACTGTAGACTTGGGTTGATACATTATTTATAGGTCCTTAATCGGAAGTAATCTGGTCTACACTAATAACAGAGCTGATAATAACAATATCCGAGCCCCAGATGTAACTGAAATGGGCTAAAAAGGCTGTCATGATAACCACAGAACAAAGAATTTATAGGTTTAACGTCCAGGAACCTAACTTTGGTGTAGCGAACCTCGGGTTCGGTTAATTTTATTCATTGAGTTTGAGCGTTATTTCTGAGTTCTTAGTTATATCGAGACAAGGACTCCTGAAGCAGTTCGCAGTTCCTGACAGGAAGTTTCAGAGCTGTCAGTTAATTCGGCGGAATCAGTAGTTTCCAAGAAGTCAGACCGTGCCACAATCACTTCACCCAGGCTGGGGTGACTCAAAAGGAGTTTTCCGTAGCGGCATTCAATCCACAATCCGTCGTTATCGGGAGACCAATAACATTGAGGATCATCCCAGAAGTGGTTAAGTGTGCCTGGGGCAAGGTCCACCAGAATTCAAAGAGGAGTCTCAGAAAAATGGCTAAAGAGTGTAGTGAATCTGTGCACATTTGCCTTCAGAGATGGTATGAACTTTTGAAACGCTTCTCGGCGGCGGAGCTCAAAGACAACCTCTGATTATTGTGGATCAGGGGGTCAAGATCATCTTCCAGAACTACCTTGCTGAGATTTTGATGAAGGAAGTGCTTCATTACACCCAATCTCATTTCAACGGACGCTGGTCATCGAAAATCTGGTGGAACTGATATCATAGCAGCCAAATACAAAATCTCATTGAATTAAGGTTTGTACTCATTATGAATCAGTTCTAACGCCTCGCCCGCAAGCGACCTCGGCGAAGTGAAGATAAACGATTTCTTATTCAAGTATTGTATGCTTAGTTTAGGTTCCAAGATTCCAAGATTTCATCTTATTCGCCGAGGTCGCTTGCGGGCGAGGCGGTGGATCTGATATCATAGCTCCCAAATACAAAATCTCATTCAATTAAGGTTTGTACTCATTATGAATCAGTTCTAGCGCCTCGCCCGCAAGCGACCTCGGCGAAGTGAAGATAAACGATTTCTTATTCAAGTATTGTCTGCTTAATTTAGGTTCCAAGATTCCAAGATTTCATCTTATTCGCCGAGGTCGCTTGCGGGCGAGGCGGTGGATCTGATATCATAGCTCCCAAATACAAAATCTCATTCAATTAAGGTTTGTATTCATTATGAATCAGTTCCAGCGCCTCGCCCGCAAGCGACCTCGGCGAAGTGAAGATAAACGATTTCTTATTCAAGTATTGTCTGCTTAATTTAGGTTCCAAGATTCCAAGATTTCATCTTATTCGCCGAGGTCGCTTGCGGGCGAGGCGGTGGATCTGATATCATAGCTCCCAAATACAAAATCTCATTCAATTAAGGTTTGTATTCATTATGAATCAGTTCCAGCGCCTCGCCCGCAAGCGACCTCGGCGAAGTGAAGATAAACGATTTCTTATTCAAGTATTGTCTGCTTAATTTAGGTTCCAAGATTCCAAGATTTCATCTTATTCGCCGAGGTCGCTTGCGGGCGAGGCGGTGGATCTGATATCATAGCTCCCAAATACAAAATCTCATTCAATTAAGGTTTGTATTCATTATGAATCAGTTCCAGCGCCTCGCCCGCAAGCGACCTCGGCGAAGTGAAGATAAACGATTTCTTATTCAAGTATTGTCTGCTTAATTTAGGTTCCAAGATTCCAAGATTTCATCTTATTCGCCGAGGTCGCTTGCGGGCGAGGCGGTGGATCTGATATCATAGCTCCCAAATACAAAATCTCATTCAATTAAGGTTTGTATTCATTATGAATCAGTTCCAGCGCCTCGCCCGCAAGCGACCTCGGCGAAGTGAAGATAAACGATTTCTTATTCAAGTATTGTCTGCTTAATTTACTCTCCAAAATTCCAAAATTTCATCTTATTCGCCGAGGTCGCTTGCGGGCGAGGCGGTGGATCTGATATCATAGCTCCCAAATACAAAATCTCATTCAATTAAGGTTTGTACTCATTATGAATCAGTTCTAGCGCCTCGCCCGCAAGCGACCTCGGCGAAGTGAAGATAAGCGATTTCTTATTCAAGTATTATCTGCTTAATTTATTCTCCAAAATTCCAAAATTTCATCTTATTCGCCGAGGTCGCTTGCGGGCGAGGCGGTGGATCTGATATCATAGCTCCCAAATACAAAATCTCATTGAATGTTCCCCACTGAGAGTATTGTAACATTGTTTGTTAGTGTTTGAATAAAGTTTATTTCAAATTTCACGTCTCTATGTACTTCCGTTCTGTTTTTATCAACAGAAATACCGTTCAACAGGATTTTTGTAACACCCTGTAGATATAGCAAAAACATATTTTATAGATATATTTACAAAAATGACACAAAGTTCATCAAAATATACCTATATTTTAAGACAGTATCCCTAAGTCCCTATTTCTACAGTATTTTCTTGTTATCTTTGTATTTATTTATTCGGTTGAGGTTGGTAGTGCCTAAAATGTTTAACAAAATTATGTCAAATACACTTAATTTTCAATTTTTATCATTCCTTATTAAAAATTAATTTGAAACGGATTAAATAAAAATAATCTTGAGAATCCAATAAATCTTTTAATTGATTTTTCTATTTTTTTTATTTTCGAGATTGGTACAAGTCTAAATTGATAGAATAAGAATAAGGGAGCTAACTTCATGTCATGTTTGACGTTACGTGAATACGTCATTGTTATGAGAATATAGCACGATATTTAATTTAGAATTTAGTTAAGACCCTTGCATAAAAATCCATGATAAACCTTAAAAATTAGTCACTACTCAATCGGCGATACTTCAACAAACGGAAAAATGTCTCAATTCAAAACCAGTAGTTCCGAAAGAACCAGTATTCATGATATGTTGAAAGATATTCCGCCCAATGAAACCAAAGGTAAAATTATTTAAATTTATAAAATATGTGTATATGATGCGAAAAGCGGTTTTAGGGCTGTCGACTTGTAAAAGCTCACCTGCCATCCTAACTCCAACCACACCTGTACAAAATGATGATGCTACCGTTTTAAAAACATCCTCTAGGATAGAAAACCTGAAAAATTGGTCTATATCCACTTATAAATGCACCAAACAATTAATGTTTGAAAAGTTAGGGAAATCTTCACGAACTGTTGATGCAGGTAACTTATTTATTATTCAATCAATATTTTATACTCAATTTATACTTTATTTCATGTAGAATTAGAATCTCAAATAGAGCAACTTCGCGATACTCAACGTAAATATTTAAATATATTACGTTTGGCAAGAAGTTTAACAAGCCATTTTTACCACGTCGTCCAAACGCAACATGCTCTTGGCGAAGCATTTTCTGAGTTAGCTCAAAAATCCCCGGAACTCCAAGAAGAGTTCCTTTACAACTCAGAGACGCAACGTAATTTGACAAAAAATGGGGAGACTTTGCTTGGGGCGCTTAACTTTTTCACCTCATCCGTGAATACGTTATGCAATAAAACGATCGAGGATACACTGCAAAGTGTAAGACAGTACGAAGCCGCGCGGATAGAGTACGACGCATATCGAAGCGATCTCGAATGTCTTTCCAATAAACCGGACGCTCCCATGGGGTTGGAGGATGCACAACATGAATACGAGGTTCATAGACAACATTTTATGAAGCTACGAGCGGAAGTTGCTATTAAAATGAAGTTTTTAGATGAGAATAGGGTAAGATTACATTAAATTGGTGAATTAATTTAATACATTTAATTATTTCAGATTAAAGTGATGCATAAACAATTGTTATTGTTTCATAATGCGGTGTCTGCCTATTTTTCTGGTAATCAAACTGCCTTAGAAGCAACACTAAAGCAGTTCAACATAAAAATTAAAACACCAAACTCCGCGTTTCCGTCATGGTTGGAACAGTAGCGCCATAAGTGTTTGGACTGCGACGCGGAGTAACTTATTATTCCACATTTCCATTCTAGTCGAAACTTGTTTCTTGCATTATTAATTAATCGTACTTAATTATATTTTTGTATATATTAATTTTGTATTACGAACCAATTTGTATTTGAGGGAACCTTTGGTTTTGCTTTATTATTAATTCCTTTTTTAATTAATTTATTAATTAATTAATTTAATTCTAAAAGAATTGATTGGTTGTATTTTTGTATTGAATCTCGACATTTTTAGCATTTTAGTGTTATTTAAATGAGGCGTATTCGTAAAAAAAAAAAAAATAACTGCTTGTGATTTTTAATTTTTAACTACACTCAACACGGCGTGTTTTTTTATCTAATAAATATGTACAGGTGGTTAAAAAAATGTAATTTTTTTTAATTATCCTGTATGTAAGATTTTTTTTTAACCGGCAGAACTGAATAATTGTATAACAATAATATATAGTATATATATATCACATCTCTGTAAATGGAAACATTTTTTTCTTTTTATTTGTAGTGTAAGTAAACGTTCTTTTCCACTAATCTTTTTTAGTTTTTTTTATCACCAACTTTTATAGAAGAAAAATAAGATACTCAACGAAATCTCGTTGTGACGTAATATGTGGTTCTAATATGGCATTTAATGTCCCTGGAGGGTATTGACTCGACCTACAAATACCCAACTTATACTTGGAGTACGTGCGAGCTTATGAGGTCAAATAGCGGATTACAAAATTAGTCTGGAAATATTAACTCAACTATTTCTAAGTGTTTATCCACTCTTTCTCCTCTTCTATTAGTTATATTATCTCTCCACCGCATCCCATACTAAGAGGAAGATACCCAGAAGATGTTATGTCGCAAAAAAGCGACAACGACATATAAAATTGATGTATGAAGACGCAGGGTAGCTTAGGGCCATTAAAGAAGAAGAATACACCTCATTAGTGTTCTCATCATTTCGAGTAAAATACGAATAGATGAAAATTTGGTGAATCTATAGTTTTACAAGTTGTTAATTAATCAAGTTTACCCTGCTTGAAGTTTATGGAAGAAATAAACTCGGCCGACTTCGAAGACGTCGGCCGCCCTAACTATTGTATATGATATTTGGAGCGGCCGACGTCTTCGAAGTCGGCCGAGATTACTTCTAATATCATGAAGAATACCTAGGAATCGGAGCTTGTTATAAAAAAGTTTTTAGAACAAAAGTTGTAGCAAATTTCATTCTTAACAATATTGCTCTCTTTCACTTTTGCTCTCAGATGCGTCACTATCGAGAAAATTTGCTGAATTCGTAGTTTTACAAGTTGTTAATTAACCAAGTCTACCCTGCTTGAATTTTATGGAAAAAATAGTCTCGGCCGACTTCGAAGACGTCGGCCGCCCAAAGTATTGTTTATGATATTTGGAGCGGCCGACGTCTTCGAAGTCGGCCGAGATTATTTCTAATATCATGAAGAATACTTCGGAATCGGAGCATGTTATAAAAAAGTTTTTAGAACAAAAGTTGTAGCAAATTTCATTCTTAACAATATTGTTCTCTTTCACTTTTGCTCTCAGATGCGTCAATATCGAGAAAATTTGCTGAATTCGTAGTTTTACAAGTTGTTAATTAACCAAGTTTACCCTGCTTGAAGTTTATGGAAGAAATAAACTCGGCCGACTTCGAAGACGTCGGCCGCCCAAAGTATTGTATATGATATTTGGAGCGGCCGACTTCGAAGACGTCGGCCGAGATTATTTCCTATATCATGAACAATACTTAGGGCGGCCGACGTCTTCGAAGTCGGCCGAGATTTGGTACTCTTGGTTTCATGCTCCGAATC